AGGGAGTGTAGGCAGGAGGACAGTTTTAAAAGGATAGTAATGGTAATATTGTAGGCAAGTGACTTGTCAGGATACTAGAAGGACAATGTAAACAGGATGCAGTATGGTAATGTGGTTGAAAGTGTTGGCAGGACAATACAAACAGCGGTGTCAGCAAGACGGTGTTGTCAGGGCGACGTTGGACAGTATTGGGCACACGTGTCCTGAACCGTCTCGCTTCACTGTAATCAAGGACACCAACTTTTTTTCCTCAGGCCGCCTCAGTATCGCAGACTTGGTTATATATTTTTTCCAAACGAAACATTTACACCAGTACATCAAGCCTCTGTGAAAAACTCGATTTTCTTGGCCTACGTTTTATTTTTATTTGTTTTCATTAAATTGTACTGTATACCTGACCTGCGGAGATAATGAGAGCGAAGATTATGGTCCTGATACACAAATATTCTACTACCTGTACTAGAAAAAATATAAAGTGAAGGGGTCGTTGATTTTTTTCTTATCTAATAAGTTTATATCAACCAGGTAGAAATGTCGATCAACTTGTAATTAATAGTTATTACGGTCCTAGATCCCAGTTACAATTCATTCTATTATGTACATTTGGCGGTATATGGCCGTCAACATTGTCTTGTTATTCGAAAGAGCATACATTGTTACATAATGTTAGGCACACAACCCCAGTTCTTGTAGAGAATTAAAAACTAGACTATATTGTACTGTACTATCCTTGGTAAAGCTGGTTCTTGCGATGTGTTATATTTTTATTACATTCTGCCTCCTTTCTTTATTTCTGTTTCTCTATTTTGTCTTTTTTTCTCTTCCGTCCCAAAATGCAGCAATAATAATAATAAAAAAACACATTAAGATTCCAACAGTTGAATACATCACTGGCTCCCTTTAAACCAACATCACTAAGACGGCAAATCAACATAAACTACAGAGAAGCTATCGTAACTGTCTACATATTCTTATCCCAATTACAAAAGTAAAATATAACGCCTCTGGCAAATCCGGGTAACTGATGATGCCATGTAAAAACGTATTATTTCTTATGTTAGCCTTATGTGTGTTATAAGCTCTAAATATAACGTTGGAAATTCAATGGGATCCTCGTCCTGTTGCGTGTGTGGACAAAATATATGAGTGCATTGAAGGACACCGTGTAGCGTGAGGGGGAGGGGGAAGACACCTTCAACCACCCATCCAGCCCCTGGTGCTTCCTCCCCGGGGCTACGATTCTCCTTTTGTCCTCCCCCACGTGTGTCTAAGTGTGTGTGTGTGTGTACAATTTAGTATGTCCCTCCTTAAACATATTAACACTGACATTATACAGTACGGTACACTACAAATAAGCCTTGTTGGCTATCCTAGGTCGAATTGACATTTATTTTTTTACCATTGTATACCGGCATTATATAACATGTATACTGTACTCCGCGTCGTCTCTCTCTCTCTCTAATCATACAGCATGCAGTTTGGCTCCTTTTTTTTAACTAATAATTCTAAATAACAATGATTATAAATACCGTATAGCCAGATCAGGCTAACCTTCAGCACCAGTAACTTAATTCACAAATATCGCTACACCAACTTTTTAATTAAATTAGGCTTAACGTAGTACTGTAACAGTATTAGTTTTAAGTCACATTTTGTTCTGCTAGGTTTTACATGCGTTTAATTAAGTTACTTTTAGTATGTTGTATATCCATTTATATAAGGTTGTTAAAGTTAATTTTTAAGTTTGGTTACTATTTAAGTTACTATTTATTTAAGGTTGGGCTTGATAGTTTTTATTTTAGGTTAGGTTAAGTTTTGGTTATTTTAAAGTTAGTTTTTAAGCTTCGATTCTTGTGTTGTTAACTGTTTTAGCCTGAGTTACTTAGTTAAGTAACTCTTAGTACGGATGATGTTTAGTTTAAGTTACTTAATGTAGGTTATGTTTAGTCAAGTTACTGTCAGTTTAAGCAATGTTTGGTTAAGTTACTGTCCGTTTAGGTTATGTTTAGTTGTTATATTTAGTTTTAGATTAAGTTTGGTTTAAGTTACAATGGTTTGAACATATTAATGAAATACTTAAATTGATACATATACCATTTTGAGAGCTTAGAAAGTATACTGTACTTATTACCAAGTAGATTTTTAACATAACCGCTCTATCAGTACCTCTTGTGGTTATTACTGCCGTTAGTTATTTTTGTTGTTACTGACGTTGTTGTAGTTTAGAAACAACAGCAGAGTTACAGCTTACATAATTTCTAAATGCGAGCAGTACGCTATGGATGACTTGCACGTAAAAGAGACGTGCTTCTAAGATTAGGAGATGAAGTCGTTGTGTGACTTAAGAACCACCGAAGTATCACATAACATGTTGGCGTATGATGGTGGTGTCAAGTGATAACCACACCGCCACAAGTATACGACCCTCCGTGCCTATATTATATAGTAGACACACGCGCGCGCGCACACACACGTTACCACCACGAATACTTCCATCCTCACCAGCACAAAAACTACTCATATCCTCATAAAATTCGTACCTGCGTTGGTGGACTTTATAAATATGTACTTGCACAAAATAATATGGTTACTGAAGCACGTCCGCAGCAACACAACTGGCTCCCCAAACTCAAAGTATAAATTTAAATATACGCAACCAAGAGAGGTACACAGACAGGCGTGTGTGGGGGGGGGGGAGGGGAGCGCACAAGCACATCAAAACAAGGAACATGCACATACGCGCACGCTCACGCAAAGATGCAGAGGTTAAATGTCAAGTAAAGGACAACCGAAAGTTTGAAAGTTGGAAAAACGAGTTTGGTTTCGACAACAAAATAGCCACTTGGGGGAACTACGTCACAGGTCACGTGACAAATGTTGATCCTTTCAGTCCCACCAACCTCTTATGGCTCCTGAAATACCCTCCCGTAATTTTGTATTTTACATTTCCATCAGGTCTCGTTACTATTATTATCATTTAAATGATTCTTTCTGATAAGCAGAGAGATTCATAAAAGCTTTGTAGTTTCAATCTATACCGCAAGAAATTTACAGAGTAGATATGGAATGTTCCTTGTCCTCTCTATGGTGTGTCAGTCGGGGGCTGTAAATTTACGCCCTCCATCAATCAATATATTAAGATACAAATAAAAAAAAAGTAGCATCATAATTCTTGTAGTTCACAATTTTCTACTGGACAGCTATTTTCTTACTGAAGAGGCGGGAGATTAAGATGAACATTTGTATGTCTTAAGAGATTAGACGTCTCTTAATTTCAAATAATTTATTAATGTCTTGTGTATGGCCGCGTACACGCTTAATGACCATAGTGGTTGGAGTGTAGTATACAGCGCACCTCACAACTACAATTCGCTTACATTAATATTTACACGTACAGGGTATCTGAGAAGTGTTTGGTTACCCCTCGCCCTCCCCAATCTCTAGGTTATATGCGCATCTGATTTATGACTGGCTGACATTCTTATACGTTATGTCATCAGGAAATATTATCATGATGTATACTAGACAATTAATACTTAAGTGTTGTTGTCTCTCACACACACACCTCGCCTGAGTAGACAACTCTATACAGTATAATGAAACTGTGTGTGTGTGTGTGTGTGTGTGTGTGTGTTAATCATTTAATATTTATACCACTGAAAGTTTAAAATTATGGCCTCCAAATTTTCCCCAGCCAGCTATCAACATGATCCCAGGAAGCTTTCGTTGTTGGGTACAGAAAATGGTAACATGAACAATGTCCCATATATGGATTGTCATAATACTGATCCCTAGCTTATGTAATGTCCTGTCCCGGTACTTGACATACACTACGATTGGCTGTAAATAGAGGGTGGGTGTCACCTGAAAATTAGTCGCCCCCTTAATTTATTTCGCCAGATGATTCAACGCCCTACAGCTACCTAGCGGGTTAGGTTAATTTAAGTTAGGTTAGAATAATCTAGTTTAGTTAAGGTTGAGATAAGTTAGGTTTCGTTAAGTTTGGTCAGTAAATTAGATTAAGTTAGGTTAGATTGGGTTAGCGTTAGTGTAGTTAATCTTAAAATGAAATAAGCTGGGGAGGCTAATTTTCAGGTGATCCTAAAATGGAAGTCAAAGTATTATTATCGTTTTACTTCTGTTGTATAAGTACATAGGATAAGACGAGGCAGGACGGAGGCTGACTGGTCGACCACACGTTGGCTGCTGGGTAACTCAAACCAGCTTCCTCTTGTATAACCTGCGCTGCCCATCCACCACACCCCATCCCCTAGTACTCCCTCGTAACCACCTCTCTCCCCTCTTCCTGTCACACACACACACACACACACACCACATTCTCACCCGTACACAAATTCAAGCCTTAATATATATATCAATTAAACCATACACAAAACATTTCTATATCAGGTTTACATTGCAGGTGTCCAGAAATATAGAGGCCATCGATTAATACTCCTCAAGTTAAGGTCACTCGTTCCAAGTGTGTATAAGAAATAAACTTAAAAGAGAGATGGTGTGGCGAGGAGGATGGTGTGTTAAGAGAGTGAGATGAGAGATAATGGACGAGGACAGGGAGAATGGATGAGGGGTGGAAAATGTGTTGGGGGGGGGATAAAAATTACAAACAGATCTTTCGTGTGAAGGAATCAACAGCACCCCTACTGTCACACACACACACCTTCACGTATACGAGCGCCCCAGGCAGTCCACCAATCATCCTCCACTCTTACCGGACTTAGGCAACAGCGACACAACTGCTGTAATTGTATCTATCCTTCCTCTCGCCATTCTTCACCTCTTCTATTTTGTGTATTATCATGACCGTACATCATTGGCTTACTTATACGGCTTTACCTATCAATGTCTCAAACACAGGAGTAATGACATACGAGTGAGGATATCGATCTTGAAACTTGAGAATAATAATGAGGTGTCGTAACGCACCAGTTGTGAGAGCGATGTTTACCAGAGGAAGAGACCAGCCAGTGGGAACTTACCTGCCGTGTTGACATCCCAGGTGACGATCTTGGCACCCCTGGCAGCTAGCTTGAGGCACACGAGGCGACCGATGCCAGAGCCGCCGCCCGTAACTAATACCACCTGACCCTCGACGTCCTTCCTCTTGAACTTCCGGGGCACCAGAGATATGACCAGCGATTCAAGGGCATAGTATATAGAGGACAGAATGGCTCCCAACACCTCAAAGAACACCTTTATGAAGTCCAAGAACGACATCGTGGACCTAAAAACCACAACCACCACAAACGGTTTATTAGTGGTGACACTTGTACGTCTCTGACCGACAACACAACTGTGGTGGCTGAAGCGTAGCGTTGTCCTCCACCTGCTGATGCTTCCGTGCTGCTCCACTCGTCCTTGATACCTGTTGAAAGAAGACATATCCGTGTAGATATACACAACTGAGGAAATTATTCAAGTTTGTTTTGGGTTTTTTGCTGGTGACGCAACTGCTACTGTGGTGAGGGTGTGTAGGGGTGGGTGTGGCGAGGGTGTGTAAGAGTGGGTGTGGTGAGGGTGTGTAAGGGTGGATGTGGTGAGAGTGTGTAAGGGTGGGTGTGGTGAGGGTGTGTAAGGGTGGGTGTGGCGAGGGTGTGTAAGGGTGGGTGTGGCGAGGGTGTGTAAGGGTGGGTGTGGTGAGGGTGTGTGGATGGTTGGTGAGGGTGTTTAGGGGTGAGGGTGTGTAGGGGTGGGTGGTGAGGGTATTTAGGGGTGGGTGGGTGTGGAGGGGGGGTGTGGGGTGGGTGGTGAGGGTGTAGGGGTGGGTGGTGAGGGGTGTGGGGTGGGGTGGGTGTAGGGGTGGTGTGGTGTGGGGTGGGTGGTGTGGGATGTGGTGAGAGTGAAGGGGTGGGTGTGGAGAGGGGTTGTAGGGGTGAGGATGTGTAGGTGGTGGGTGTGGTGGATGTGGAGAGGGGGTGTAGGGGTGAGGATGTGTAGGGGTGGGTGTGGAGAGGGGGTGTAAGGGTGAGGATGTGTAGGCGTGGGTGTGGTGAGGGGGTGTAGGGGTGAGGATGTGTAGGGGTGGGTGTGGTGAGACTGGGTGTTGTAAAACTTTACGTGTTACCAGATATAACGTATATCATGACATGCAATTTATTTCTGGCCTTGAATCATGAGTCTTGTATTACCAGTTGTATTTTGTGACGTGCTATAAGATGTGTATTACAGTTAGAATATGTTAACGTTATTTAGAGATATGACAGAAAAGCCTATTAATTACCCTATATCATTCTGTGACTCTGGGCCTCGCTTATATCATGTAAGCTATACTAAAAAAATATATGTCCGTTGACACAGATTTCCTCACTGAAGAAATAATTTAACAGACATAACTACATTAAAAATCGTCGTCCCGTATTACTTCTTGACCATTATTACACTACAACATCCGGACACGATGATTCAACTGCCTCTGAGGTCTGAAGGTGTGTAGGACTAGTTACGTTTACAATTGTTTGGCCTCACTGACGGAGACATTTACTTGGTTCTACTATACCCCCCCCCCCAGCTACGGGGCGTGTAAATGATCCAGATAGACATGTGATCCTCATACCTGACTCCCACTCTCAATGCACACGTGGGCCTCACCCCTCACCAACAAAAAACTCACTGGTAATAAACAGTAAAAGCATTTACCTCGTTACCTATTGACCACAACATCTAGTAACAGCCAGAATGAGGGAACGAGCCAGTGGGTAGTTCATCAACCTTTTGTGGTAAGTCGAGGCTCGTGTTTCAAAATGACAAAACATCGTCACACACCCATCTCCATGACATACTGTACAGCCACAGTGATGCGAGTCATGACAGCAAGGTCGCTGCAGCAGATTGTAGCCCACTGAACTTTCTTGTGTTGTGTTGCATCATTAACATTTCAACAAAGTATGGTTCCGAACACTGTCTAAAAAACAGATTGCACTGACATCATAGCACAGCTTCTGGATTATTTTTTTATTTATTTAACCTTCTGTTATTACTGTAAAATTAGTTTATTCATTACCGCTGCTGTGATCTGTTATGGTACTCCTCTTCCCACGACAAGGACTGAAACATGTCGCTTCACCAATACATTTTAGTTTCTTTCCCCAGACATTTCAATATTTTTTTTTCATGTAGCGTTTTCATGTTCTTTGAAGAAATCAATACGCTTGCATCCTCCCCTCCCCCTTTACAATCCAACCTTTTATCCAAGAACTTCACTTTTTGCATCATTCATCCCAGACTTGCAGTACTGTATTCCCTTCCCACCCTGGGTTATTCCCTAAGAAGCTGCTTCTCTGTTTCAGTGTGATTAGCTAAGTGGAGCTGACAGGCTGACATTACAACATTTTATTTATACTAAGGTATCATGTAACTCACTCTCTGCATGCATCTCGTCATCTTGGATAAGATTATATCTACTGCATTTTGTTGCAGGTTACGTTAAGAATGGATAGCATTTTTTCTAATTAAATGTGACATACAGGATTCCCTTCTCAAGTTATTCACAAACAACTTAAATACAAGGAACTACTAATATATTCATAAAAACAGTGTAGTGATGGTGGAGCTGTTGTTACCGTGTGTGTGTGTGTGTGCGTTTACTGGTTTGTATACATTGTGTAGTCGGTGAAGGTGTTGGTCTGGGTCGTGACAGCTTTAGCAGAACCGGTACTTTTCTTAGCAAGCCCCAAGAAAACTTGTCTTGGATACTTTCTACGTACTGTACTTGGTAGATCTCATCTGCACAAACACATACACACAATTTTATATATATATATATATATATATATATATATATATATATAATATATATATATATATATATAATATATATATATATATATATATATATATATATATATATATATATATATATATATAATATATATATATATATATATATATATATATATATATATATATATATATATATATATATATATATATATGGTCCAGTGAATCAAATCACGCATCGAATCATCCCTAAATATTCGAATCAAATCGAATCACCTGAATTATTTAAAAAATCAACATAAAACGGTTCATTTTTCATGACTAGTGCTTCTACACAGGAATGAGTTAATATTTCTGAGAACAACACAAAAAGTGTATCTTTCTAACCACAGAAGACAATGTACCGGATCCTCTGTAAAAATTATAGTACAAAAATGCTCTTGGAATGAAATAATTCCAGTATACATAGCTGGAGTTAAAAGCAAAATTCTAAGTGTTTATATACTGTAATTATACAGTACATCTATTTGCAAAGCTATTGTAAAACAAAAATCCTAATCGTACGTTAATAGTTTTAGCGGGTGGACAGTGTGAAGCGGAGCCGTGACATGAGACAACCTGACATGTTGGGAGATAAAACTGAAAACTGGTCCGGGGTATTAGGCAGCTATAAAACAGGGAGATACTACCGCCGAGGAAGATATTGGAAGCATAATATATTGTCTAATGGTAGACCCTGCTGCCATTTGGCATCACAAAAATTGTGAACAAGTCCCAGGTTGCTGATCTGTCTTTCTGCCTCATTTACACACAATTATAGGGTCTCAATTGTTCCTCTCACTTTGACAACACAATTGCACAAATACACAAAACGAATATCAGCACCACTCCCTCATTAAAAGGTCTTCGATAATAATCTAAACTGGCATCTTCCAAAAATTGGAATATTAAAAACACTCACCTCCTTTATGAATAATAAACGAACTGTCACTTTACTGTATATTTATCTGGTAAAATGGACACATGTATATCGTCTAACGACAGCAGGCAATACAACATCCCCGTCCCAACACTGAGTGACGACTGAAGTGACCAAGCTTTGCCTGAGTTGAGTAGGGACCAGCTGCAGCGCTCAAGTCAAAAAGCAGACAACTATCGTACAAAAGACTAAGAATCAACGAACATGCGAACAAATTCATATCAATTAAGCATTGAAATATAGATATATAATTCATTCAAAAATATACATAATAACATTATTACCTCTTCCCTGAGGCTCTTTTAATAGAAATTTATAACCAAATATTTATTGATCTGGTCAAGGTTAATCGCTTAGCGGATGCCGCCGACAGATGGCGTTAGTTACAAATCCATTATTGTTTTGCACCTCAATATGAATTAGTCAATGATTTGAAGACTTATAACACTCGATGATTTTTTTTCTGGAAAAACATCGCCTCTTGATTAAAGTAATATATGTTACACGTTTCACGAATAAAACTAACTGTGTACAGTACTTGTGAACGACAGCCTCTCACTATTGAAGCATTTGACTTTCGTACAGGGTACTATACTGTACTTCTTTTTACTTTGCGGTGTATTGAAAGAATTGAATTTGAATTTTGCCGTTAACAGCAACTAGTTTATTCTGCACCCCATACTCATCCTGTGAGCGGTAGCGCAAAAAGGATTACAGGGTAGAGGCCACAAAGGGTGTTTATCAGCAATGAATGTTACAGAGTATTTCCAGTATACATTGAGAGAGTGCACATGAGAGTGCTCAGACAATGTGACCTATATATTCAAGCTAGGTTTGCCAAATAGACCATGGATTGGTGATCAACCCAGGATGTCCGTCGTGTGTGGCCTGGCGTCACAAATGAAAGATAGTTTGTGGTAAAAATATCTTAAGTTTTTTTGAGGGGGGCGGGGGCTCACGCCGGATACCAACTCTTCAGTGAGGGTATGAATCCGGGCCCCATGCACTGCCAACCGAAAACATTATCGGTTGGGTACGATGACGGGATGATCATAATCACCACGGTAAGGTACCCATTAAACTTTTGATACTTAATTTTACCTACCTGGTTTACCTACTGACTGTCCACTAGAGGTGGCCATGCCGAGGAAGGGAGGCCAACGGCCTGTGTAGGATCCTTCCAATGATCTTGCTAATTTTGTCAAGGGCTATTTTGACCAAGGAGTCAGGTCTGGGTAGTCAAATAAGAGACTACATTTAATACGATGTGCCTCCGAGGGCCGGCCTTATGGCTTTACAGATTTAAGTTGGATAAGTTTAGGAGGGAGATAGGAAGAAACTGATTCACAAATAGGGTGGTGGACGAGTGGAACAAGCTTAGCAACTTTGTAGTAAGTGCGGGAACTCTGGAAGGTTTCAAAAGGAGGCTAGATAGATTCATGGATGATAGAGAGTGGTAGTAACTCTCGACAGGAGCTGCCATGCACAGGCCAACCGGCTTATTGCAGACTCCTTATTTTCTTATGTAACGATCTTCAAGGGTGAAGTGCTTCCCCATCTGGAGTACTGTCACCCCGTCTGGTCCCCAAGAGATGCTAGGGACTGTCAGTTGATTGACAATGTCCAAAGGAACATTTTTTTTTTTTGGAATTTTGGTTTTTTTTGTGGTGTTAATTTTTTAATTTTTATTTATTTATTTATTTTTTTTTTAAACATCGGTAAGGATGTGCGGGCACTATGGTACCTCAGCTACCCTGAGAGATTAGAGCGCCTGAAACTGCCTACAGTAGCTTATACTACAGACGGGCAAGGAGAGACTTAATTGAGGTGTATAAGCATCTCAAAGGGCATTACTCAGTCGAGTGCCCTTACCTGGAGCTGGCGGACGCTCGCCCCACAAGGGGTCACAGCTCAAGAAGCCGCTTGACTTGACTTAAATGCTAGTTACAGGGGGGAAGGATAAAGGGAGGATTGAAGTGAATTTTAGAAGGAGAGAACAGGTGCAGTGGCTAAACACCGCTTGCGTTATTTTGGGTTTTAAGTTGGAGGCAGCAGCAACCCGCCCGGACGCGGTGAGGAGGTCAGGTCAAGCGTCAGGTGCTTGGGTTGGGCCTGACACGCACCTGACGTTTGTTGACCAAGCCCAGAATACTGTGAGGGGTAACTTTTTTGGAGTGAGAGTTGTGTACTCTTGGAACAATCTGTCAGAGAGTGTTGTGACGGCACCGAGTGTGAGCTCTTCCAAGACCAGACTTGAACAACACTGGAGCAGGTTCAGATACATTCAGGAGCCGGTGCATGCCTTAGTACTTGCCAACAGTGCGTAACAGACGTAACTGATCGCACAAGCGGCTAACGAGCCGATCAGTGGTGCAAAGGATAAAAGCATTTTGTTGTACGTAATCAGAGACGTGACCGATCGCCCAAGCGGCTAACAAGCCGATCAGTGGCGAAGAGGATAAAAGTAAAATTAAAGGCTATGACTGAGTTGGCCACTCCTTGGCAGCAACCAATCAAAAATTTCCAGACTTCACAAACACTAATTAATTCAAGAGCCCGTGCATGCCCATTACTTGGCAACATTGTGTAACAACAACCGACGCCTCCCGCACTGTATTAATGTGTGTGATGGAAGGTCTCAATAGATTACCGTGCGCAGGGCAGAGTTATTGTACATCACCTGCAGAAACGTTAGGCGTTTATTATTGACTTCATGTGTGAGTCGTGACCGAAAATAGTATGTAAAAACTCAAAAAAGACGATTATCCATATTGAATATGGTAAATTTATTTATGACAATACAAATTTGTGAAGAAACAAATATTACGGTTTGATTCGGTGGGTTCCTTTTAGGAGTTCGATATTGACCCCCCCCCCTCCCCCCCAAAAAAAGCAATCATAAAAGAATAGTTATAACCGTGGTGAGTATAAAAATCTACATTGATTTAATGAGACGTGACATTCAGATTCAATGCAGAACTGTTTAACCTATTTTTCAATAATTTTCTTTCATATATTATTGTATATATGGAGGCTCACACGTCAATATTAACAGTGTTAATACTGTACTTATATATCTGGACACTCAAATGTGTTATCCACTACAATCATTATGTAAAATATCATAAATTTAATGTTAGTCTTAGTTGAAGAAGGAAACACCTTACCTGTACCTGAAATGTGATTCTGTTACCTTAGAGTAATAAGATTTGTTTTTGTAGTCATGATCCAGGGCGGGAGAGAGGGGGGTGCATGGGTGTGTTAACAAGTAGCTGCTCACACCACCATCACTAGTTCAAGGTGTGTGTTTTAATCTTTGTGCATAATCGTTTTTATCAGTATTAAAGCAAGAATAGGTGTCAGCAAGGAGAGTAAAGTACATGTGTTAGGTGGATATGTTCTCTTTAGCTCATGTGTAAGGTAACGACAGGTTGTGATGGTCTCCTTGATGACAGTATATGTGTGTTTATACTAGCTAGCATATAGTTGACATGTAGTCTGTCTCTCTACAAAATATGTCAAAGTAAAGAATGAAAATAAACGTCTACTTACTGCTGATGTTTGTGTATCTGCTGAACCAACTAGAAGATCTATTAAAATGAACAAATGTATAGCTATTATAGTAACACCTGGAAATTAATCACTACAATCACACCTCAAGCCAAGATTTTAGCAGAGCAGTTCTGTAAAAGACAGGTAGGATTCAGTACTGGCCTACTATGGTACAGTACAAATACACCTGTATTATTTTTTGGTTAATATATGGGACTAATCCGCCAGGGCTGCATAGAGCCTATGTGGCTGTATTATCTCGCGTCCAGAAAATGCCTAAAATTATACCATAATATAGTAAGCTCTTTCTGTTTAATATAGCGGGTAAGTTAGGTAAGGTTTGGTTGGTTAGGTCTGTTCTTCATTCCCACAAATGTTATGTAACGTTTATTTTTAAAATATCAATTTTTGATAAAGGTGTAGACAATGGCTACCACCAGATGGAATTGTCCGAATTGGTTGAAATTTTTTCTACACATTAATATGATATTAAACACAAAAATGGAAATGACAATGCATAGAACCTAATAGAACCTGACCTAACATACCCAACCTATGGGGTCAGGTTCTATTAGGTTCTATGCAAAATTATTAAATGTATTTTTTTAATATAATGCAAATAACATGATAATAAACACAGAAATGGAAATCTTAAACAACTTACCTTAATATTGAGGTTTATATACATCAGGCATCTGTGGACATATTCGAAGGATGGCATATTACATTGAAAGTTGTAAGTCTTCTGCATTTCAAACATTTGCAAGTGTTTTTAATTAACCCAAGGTCACAAATGAAAGATGTCAAGCGAGATTCATCAAGAACTAGGTTTGATAAATTATGATATGAACAATCACAACCTTCGCACTTCAACATGACGTTCAAGAGACAGTGTTTCACGTGATGTACACCCCCCCTTGGGGGATACGTATAAATGTGAGGAGAGACAGTTAATAGAGAATAGTGATTACTGTTAAAGGTATTACATAAGAACATAAGAAAATAAGGAGTCTGCAATAGGCCGGTTGGCCTGTGCATGGCAGCTCCTGTCGAGAGGTACTACCACTCTCTATCATTCATGAATCTATCCAGTCTCCTTTTGAAACTTTCCAGCATTCCAGCACTTACTACATAGTTGCTAAGCTTGTTCCACTCGTCCACCACCCTATTTGTGAACCAGTTCCTTCCTATCTCCCTCCTAAACCTAAACTTATCCAACTTAAATCCGTTGCTTCGAGTCCTATCCTGCTCGGATATTATAAGAACTTTATCTATATCCCCTTTATTGATTCCTTTCACCCACTTGAATACTTCAATCATAGATCCCCGCACTCTTCGTCTTTCTAGGGAATGCAAGTTTAGTTTCTTTAACCTATCCTGATATGGAAGGTTTCTAAGTCCCGGAATAATTTTCGTCATTCTACGCTGCACCGTCTCTAGTGAATTGATATCCATTCTATAATAAGGGCACCAGAACTGAACCGCATAATCGAGGTGCGGCCTGACTAGCGCAAGATATAGTTGCAACAAGACCTTTGCACTCTTATTACTTACACTTCTAGATATAAAACCCAATACTCTGTTTGCCTTATTTCGAACATTAACGCACTGTTTTCTAGGCCGTAGGTCCGGGCTTACAAGTACCCCTAGGTCTCTTTCACAAGTCGACTTCTCTAGGTTGATGTTGTTAAGGCTGTATACATTGACAGTACTTGTATTTGTTCTTCCAATATTAAGTACGCTGCACTTGCTGGTGTTGAATTTCATTTGCCATTTTTCAGACCACCCCTGCAGTTTATGAATCTATCTAGCCTCCTTTTAAAACTCTCCAGCATTCCAGCACTTACTACAAATTTGCTAAGCTTGTTCCACTTGTCCACCACCCTATTTGTGAACCAGTTCCTTCCTATCTCCCTCCTAAACTTATCCAACTTAAATCCGTTGCTACGAGTCCTATCCTGCTCGGATATTATAAGAACTTTATCTATATCCCCTTTATTGATTCCTTTCACCCACTTAAATACTTCTATCATATCTCCCCGCACTCTTTGTCATTCTAGGGAATGCAAGGTTTATATGGATCTTACTGGAGGTGTACCCCAGTGCTCTCCAGTGGAAAGTATCCCTGTGTGGCCAAGGTTACCCAAGGATGTTCATGGAGGCAATATGTGAAGAGGAAATATCAGTATATTTAGAACTTGGGACCTACTGTGTCATTTTATTAGCCATCTTTATTTTACTGTACTAAAGAGTCACAGTTCTGATTGTGAATGAAGGGGTTCTGAATTGGATATAGGGGATGGCTAGGAGTCACAGGTGATTACTGCTGTTGTGAATTTGGCATAATGTAACTTAATTATTGTGACATCTAATTTAAATTGCTCCTATCTCTCCAAATTTTATGAAGTTTTGAAAGTTTGTTTGGTCAAGAATACATTTAATGTATGAATTTTTCAGAGGGAAAATAGCTCCATGGAGCATCTCAGGAGTCATGTTAGGTCTGGTCTGTGGAATCTTTGGTGTTATTGTTGATGACACTCAGGAGGTGCTGTACTGAGTGTTCAGTGATAAGGTCAAAATTGGTGAGATAAGGAAGTGTTATTAGATCTTCCTCATGAGTTTAGTTGAGTCTGTCCTGTTTTAGGTCTGATAAAGTACTGATTTGTACAGTACAGGTATAGTAATTTAGGGTGTTAGCCAGAAATGAAAGATTTATCATAAAAATCTTTCTGACCATTCAGACACAGACAACTTCTATTGCACCTGATCTAAGGTTGAGATAATAGATGTGATGGGGAGTTGAGGATGATGATGTAAATACTGTACATTACTCTCTAAGACAGAGTAATTAGTGGTTATGACATTGAATGGCCCCAGTTGGCAGCCTGTACAGTACAGTACTATATTACAAGGAACTTTCTGCTAATGGATTCACCCAGAAAAGAGATTTCTCAATCACTGCCATTTATTTAATATATTAATTATTATTTTCTTTTCTTTTGATGAAGTCTACCCGTTAACCTCACACATTCCTATTTTTTCAAGTCCCTTCCCACCTTTGCTAGGTGAGTGAACGACGTTATACGAAACGTTAAGCGGATCAATTTTCCCCATAAGAAATAGATAAAATAAGGGGGTTACGTTCCTGAGCCTCCCTTTGCCCCATGAAATGCATTACATATACAGAAAATCATTGCCATTTCTATAAAAAAAATAGTGCATACATATATAACTACTAAGTTTGTATTGGTACTCATTGATGGGCGTAGGTGGTAGAGTGAGTGTGTGGTGGGTAGTGAAGCAGAGGAGGCGGATGGTGGGAGGGGAGGAGTATGGCGGGAGCGGAGGAGGAGGGTGGGAGCAAAGGAGGGCAGGAGAGGAAGAGGGTGGTGAGTCACTGAGACTGCGCCGAGCTGAGAGGGCATAGCGCAGCCAGACGAGAGCGGGTGATGCGATGTAGAAAGTAATCCGTAACAACGCAAAACGACAAATTTTTGGTCTCTAAACTTTAGAGACGTAGTACCGAAACAACGTTAAGCGCGGACTCACTGTATATTTCACAGAAAACATACCGTAGGCCTCCTTATGTGCTGACTAACAGACTTTTAACAACAGTGGGTAATGGATTTTGTAAATGAAATTATAGATATTGCATGTCACTAGTGTTTAAACTGTATTCTGGATATTGATGTACTGTAAAACAAACTTTTCAGAAAAAAATTTAGTACAATACTCAGGTACTTTACTGTATATTCACAACAGATGGATCTGCTACCTCATCACTTACATAATTCAGATTTACCAAGACCATGGTTCACAAAGTCTGCAGCAGTAGGAATGTTAGCTGGGTTCCTGATCCCAGTCCTGCTACCATTCTTGCACTTTGGTATAATATCTCACCTCTGGGATGAATTCAATTTCAAAGTCAACCGGCAAATGTGCTCTTGCTCATGTTGGGACACCATATTCAAAGGTAAGGTTGATGTTCTCAAGACAAAGTTTAATCATCTCTTGGCTATAACATGTTAGTGTATCTAAAATTAATATGATTCATTCACACCTCCAAAAGACAGTGGTCACTCATCCTTCTTAGATGCCTCAATTGTTTTTAATTGCATTTCTGTTGACCTTTCATAAGAATAATAAGTACTGTACAGAACTGTGTTAAATTCATTAGCCTAAACTACTAGTGGGCCAACCAGAGGCAAAGAGGATTACAGTAAGTTTATACCTTCATGTAAGCAAGGCATCCACAATGTTTTATAAATTTACAACCATTCTAAGGGAGCGTGTATTATACCACCAAGTGTAGTGGATTATAACTCGGGGAACACCTTAAAGAGTTGAGGATAAGAACAAATTCATGAATTTACCTACCTAGTTTACCAAACTTCCACCACATCCAGAGATGGAGGGCAATGTCCTGTATAGGGCACCCCATTGTTCTTGATAAGCTTGTCTAGGGTTGTTTTGAAGGTAGGTTCAGGTACTATTCTTGCTTCCACGGCTTCACTACACCTTCACTCTGGAACTGTAAAAGGTTTTGAAAACAGTAGTCACTACTTACTCATGTGTTTTTTGCTCATTTGTCTTGGTTAGGTTGGGTTGATGGGAACTTTCATACCAATGCTTTCTATAATGTTTTGGTTTTTCAGGTATATATGAGAGAGGACCAGGAGGGTATAAGCATGTTTATTTTAACATAACCCCCAACACCCTCAAGATCTGGTTTGTCACAGTCTTGGCTGTCATACTCTTATATGAAACTGTGAAGAAGGTGGTAAGGCTGTACATCACTGGAGAGGTGAGTCATCTTCATACAAGTGATTTATAAATGTGTCTGTGTGTATTATTGTAAAATACAGTGGTGGGTATCAACCTCTGTAGGCCAGCCAGGTCATTATCTCTTATCAGAATCATGAACTGAAATTAAATTAAAATGTAAATTTAAAGTTCTTTTCATTTTCTATGGCATGAATGATGAAAACAAACTGACACCATGTGGAAACTGAAGAAAATGACTGCCTCACTTAGTCTTATTGAGAGTCAACAGCATGTGGATATAAGGTAACCCCACAATAAAATCACATCACTACAGTACTTGACCTCAGAATTATACACATTTGTTTCTTGTTTGTGATGTTGCAGATACGTTGGTCTATGTTGGTCCTCCTGGGAGCAAGTATCTATCCCCATTACTACTCTTGGTGGTCCTACTTCAATTATTGGAATGATGACTTCTACAGCCAATGGAACCACCAGCTCTTTTTTTCTTTTACAGAGTTGGCCTCCACCATCTCTGTTGTGAATTTATTAGACAAGTAGGTTATGAATAGTTGTCCTGTAATCAGTGTCTTTCAGCTGCTCAGATAACCATTACTCAGCTAGCAATACTTTAAAAATTGATTTTTAAATTAGTTGATATGATGGAATTAAAACCAGGATAATTGTACTCTATAAAACAGTTGGTGTATGTTCCCATAGTTCATATAAAAAATGAGGAAAAGGTTTTAGTAATATTTTGTGTTTTCTTTCAATTTTGTTACAAAAGTGCAATTTTTTTTTTTTTTTTTTTGTGTGAACTTAGCACAGGTCAGACTGTAAGTGAAATCGACGCTAAAACCAAAAGGCAAATCCTTGGTTAACAGAACTTTAGCAGTTTACTGTAATTTTTTTAAATATTAAAGTCCATCACTGTTTTTGTGTTTTATCTGATCAAAGTGAACATATTTATAGTTATATACTTGGTCAACAAATGGTTTCATCAAATAATTTTTTGTCTTACAATTTTTTAGGAGCATCAGTGTGACAGCAAAACGAGCCTTGGTTATTGTTAGCATTGCGATCCTTCACATTATGACTTCAGGTTTTGATCAATTTGTTAACAACGTTGTCCAAGGGAATGGTATGCTTCACCAGGTAAGTGTTAATTATTGCTAGGACTCTCACATCTCACCTGGAACTCACTTCTCCTCTGTTTTGAAGCTTTTGTTAGTACCTTTTTACCTTGTTTTCCACTCCATCCTCTATCAGCTTACTAACTGATCATTGACATCTTGGTTTTGAGTGGCAGGTACTGAGCATTCACAAGATTTTGAATGTACTTGAACATGTATCAGTACTGATCTATCTTGGACTGAACAAAGAACACACTAGAGATGCTTTTGTTTTCATCAACTCCTAATGACATACTGCCTGTCTGGCCACATAATCTTTTATCAGCTTTCTGTATGGTATTATCTTATCAATTAGGGATGGACCTTGATCTTCAGGCATAAATGTTTTTACTTGTCTATGTTCATTGCTACTAAGAATATGTATTGAATTTTACAGAAATTTATTGTCTAAATCATCATCAATCTATTAATGAATACCTCTGTGTTAAACCTGTAAATATTTCATTTGGTTGGTTGACCGCTGCATATTCTAAACATTCCCCATACCCCTCCTTCCCCCAAGCATCTACCCGGGTTCCTAAAACCAATTCCCATTACTATTTCTTACACACAAAGTTTTTAATTGTCATGGAGGATCTATTTGTAATATACAGGTACCGTACTGTATATCTAAATCATTACATTACCTAAACCAACGTATTACCTTGACCTTGTCAAGTTATCAGTTCTGATACATTTATCTTTTTTTGCTATAATTTGATGTTTTAGTTGTAATTTTTATTAGAAGACTAAAGAATCTTGAAAACAGTCATGGTTATCTAGCCACTCCTGTGATGGATGTAAAGGATGGTGTTTGCAATTCATAGTGAAATAATTCATCTATCAGTATAGTACAGTATTCTGTGCACTACATGTTGCTTATAGAGAGTACATCTATGTAAATATAATAATTCTTTTTTTTTTTACAGGTGCTGCGAGATATATTCTTCATGATCCCAGACATTTTACATTTAATCTTACCATTAGTAGAACTCAAGAAAATTGCTCAGTCTCGTAATGTTCCCACTGCTTATGTAATCTCAAACAAGGAATTCTTCTCCTCTGTTGCTTTTGTTCTTTCTGGGTGGTTTATCTGCTTATTGCTTTAATATCATATTATTTGGAAAGATTCTTATGCTTTTGATAAAGCCTAATGCTCCAGGACCAAAAGTATAATCTATTTAGAATTATATTAAAGTACTGCAGGTGGCACTTAAGACTCCCTGTACAGTACTGTATTAATATTGACCATGACTTTCACCCCAAAATTTAGTAGATATGCAGATCATAGGTAATGGATGGTCATCATATCTAGTGAAGCTTTAGAAAAATCATTACTTGTACAAGTACTGTGCATAGAAAAGGGTAATTTCCTTATTAAGATCATGGAATGTACAGTATGAGGAACAAAAGTTAATGTACAAGCACCAGAATGTTGATGAAAAGGAAAGTAGGTCCCATAGACTTGACAGCCTGGTAGGGGCAGGGCAGATACAGCACACTGTAGATTAAGCCTTTTTTTCAGTACACAAGGAGACAGTGTAGCCGGCACTGCACTCGACTGCCTTCATTTTCCCCAACCATAAAGTTAGGTACCCATTCATAGCTGGGTGACCTGAGGGTGCTTTGGGCATGAACCAGTGACCCTTAGGACAGGAGGTGAGTGCTGTATCTACTTGGCTACTACACCCCTACAATATTAATAGATCATGCCAAAACTTGCCAAGGGGTTGATATGGTTCAAAGTATATAATGGTTCATTTGTCATAATATAAGTTAAATTCATTGAAGATCCTTCATTAGGTTATATAACAATATCCTTGACCTTTGATTCAGTAACCTTAAAATTGATAGGAAACTTTCTCCTCAGGTACAAGGGTCTTTTGCAATATCACATTCAATGATGCATTGAAACTCTTGGTTACAAAAACAAAATTCCCTTTTATGGTAACAATAAGTGGCCGTTGACCTTCAGATCAACAGAGAATTTTTACATTTTAGGGACAACTGATCTGTACAATATTTTGCTCATCATTGTATAGAAAGTGATAGTTTGGTTGACCTTCAACCCCCAAAATCAAAATCAACAGGGAACTCTTCCCTTCAGGGCATTGTATCTATCAGTGTCTGCATCATTTTCATTGTTGTATGTAAACTCAAAGTTATAGAATGTAATACAAAACTGTCTAACCCTTGTGAAATGGGTTAATTGCATAGCTACCCCCTCCCCCTCCCCACATATGCACCAAAAATGGTAAAAGTAAAAACAACATATGATGATGGCCACTGTGAAAGAGTCAACCCCTTCACTGTTGGAGTATGAGTACAGTACCAGAGTATGTACAGAAAGTTCTTATACATTTGTGATTTGTAATGGTACAATTCACATGAGAGTGACAGATGAGTATAGGACTTATTAAATGGTTGTCTCAGTATACTGTAGTATGTATGGGTTTTCACACCATACATTTATATTTAATCTTTTTTCCACTTTGCTAAAATATCCTGACAGTATGATGTATACAGTACTGTATATAAAAAGGTCATACAATAAATGTTAAGATATAACAGGAGTCCGAGATATCTAAAGTTGGTACCACCTTCACCACTCATCCCACACCTTACAGCTGAGTTTACCTATTAAACAACACTCACTTCCTTACAAAGATCACATACAGTACTGTAGTTATTAATACAGTACAGTATTTATAAACAGTTGGAGACAAATTGCCAAAAAATTTGTTTTTCTGAGTGGTTTATTATTTATTTATTGCATTTATTTTTTCTGATCGCCCAAGCGGCTAACGAGCCGATCAGTGGTGAAGAGGATAAAAGTAAAGTGAAAGATGTATGTTTCTTTATAGACAATATTGTACTTACTTTTTTATAAAATGTCAAAATAAATAAAAAGTAACTTTTACCTATTTATATAAAAATAAATTTTTGCCTTCAACTGTATAATATAGGAGATTATATTTAGAAAAATGGTAGTCCTACCTCCTTTAGAACATTTTTTATGACAAAAGTATAAGCATTTTGCACAGGTTATTGAGTGCACTCAAACTCATACAGTACTGTGCTGTCAGTGGTGGCCCTGCAATTGGTGGGTGGCGAATGGCCGGATGTCAAGTGTTAATGCAGTACTGTAAATTTACACAGGCACAATGACCTCACCATAGGTGGTGCTATTTTGGTGTCCCATTAGTTATGGAGGATAGCCACTCTGGTCTTTAACATCTTGGGTGTGCCGGTATCCATTAATTCAACTTAACATTGTACCATCATGCCCTTGACTTGGGATTCTTGAATGGATATATTCCTCATTTTCCTTATCTAAGACAAAATAACTGGCTCACACTTAACTGGGTTTCCAAGAAGGGGCCTGGAATGCCATTTAATAATTTTTCTCTCACATTGTTTCAAAACCCCTTCAATTGGTGGGGACATTTGAGTTATCAACCCACCATATAATACTGTATATACAGAAATAACACAGCACTACTTGGCTTGACAGCCCATACATATACTGTATGGAAATAGTGAGAGGGAGTAAGCAACAGTGACAACCTTCGACCAAATGGCCTCAAAATCAGTTGTGAGTTACTGTACCTTTCTTTTGGTGTATAGGAATCATAATACTAGTTTTAATAACAGACCTTTACCTCATCTCCCTTGGGACAAGATACCTATGCAACATCATGTCATCAGAACATGGCAACAAATTGTGGTTCAAAAACCAGTATCCTAATTATAACATCAGTCAATTAGACCTTTTAACTACGCAGTAACCCCCAAATCAACAAGGTGTCGTCCTCTTACTAAAGTTAGGATATCTTCTCTCACTAGTTCATAGCAACCAAAATTCTTTGACCCAATGACCCCAATATCCCAACAGGGACCTCCACCTGAGGGTCAGGGTACAGTACCTAAGCAATATCATGTTTATTGGGGCATGAAATTCATGTTAAGTGTCAGAAACCAAAATTATAAAAAAATAGTGTTACGTGCTCCACTTTGTAGGTACATTGACAAAATTTAAATAAGTGCCAAGACCTTGTTTACAGTGAGCACATATTGAATAAATACAACTTAATGCAAAAAATGGGTGTAAGTATATAAACCTGAATACTGTATAAAGAGAAAAGATACATGTGTGTTTGTTTATGTGTAAACAAATGATGTACAGTAATATAAATCTTTGTAACCTGAAAATTCAGAGTGGATGCTTTTTTTTTCTCATTTATAATGGTGCATATCACATTGACTAAATTTTATGGCTATCAGTGTGAATTACTGCATACAGTAATTAAACTGGAACTCATTTAGGGTGAGCAGATGAAGATCTTATTACTATTGATGATTACCTATGTTTTGTCCTTTTAGTCAACACCTATCCATATTTCCTGTATACACAAGTGTCTTCAATCATAATTCATCAATCTTAGCAAAAGCTAACATCTGATTAAACATGCGACCTACTCCTTCAGTTCAGAAGGGTTAGCTTAGTCTGAGGCCTTAAAATGAATACAGTAATGACCAACTCCTGAACATTCCAAAGTAAGCAGCATCCGGCCAACCCTGCATACCACCCTGAATTAAACCTGGTCCTCTGTAGATGTCTATACAGTAGAAGTCAAAGTGTTTATGAATTATTTAAAGTGGTGTTTGTTTTAAGAAAGTAACTTGGTTCAGTGACATTGTAATATTTTGTGACTCCTGGTAATAAATTTATTAAAAATCTCATTTTTTGCAGATATTTATAAATTAATATTAATCATATATATTCTGTGATGTTTCATATTTATACTATTACCTAAGCTCAAGCATATATTTTGGCAGTGTACCGAACAAAATGAAGTGTACTTTGAAGCTTATAACTACAGTGTTTCCAATATTTTTTTATGGAATATGCATGAAAAATTATCATTTCCTTTTCCTGACAATTGATCATTATGGTAATTAGAGTACAGTACAACCCTTCGTTGCCTATTTTTATATAAAATTTGTAAGTTTTTACACACTATTTTCTGCTACAAAGAAATTATATCCTCGAATGAGTTCGTAAGATGTTATGGAATCTTGCACAATATCGTTTCCACAGCCTATACATCAGGTGAAAAACCTTAAAGGCTTTAAAAATGTTTTTTGAAATTCGATGAGACATTAGTTCTCCCAAGAGCTTATGTGAGTTCTGTAATAGGTTCAGTCTTTATAGACTCATTACCTTATGGCCTTATTTATTAATGAGATTTTCACTTACAGCATCAGTATCTGGTGAAAGGGCTGTCCAAATTAAAGTGTGTTGCCCCATGAACATACGAGAGCATTCGGGGATATATTGGGTTCGACTTTAGGCAAATGCACACAGGGCAATACCACAAACAGTATTGTTTAGCTTTTCTAAATAAATTTTATGGCAATACTGTACTGGTATTGATATTTTTAGTCACAGTTATGCCTCAACTTATGCAATAGATGTGTTCTTGAAGATGTACGCTCAACTGTACATGATTGTTCCCATATAAATGTTATAAGTGGAGGTTGCATACCCAAACATTCACTGAATATTGCCTTGTCTTTATCAGTTTATTTATTTTTATATGTATTAAAACAAAAACATTTAATTGTGCTGCTGAAGTAGTATATTTTCTCTGCCCATTGCTGTCTGAACCTTCTAATCACTTGTGTGTATGGTGGTTCCCTCTGCTGAGTAAAATAGTCTGGCATTAGCCAATTAAAATATTAAAAGTGGTTTCCCCTTAGTGAAGGGGTTAATCGCTGATGGAACAATTCCCACTCAGTTTTTATAGCAAGTACAAAGTTTGAAAGTGACATAAATGTTCCACAGGTAAATGTAACAGTGTCACACACTAGGTGTAACTCACTACACACATTGCATTGGTAGTCATCGTAACTGAGAAAGCTTGTGTAAGTCGAGGCAATTTTTCTGGTTTACTTTTCAATAATATAGTATTAAATTGCAGTAAGAGGAATTCATGTAAGTTGGACAAGCATAAGTTGAGGTTTAACTGTATACTTGCAGTTGTTCTCATAGGGTATTTGCAAACTTTCAGAACTTGGGGGAAGACTGAATGGTTGCTAACGATATCATACAGTATTGTACTGAACATAAATGAAGCCACATAATGGTATACAGTACATGTAATGTACACTGACACAATGTGTTGACATTGCATAACATTTATGTACTTCATGATGGTTTGTCAAAAATTATTTTGTCTAACCTGAATTTAAATTATTTTTTTATCCTCAAAATATTTCCTTAAATTAATATACTGTAGTGCCAATTTCAAATGTATCAGCTTGTACTTTCTTATGTGGAATTGCCCTAGATGCTATGTATACTTTCAGTATAATAAACAAAAGCATACAGCCAAGTAGTTGTAAGTAATGTATTAGATTTTTTATCTGAGAATAACCTTCAAAATTTGGCACTGTTGAGGCTAAGACTTGACTGGAAATGTGAATTTTTCATTAATCTAATCAAGATCCATCCCTGTATACCTCCTCACCTTAAAACCATGAAGCAATTCTTTCTTGAAATTCCTGAGGTAAGTAACAGTTCAGTTATGTGGTGCTCAGGTAGAAAGCAGATTTTTTTTTATCAAAATCACACTGTATTTGTTATTAGGTAGAAAAACCAATTGAACAAGGTGAAATGGCTGTGGTCCTGTAATCAAAGCAAGTTTAACCTACCGGGTACTTGTAACAAACCAAACCTATCCTAATAATTCAACAGTATTTTTTTTAGCTAAGTTAGGTAGGTAGGGTTTGGCTGGTTTTTGAATCGTCTGCCATTAACCCTCTTGTGCACGCAATTAGTTTTAAGTTTCCGTGACCACGACAAAGGGCATATGGGACTACTCATGTGAGGTCTGGTCATCTTTGTCCTGTGGCTAATTTGTGCCACAGAAGATAAAAATGAGGTTGAAAATAAGACTACAGTACTTACAGTATATTTTTTCACTTTGAATAATAAAAAAAAATTTTGCCAACTTCATTTTTTGGATATTTTCTCACAAACTTACCAGGGTACAGTAATATGCTAGTTATAGAAGCAGACTTTTATGAGCTTTCCAACAGTGCCTTGGAATTATTCGACTAATTGTGGGGAGGATGGTAGAGGAGATTGACAAGTGAGACCTACCAGCACAGCTAACGGGAGGAAACTGATGACAGCAGAACTCCACCCACACTTTGGTACTTTCTGAAACCTTCCTTGCATGATGAATGAATATTTGACAATTACGTAGGTTGAAAATCGTTTTTTGGCTAATTTTTCAGTTTAACGATACAACTTGTGTCATCGATGCAAATAATGCTACCCGATGATTTGATGCAATTTGCGTCAAGATGCACAAGAGGGTTGATGATCTATGTTCACCTTCTGTAGTCCCTCAGTAATTTTAGTATTGGCCATTTCATCATATTTTCAAATGTTTTCTCTATATTCTGCTGTGGCAAGGTGACTTTTTTCTTCAAATAATGACCACTATGAAGTGTATCACTAAATTGGATGTTATACTCAAAACTAATCAGACAGCTTCTGCCACACCTTCATAAATTTGCCAGTTAGGTCAGTTTCTGAATGTACAACCAATCCAAAAAGTATCGAGAACTCGGGTATCTGAGAGAATATGAAACACCGGGTGAAAAACAACCCAACTTATACAGGAACGCATCTTAAGTTTTTCACTCGTTTTCTATTCCACCAGACCCTGAGTCTCTATACTATTTGAATTGGCTGTATGTATGATATTAGTTTAATAGTTTTGGCACTTATTATTTATTCAGTTCAACAATACACAGTACTGTAGTTTTAAAATTTTATAATAAAATATTTTTTTTTACTTGTGATGTAGAATAACACGATGTTGCTAGCTACTGTATTACTGTAAACAGGTACAGGTACTTTATTTGACAAATAAAATAACTTTATATCACGAAATCCTTTGTAAAACTGATATATTACATTACAGTATTAAATTGAAATGCTACATTTTCATTGTCAGAAAAAAAAATATTTGGTCTTGAATTACAAAATGAACATAATTGTAAGGTCTTCCACACCAGCCTGTGAGTGACGTCTGTGGTCAAGTCCAAAACCCACTAATAAACTTCTGCTGAGGTAACAAGACGCATTTCTACATCAGGAAATCTGAGTTTATCAGACCTTATGATATTTTCATTTAGTAAGATTATTATCCACATTAAAAAATTATGCAAATTCAACTGAACTCTGAAGAAACAATATACTACACCTAAATGTTTTAATTTGAGGGAATTAGCAGAGCAAAATACCCCACGTTCAGGTGAAGTTTTGTGAAAAAATGTCTGGATAATAACCATTACTAATGAAATACCTGTACCCCTTTGTATAAGAAAATTCAAGTCAATTTTGGACCTGACAGCTGTCTACACCTATGATTTTGTTTGCTGCTCTACAACTTGTTTGGCTGTGTGTTATTCATCATTTGCCAATTATGCTATTTAATTTTTTGCTGTGATCCAGCCAATAATGATTTTTTTTTAAATATATTTTATATTGCTTTTCAAAAGTGCCAGATTTTTTAGGTTCAGATGTATAATTATAAGTTTTCAAAATATATATTATGTAAATGAGAGAAGTACAGTACTTCTGTATTTTGTAAATTATATTTTGTGTATGTGTGAACAATTTGTATACAGTATACAGTCAAAAGGCATACGAGTCTCATCAATATATTATGGTGCTCTTTTTACTTTTTTAAGTATTAAATATTGCTTATTGTAATGTTGCAAGTACGTATTGTATACTAGATGTAAAACTAAACTAAGCTATTTTGGCAACTACTTTTGTGTAATGGTGATTGTTACAGTAGCAGTTTTTCTTGCAAGTACCGTACATAATTACAATGATGGCCTAGTAAAATCTTTACCACATTGTGTGTACAGTATTTTGAATGGTTCTTTGGCTTCATTGCTGTTTTTTTTTATATACCGTACCCCTGTATGTTGCAAAATAATGACCTTTAGTAAATATGGCTGTACCAAAATTATCCAATTCCCTTGTGGGTAATCCCCATACTGTATTGATGTTGTAAATCCAGGTATGTGTGTTTTTGTAGTACTGTATGTACTGTATAAGGTATTTTAAAAATATATGTATATTTTTGTTGCTTTTGTAAGGATAAATATAAGTATAGTACATAAGAAAAAATTTCACATCCTTTAAAATTCAGTATTACATAAAAAATGAATAAAAATTTACAACTTGTTGCAAATATTTACATGAATTTTTTGTTAAGTGAGAAGCAAAACCACTCAGTTGGAATAGAAACATGATATCTCTAAGAAACTCCTGGCCCCTCCTAATCATATTACAGTATTAAAATTATTAACATAATGAAAGAAGACAGCTGCACAACATCTCACCCTTTGTCTATGTTTACACTGATGAGCAAGATGATACTGTGTACAGCACAGTACGTACGTGTTTGTGGCAAGGGTAATTTGCCCGTTTACTTAATATTGAGTAATGTTTATGAGAACGTTTTACGACGGGGTTAGGGACCCAAATCCAGGTCATTAGTCGAAAATGCGAAAATAATACTGTACATAGAAAATCTAAAATGGGTGTCTCTTTTTCTTCTCAGCACCACAAAACTCTCACTTTTCTGCTTGCCAGCCATTTTAAAGTGAATTACTAACGAAAATTTGGTCAGTACACAGCGCAATCACTAATGTCGGGACTTGAAAATACGTAATATGAAAAAAATTTGGTACGACTGGGGCGGTCATATATATATGTGTGTGTGTGTGTACACAAGTAAATCACTGAAGGTGTGCGTGATCTAGGTATATGCTGATAACCACAAGGAAAGAAGAAAACTTCGTGTTTTCTTCTTTCCTTGTGGTTATATATATATATATATATATATATATATATATATATATATATATATATGCTTCATTGTCAGTTACAAATAAGGGCTATGAGAAGAGCATGGATTGTTTGCATGCATTTTGGATCTTGGCTCAGTAACTTACTGCAGTACAGTAAGTCCTCGCTAACGTCGGCCCGTCGGACTACTTTCTACGTTACTCTTGTCTGGCCGAACTAAGTTCTCTTGGCTCGGCGCGCTGCTCTCACTCGATGAAGGTCATAGTGTCCCTGCAATGAAGGAATACTGTGCCAAGGAAAACCTTAACTTCAAAATTCTTCTGATCGTTGACAATGCTCCAGCTCATCCTCCCAATCTTGACGACTTGCATGACAGTGTAAAAGTTGTATTCCTGCCTCCCAACATGACAGCACTGATACAGCCTATGGACCAAGGCGTCATCGCCGCATTCAAGATGTATTTATTTATACCATACCATGGCCCAGCTGCTCAAGGCTAAAGATGGAGAAAAGAAACCTACGATCCGAGAATATTGGCTTGGCTTCAATATTCTTCATGCAATTGACAACATTGGCAAGGCATGGGAAGAGGTTTCAGAAAGTTGCCTGAATGGTGTGTGGGGTAAATTGTGGCCCAAGTGCATCAATAAGTTTTACGGGATTCACGGACTTAGTCCCAGCTGTGAATAGGGATATCCTCAGCTTGGCTAGACACGCAGGCTTTGATGAGCTGGAATCGGAGGATATTGAGGACGTCCTGGCATCCCATACAGAAGAGCTCACCAACTTAGTAGCTCTATACATGTATACTATTTTCTATAGAAATGGCAATGATTTTCTGTATATGTAATGTATTTCATGGGGTAAAGGGAAGATGGGGAAAGTAACTCCCGTATTTTATCTAATTCTTATGGGGAAAATTGATCCGCTTAACGCTGTTTCGTATAACGTCGCATTTTCAGGAACGTAACCCCGACGTTAAGCGAGAACTTACTGTACCATATTCAGAGGCAACCACTACACCACTGGATACCAAGAAAGGCTCCATGAGTAACTGAATAAGTAGCTGTTTTTACTACAGTTGCACTATTCACAAGAAAAATGTGTTCTCTTAAGTAATTAGCATTCCAAGATGAATTATGTCACGTAGTTTCAGCGAGATTGGACAGCTCATGGTTAAGTCACAGATGACCCGTCTATAAAAAGTATAAACTATGATCAAAAATATAATGGCGAGACAGTAGAATAAGCTCATGAGAAGAGAGCAGACAGGATTCCGGAGTAAAATTTATGATTCTTCACGAACTAAAGAAACATTAAGGTTGCTTGCTTCTATATTGTAGAAAAGGTAACCTAATTATACAGACCATTAGTGAAGAGAATATAAATAATTTTCTTCATTAAATATTTATTAATTTACATTACACTGATGTATTACCAAAAACCTTACAAAGTGATGCAGTCTCAAATGTTTGTTACATCAATAAAAAATTTAAAAAAAATTCTAATCTTATATCTAAAGATTTTTGTGTTAATAAAAATGGTAAACTAAAGGGATTTTTATACAAAAGTTATCTTAAGTATCAAACATACAGCAAAAAGATAGTTGTAGGCTGATGGTTCTTTTCAATCAGCTAAAGATGGTCACTGAAGCTAACATCCTAATCCTATGATTTAAATGTATGTTAAAATAAATGGGACAACTTAAATTGGTTTGATCTTGAAGTGAAGACCAATCAAGGAGAACACAAGACACTTGAGGTCTTGTACAAGGTAGTAGAAGCATCTAAGACCATCCGGGTCCCTGTTGATAAAATATAAATCAATAAAACTTACCTCACACTTTATATAGCTCAGCCACATTACAAACACTAATAGAATTTTTATTATACGTACAGTATATGATTCTGCTGCAGTAACTTTTAACTTAATGATTTGTCATCTACATATACATGTACTGTACAGTACTGTACTAGATCACCATACTCCATACACTTCTCTGTAAAACTAGTTTGATTATTCACTAAAACTTGTAAGTTTATTAATAATCTTGAAAATCAATAAAATTTTCACAATATTTTACATGTTCTATCATAATGTACTGTACTTTGAAAACTTTTCTTCCATAAAGGAGGAATTTCACAATTTGAATTTTACAAAATATTAAAACTGTATTAATTATTTTCTTACTTTGAATTATTAACATCCACCAATGAGCCAATCTTGGAGGTTGTAAAGGAAATATGTTCATCACCAATGACGATCTCTAGCTCTTGTCGACCTACACGGTCTGGTTGAGGCCAAAGAGCATCATCTTCTTGCATTATTTCAGAATCATCAATAATTCTTTTTAGCTCTTCCATCACACACCGATGGCAGTAAGCCTGAGAAAAAATATACATGTATTAGAGGGAAACAGGCGAAGAAAATATAAAAAATATATTACAGTACAGTACCTTATTTCAAAATTGAAATTAGACTAGGGGACTTTTTTACTGCTACAAGTAAGTCTAGGTTAAAATCCAGAAAATCCCTTGACATTACCCCTTGGGACTACTCTTATTTATGACCTCCAACTACTGTTGTTAATTTAGGCAGACAGCAAATGTGTCAAAATTTGTGACACTGAAATTTTATTCAGAACAGTTTAAGGAGGCATACCTCAACCCCAATCCTGCCTGAAATCAACCTAACTCCTAACAGTAACTGGCAGATACTTAGCTGAAATTCTTAGCAGGAAAGGGTTATGAATCCATTTCATCTTGTTCATGCTGAAGCTCTGCCAGTGTTCAGTGCAGTTGCCATGAAGATTTGTGAAGTGGCATATATCAATAACACTGAGTCTGTCTTCTCAAAAATAGGTCTGAACTCCATGGTGGTGTTTGGAGCTCTGTCTCTGATGGTAGTCTGTCTTGTTCTGCCTTCTGACTGGGCAAACAGCTCTCTCCGTCGAAAAGCCCACCAACTAATGACGTCACATATGACATGTATTGTCATTCAAATTATTAAATTTACATTCTACACTGACAGACTCGGTGCTATTTTATAAAATTAGTAGGTACAATATTTATAAATAACAAAATTTATTTATTACAAATTAATTCACCAGAGTTGAAAATATATTACAAATATTAGTTACCTCATTTAAATCCAGTGAAAAAATCTCATGCCCATATATGTTGACCAGACAAATAATTAATAATAGCAATAATCCACCACAATTATTTACATTCATTACAAGTAAATTAAGAATTACCAAGTACTATATAATTTATACTGTACAGAACTCCTGTTGGCATGCTGCCAATGGAAATATTTACAAGTCATGGATTCTTGGTGGAAATATTCAAAATAATTTCCACACAATGAGTACATGTAAAGTTGTCTCATCAGCAGTAAACACCTCACCTGTCACTTAGCTACAACCTGTCACGTCAGGCCCAACCCACATTCAGTAACACCCAACTTTATGAAGTACAGTACTGTATCCTTTAGAGCAGTGGTTCTCAAACTTTTTTCCAGTTTTACCCCTATTTAAAGTCTGACAGGTTCACATTACCCCAACGTAAAATTTTACTCCTTACCTTTTATTCAATAAAGTTTATTATACAAAACACAAGTGTACAATTCTAGTCTGTCTTATACAAAAATCAATAATAGTGCTACAGTTAGTGCTGTTATAGACTTAGTCTATAGTGAGGCGAATACTTCACGAGTTGCCAAACGCGGCAAACGTAATGGTTAGAAGTGTTAAATACGAGGTTATCCCACCGTACCAACAGAAACATATTACCCCAGCCAAAATGTAGTTTTTACCCCAGTTGGAGTAATTACCCCAAGTTTGAGAACCACTGCTTTAGAGGAAGGAGAGTCGCTGAATCAGTCAGTCCAGCCATGGTTATAAAATGATATTTTAAGATCTATTATCTATTTAAAACCTTACAACTAAACTTGTGTATTAAACAGCAGTTTGATACAGAGCAGAGGTGCACATAAGTACTGTACAATGGACCCTTGCCATTTGCAAGTTTGCAATTTGCGATTTCAACGATTCGGGGTAAGCAGATGGCGGCTGGCTTGCAAGCCTTTCCCTGCAGCACGATTCAACCCACGCAGCACCTTATGTTGTACTCTCAAATCTTTAGTGCTTCTGTGTGAAATGGCCCCTAAAGGACTGCCTGGTGTCAGTGCTAGTGGAGTGAAATGTAAAAGGCAGAAGTCAGTGATGACCCTGACAAAGAAAGTTTTATTATAAGATAAGTTAAAGGAGGGGATGAGTGCTGCCGTCAGTTGTTTGGTATAGGTATACAGTAGTGCATTAAGGTAGTATAAGTTGCTATTCGCGGTTTTGCCAATTAGCGCCATTTCATGGAATCTATCCTTCGCGAATGGCAAGTGTCTACTGTACTGCACTCCAAAAGCTAACATGTCAATTCAAGCCAATTTGAAAGATAACTAATACACTGTATATTAGCCCTCTTGCACATTGATGTGAATTGCATTTGGATTTTTTTTTCATGATAATTGTGTAAATTTTTTGTGCATCATACAGTAGACTGCATCATCTTGCGAGGGAAACTTCCAGAAAGTACCAAAATGTGGGTGAAGTTTCGCTGTCCATCAGTCTCCTGTCAGCCGTGCTGGTAGGTCACGTTTGTCCCTTTATCTCCTCTCCCATCCTCTTCACAATTGCAGGGTAATCGTCTCAAAATTCAGGGCCACCATTGGGAAGATCATAAAATTATGCTCATAACTATGATATACCTTGATAGCTTTGTGAGAAAATATCCTAGATGCTGGGAAAACAAATACTTTTTTCTTTATTTGGAATGAAAAAAACAGTCTTATTCTAGTCTGAACTTTTCTACTTATGTTAAAGCCAAAACAATAACAAAGCCAGTGATGTATAAATCATGCCCCCCCCCCCCCAAAATCTTGTGGGATAAATTGGCTGCAGAACTAAGATGACCAGAGCTCACGTGAGTGGTCCAATATCACTCTAGTTGTCATCTCTGAAACTTAAAAACTTCTTTTGTGCAAGAAAGTGTTAACACAAAAAAACTTACACACTTTTAGTCTTTAAGAAGTCACTCACTTTGTGTTCAGTCTATAATGTATTGCATTTTCTCCAACCCCTCTCCCAACAAGGGTTACATTACTGCCTTTAAGGAACAGCAGCATATGTTGAAGTTGGGCAATCATGAAACTGAAGCTCTTATTTCCTTCAGACTAATGTCAGCTCTGATTGAATTACACCAAGTCACAGCCCCAGTACACACGATCTGGTGTCAAGGGATGATCAAGACCAGGATATAAAGAGAGCTACTACATATATTAAATTGTACAGACAACAAACACTTACCTCTTTACGAATCATGACATCATTCTTGTAATTTGAATTGTTTGCATATCGAAGCTTCCCTGGAAAGAGAAAATACAAGGATTATAATCATGGGTAAACACAGAAATAGCATCAACAAGCTGCTTGGGAGTATGTCTGGCTACTGTCTAATTAATCTATTAACTATGATGTAAAGTGTTGTGTTGTTGGTGACCGTAGCTTGCACTCTTGAACTAATACATCTCATCCATCTACTCTATGCAGTACTGCAGGCAAGGGCAACCTTTCCTCAGTCATGGGCCGCATTACGATTTAGGTATTTTTCTGTGGGCCAACCCACCAAAATTTATATCCTACATAACCCAAAAGTAATGTTAATTTTGTATTAGCACAGACAGTGAACCAGTTTATCTTCACGTCCACCTTACGATACTTTCAATTTACAATCACATTTTTTTTCCCCATTTATGAAACAAATCCACCATAATATATATTCATTTAAGTAATGTGTTAATGTTTCTTGACATTTAGCAAAACATGAGTGAAACAGTCTGAAAAAGTTGATTTTTCCTTCAGCTACAGCTATGCCTGAGGAACTTCTGTACAATGAAACAACCTATGGGCACACACATTACACACACACACACATATATATATACCCATGAGATCTAATCGGACACAAATAGATAAACAGATAGCTAAGCATGAAAGGTATGCAGGATGAGGTACTATGGAGAGACAGCCTGTCACCAAGGAAGAGACCTTTACCTCTGACCCATGAGACCACCACTTGTGACCCCACTTGGACTTACCCTACCTTAGTTAATTCCCAAGTATTGCCAAGTAAAATTGTGAGTACAAGACCCAGGGTGGGGTCAGTGCATCTTTGGTTGACTGTACATGTCAAGGTCATTACTAATGTCTGCAAAACCTCATATAGTACAATACATATACAGTACAGTATACTGTACTGCACTCATTAACAAAAATAAATTATATATATATATATATATATATATATATATATATATATATATATATATATATATATATATATATATATATATATATATATATATATATATATATATATATATATATATATATATATATATATATATATATATATATATATATATATATATATATATATATATATATATATATATATATATATATATATATATATATATATATATATACTGTACATATAAAATGGTCAAACTTCCTTTTTCAGTTTACAGTATCTCAAGAATAATGAACTCAGATTAAGTTTTTATTACTTTTTGAAGAATTTACACAAGAATGGGTACGAACTGTCCCGTAAATTGGGTACCGGGTACAAGTTATCTCGTAACTGGGTGCTAGTTGACATGTTCTCATGGGTAAGATTTGCTGGGGAACGAGTTGTCCAGCACCCGTTGGCAAGTACTGTACTGGCTCCAGAATGTATCTCAACACTCCAAAAAAAATTGGCCTGAAAGTTTTCCGAACTTATGGGTTCTTCAACCTTAAATTGCTGGTTCAGAAATACAACAGTTATCAAGTATTACCAAGATATTTGGTCATCCGGGGAATCTTAGGAGCTTAGGTTATGTTTGATATAGTTCCCAGGTTCAGTGGCTTCACTAGGTTAAGTTAAGTTAGGTTGGTTGGTTAAGTTAAGTTAAGTTAGATTAGATTAGGTTAGGGTAGGTTAGATAATATCAAAATCATTCAAAACTTGTCAAAAACCGTCGGAAAAACACGGGGATGACCAAAACTATAATTTTACCATTTTTTTAATCTTGTATTAATCATCATTCATAACCTCATTAACATAGTCATGAGTCATGACACTAGTTAGGTTTACTTTTACTTTAGCTTTTATCTTCTTCACCACTGACAGGCTCGTTATCCGCTTGGGCGATCGGTCACGTCTCTGTTACGCACTGTTGGCAAGTACTGGGCATGCACCGGCTCCTGAATGTACCTGAACCCGCTCCAGTGTTGGTCAAGTCTTGTCTTGAAAGAGCTCACACTCGGTGCCGTCACAACACTCTCTGGTAGATTGTTCCAAGAGTTCACAATTCTCACTCCGAAAAAGTTTGCCCTCACAGATTTCTGGACCGGCGGCTTCTTCACTCCTAAGCTGTGACCCCTTGTGGGGCGAGTGTCCACCACCTCCACGTAAGGACACTTGAGATACTTATACACCTCAACTAGGTCGCCCCTTGCCCGTCTGTAGTATAAGCTAGGCAAGTTTGGAATGAAAGGTAGATCAAATTGACCCAGACTTTTGAAATCACACATCATTGTATGTGAGGTCATTACTCAAGTTGCCCAATTCCAGAATCCTGCAAGATTCTCAAAAAGTAAACCATACCCTGCAAGATTTTGCTACACTGCACGTTAGCATTTCCCGGACCTTCAAAAACTTTCTACAGGTTTTACAAGCTACTGCATTAATACATTAGTGGCTATAAATAAAGTACATTACATCTTGATTGGTACATATAGAATGCTTCAAACACATCATTTTTATACTACAACTGTTAACCTAGTTTCTTTCCATACAAATTGTGCAGCAATTTGAAAGTAGAATGTACTAAACATGAGCTAGAATGCTGTCAGTCCTCAAAAGTTATTCATCAATTAAAAACACAAGGTTAACTCACCATCCGGTCTAAATTCAAACTCAAGGAACTCGTGGCCAAATTTTCCCTTGTGGCCGACATAATAACGAATGTAAAAGTCGCTGGATGACATGACGCCGCCTCACCTCCTCAGCGTCCCACAACACTGATCTCTAACAGTCAAGAGTCATCACATGTGTTTCTCTACAACATTTACTCTCCATAATATTACTAATACTACTCTATTAATTCAGCAAAGTTTCCATACAGGTTTTAAAACTGGAGAGACACGTATATAAACTATGTAAGTATACAGTTGAGCATTATTATAAAAACAAATGGTAAATTTTATCCTCTTCCAGATTGCGTTTACTTTTATCATTTTCAACACTGATACAGAACGATTTACCTTCATTTAGTAAGTATAAGACATATATTCTGGTCATTAGTCTTCAACCAATCTGTAAATTAGAGCAATGAATTTATTATATTAACGTTCCTTATTTTCACCTTTGGAAGAGAAAATCAAACACCTCCAAACCATTGATCATGTAAAGTGGAATTTGGAGATAAATTGCTGGGCTGATATAAGAGACTGTACTCGTTACTTATGGTAAAAAATAATAATAACTGGTGCCTGCATGTTGCCTTTATTGTTTGTTACAAGTGAAACTGGTTTAGCTGTATGATACTGATTGGTTAGTATAATGTTACTGCCCTTCAACAACGAAGGTCAATAAGAACGTCGGAGTTATTAGTTATTATAATTCTGTGAAAATGTAAATGATTATTAGTTTATACAATTGGTATTTACGTATAGGGTAGGATATTTTTTCATCAAAGATTTGCCTTCATTAAGAAACTGAAAAATAAACAAAAGTTAAACGCCTCATCGATAAAATGTGAATAACTCATAATTGTTAATAATTTATATATTTACTTGCCACAATGGAAATACGGTATATTATTGAAGTATGAAGCAAAATTACACACACACACACACACAAGCACTAATAAAGCTCTACTTGTTACTTAAGTCCGTTTTCGCACTTCAGAATTTTCAGGTGCAGGGACTGATATCTGGCTTCATTGTTACATTCAATCACTAGATAATATTTCTAAAACAGAGAAGCCTGCAATTATGTTTCGAACAAAGAAAACAGATTTTCCTGCTCGGCCGCAACCACCAAGCTGGGAACAGATGGAAGAGGACCTAAAGGCTGCCACAGAATCTGACATAATTTTCACACTTTCTGCAGGTAAGGCAGGTAAATGACACACGTTAATAACCCTGTGTGTAGTTTCCTTGCAGCAATATGCGGTAAATATTCGTCCATTGGCTGTCCTCAGGTTTTAGTATGAGAATAGGTTTTTTCTGTATTTTTTGCAGTTTTACTCAGATCTGACCTTCATTTCTTGTGCAAGTTAGTATTTTTTTGCAAGAAAAAAAAAGAACATTTTAAAAGAAACCGGTAATTTCCACGAAAATGTGGGTCAGATTTGAGTAAAACACAAAAAAACTAAAAAAACTATTCTCATACCAAAGGAACCAACCTACCTAACCTAACCTACAAGGACGAGGCAAGTGACTACGTGAGGATTATAGCCTCGGGTAAATAGGTGGCAACTTGCAGACAGCCAATTGATGAATATTAATCCATAAACACTTGATCTTGGGGGTTGCAAGTAAATACACTTGTACCATTTTATTTCTTGTTATTTTACTTTTACTTTTATCCTCTTCACCACTGATCGGCTCGTTAGCTGCTTGGGCGATTGGTCACGTCTCTGTTACGCACTGTTGGCAAGTCCTGGGCATGCACCGGCTCCTGAATGTACCTGAACCTGCTCCAGTGTTGGTCAAGTCTTGTCTTGAAAGAGCTCACACTCGGTGCCGTCACAACACTCTCTGGTAGATTGTTCAAAGAGTTTACAACTCTCACTCCGAAAAAGTTTGCCCTCACAGTTTTCTGGACCTGCAGCTTCTTCAATCTTGAGCTGTGACCCCTTGTGGGGCGAGCGTCCGACAGCTCCAAGTAAGGACACTCGACTGAGTAGTGCCTCTTGAGATGCTTATACACCTTTATTAGGTCACCCCTTGCCCGTCTGTAGTATAAGCTAGGCAAGTTCAGGCGCTCCAATCTCTCAGGGTAGCTGAGGTGCGGAAGGGCAGGCACCAGTCTGGTGGCCCTCCTTTGAACATTTTCAACCAATTGACAGTCCCTAGCATATCTCGGGGACCAAACAGGGTGACAGTACTCCAGATGGGGAAGCACTTCACTCTTGAAGATCGTTACGAGGGGCGGACCGTCTAGATATCTGAACGACCTTATAAGACCCAATAATTTATTTGCTTGATTTACCTTCTTCTCGCAATGGCCTGAGAACTTCAGCTCATTGTCAACTTACACACCTAGGTCCTTCTCACATTATCTCAAATACATATAGTGCAGTTTCTTGATCCCTTTGGTACATATGATACGCCTCCTTACCGTTGGTACGCCCCAGGTGCATCCTCTTACACTTCGTGACATTGAATCTCAGCAGCCATTTCTTCGACCATTCTTGGAGCCCACAGAGGTCTTTCTGCAGCTCTTCACAGTCCGCTTGGTTCTTGATTTCCCTAAATAACTTGGCGTCATTGGCAAACATTTGTATGGAGTGTATAATGTCAGGCATGTCATTTATGAAACAAACGAACAATCAGCGGGCTCAATACACTGCCCTGTGGTACCCCGCTTTTGACAGGTACGGATGATGATTTCGTGCCATTAATCACCACACACTGCTTGCACTCATGTAGAAAGTCTTCTATCCTCGCTAGGACATTTCCTCGAATTCCGTATCCTTCCAGTTTGATTTTCAGCCTTTCGTGGGGTACACTGTCAAAAGCCTTGGCAAAATCTAGGTAAATATTGTCGATATTACCACCCCGATCCAGAATATGGGTCCAAATATCCAATACCATGAGCAATTGTGTTAAGCGGGAGCACCCCGGCATAAAACCGTGTTGGCAATCCTTTACAAGGTTGTTTCGTAGATGTTCCATTGCAGCATCTCTGATAATACTCTCAAGTACTTTACATATTATGCTGGTCAGGCTCACCGGTTTATAGTTGTTCGTGGAGTGAAGATCGCCCTTCTTGAAGATAAGACTCCCTTGGTTATTTTACAACAGCCACCTTAAGCCAACAGTTTTTATGGTATTGCTTATAGAACATTTGTTACGGCTATTGAATGTGTTTAAAAGTTAATAAATCCAATAAAAATTTGGTAATATTTTAAGGTGATTGTGTCCCTCAACTAGGTACCTGAGGAAATTTTGCTGTGGATGATGCATTTTAGCCTCATGAAAAGTAGGGAACTATTTTTTTTTTCACAAGTTTCTTCCATCCCAAACACACACAGCTGCTCACTCAACTATAGCTACTGCTGTGTCTTGTGATTTCATACATAAAATGTAACAGAAGCTGGATGGAAAAGACATAAAAATATTAAAACAAAAATTTCTTTCCATTTCTGGCTAATGGTGTGGTTTAAGTTATTTTGAATTTATTATAATTTGCTAAATTTTCATTTCAGTACACTATCTGGTTTGGTTTATAAAATACAAATACATTGGCAGAACAAGGACAAAATTCACTTTATATTTAAATTGTTTGATTTTAACAAGAATGAACCACTGAGTGTTGTCTACATTACTCAAGTTTGACAGCGATTTGTTCCTGTTAAAATCAGTATTAGTTCATCATCATTTTATGCACATTTTCCATTTTTGCAGGAGTTAGCCATTAATGTACAGAACTGTATTACCTAATGACTTCTCCAAGTTGCAGTCTCGTTTGTTTGCTTGTTAAACGTTTTCCTTTATTGAGGCTGTACAGTATCTTGCTTATACTGTACAGTATATTTAAAGCCATACTTTCTTTCCTCCACTACCATATTTAGATTTTCATTATTAAAACATGCCACCTAAATTATATCACTGGTATCCAGTTTGAATTGAAAAATAAAATCTTTGGAAATTAGAATGAATTTAGCTTTAAGCCTTTTACCAAATTTCATTGCCATGGCCTGGGATAATACTGTGTGCATGGTTATAAAGTGAATATTGTACCCGTTTTCCTTTTTTTTTATGCGGGAAGCAAAGTCCGATTAGGGTGGAGGCTGCACAACATGTTCTACAATACCTTCTTTCTTACTTCTTTATTTTTTATATCTGGCTTGAGTCTTGGGTCTGCTGTGGATTAGTATCACGTTATATAAATGGGGGATTTGGCGAGGCACAGGATTGGTCTGGGGGTGGACACTGCCCGCCCCCCCTCCCCATATGGCTGGCTAATTTTAATACAAGTTCCCCAAGTTAACATCTAACAAATGTAGGATAATATTATTTTTAAAGCTGTTAGCAGCTAACAAATTATCAATACTGTATATGGGTATGTAACACATGTATCAGATGATGGTCGAATTAGTCTATGAGGAAACTTAAACAGAAAACTGTACATGATAAATTATTTGTTTTGATTTCAGGAGGAAAAAATACAACTGACCAGCCAGAGAAAAGTGCCACCGGTAGCGATGCAGAAACTCTCAAAGATTATATGGACGATGAGGAACTTTTCCAACAAGCTGTAGAATTTGTGGAAAAAAATGACAAATTGTTGAATAACATTCATCGTTTAACTGATGAAAGAGAAGAACTACAACAAGTTAGCAATAACCTGAAATTGACTTTGGAAAATGTGAAAAAACAAGCATTAGTTGCAATTGATAGATACTGATACAGTATTTATATTTTGTTTTAATATGCTACTTTATTTCATAGATGTTCTGCAGAGTTAAACTGTAATATTGTACTGTGTGTATACTTCACTGTATACAGTATCCATCAAGACTTTAGCTATTGTTAGCTCAAACATATTAGTTATATAATATGTAATTGATCCTTAAAACAGAAATAAATGTTTTTCAGTCATTAAAGCTGAGGTACTTAAGCATATCTTGCAAATAATCCTCATTGTCAGTAAACAATAAAAGTTTAAATTTCCTTGTTGATTACTTTCCAAACTTTTTAATGCAGTTTCATCTTACACAGTTACAGTGCTTCATAGTAAACTTAGCTTGTGTATCTTTGGTAAATGATTGTATATAAACAAGAGATACAGGTAATTATAATTATTTAATCATACAAGTACAGTATATAAATCCAAAATGCCATGGAGCAAATGGCAGTTAACTAACAGTATGATGTACCCCACCTAACAATGATGCCAAGCCGATTATACTGTACTGTAGTTATGTCTTTCCTCTGTATATTAATGAGACTAGTTTAACCTTCATGCAAATGCTACCCATAATACTTGTGCAGTATAGTCTCGGTTTACGCGGTCAATTAAACCCGTGGAGGTCCGCGTAAAACGAGAAACGCGTAAACGAAATAACAGAACATATGACATAACTGAAATAGAGACTGAGCTGACTCCCAAACTCCACTTTTTCCGACACAATACGTACCTTGTAAAAATAACATCATAATTTTATGATGGTATTGACACACACATAATATCTAAATAAAAAACTACACTACTGTACAAATAAAGGTGTTTAACACTTACAGTACGTTAGTAGAAGAGATGGGTCGGCAAATGGGAATGGCAGCTGGTTCCGAGGCAGAGGGCAGATTAGTTGCCCTCTGGTGAATCACTATCACTATTCACAAAGATTTGCAGGGCCTCCCTGACAAACTCCTCAAAGTCCATATCGTCACTGTCACTATCACTGACTTGGGCTGGCTGTGGTTGTGGTGGGTTGCGGGCGAGACAGCATTGATGTTGTCGTGATACATCTGGACATACGGCTCCATAATTTTCGACAGAAGGTTATTAGACACTTCATGCCGATGCTTGACTGCATCTTTGTCAAGGATGAGATTGATTTTCTCCCCCAACTCGATGACTTCCTTCACATAATCATGGCTTGGTCCAGGTTCAAGGTTTTTCTTGGGTGGTGGGGGTCCAGCGGAAGCCATTGTGAGGGGAATAGCGAGCACAAGAGAGAACTGTATACGCGGAGAACTGAGAACAATGAGAGTGGCCCGGCTAGGTCAGCGACTCCTTCCCTCTGGTAGCATGGCTCGTCATGTTACATTAAACCAATCACAGCTAGCGGCGGAGGGAGGTAAGGATGCATGACCCAATCACAGTCCGATACGTCATATGATGTCAGCGATAACGTAAGAGCGACCCAATGAGCACCCCTCACCGCGCCGCTTCCCGCGTATGGTCAAGAATGGACCGCGTGAGTAAAAAATGGCGCATCTGAACCTCTCCAGCCGCTCGCCGCGTAAATGATGAAATTTTCCGCGTAATTCAAACATTTCATTCTGGCAAGGCACCGCGTAAATGACCAAACGCGTAAACAAAATCCGCATAAATCGAGACTATACTGTACATAAATAATTTTAAATTCATTACTTTGGTAAAGTGTATAGAAAAATAAACATACTGTATAATAAGCATTAAATCCTGGTAATTTAGTGAGTGTACAGTATACCAGAATGGGGAAAATAAAGCATACTGTACATTCATATAAGTTTAATGCCCAAGATGACAGAGGGTGTAGACAACCTCTGTACTCCTACAAAATAAGATCTTTTCACAAAATGAAATACAATACAGTACTAGAGAAATTTTCAAGGTCAGTTACACAACAGATTACAAATATAAATTACGTACTACAAAATAAATGGTACATATACAGTATACAGTACATATTATCTCTGTACATTCATTATACCCTGTATTGTACTGAGATGTTCCCTACATCCCTGCACCATGCTAATTATTTACATAAACATAATGTAGTGGTAACTTATAGTTCAGGTGGAGGTTCAATACACAGTTCATCCCTTAGCTCACACATGGGTTGTTCCCATCTTTTTTCAAAATATATATTCATTACCAGTTTTGCAGATTTACCAACTCGCAAAGCCCAAGGCAAATAAACTTGTAGGTATTTTTGCCGCTGCTTTGGCCTAAATCTCAGTGGACCAAAGACGGCAGCACCATAGCACATTGGTAAACCTGTCTGGATTGCCTCGATCCACTTTACAGCTACTTCTCCAAGCATGTTTGTAGGCATCCCAAAGATAGTGTGAAAGAGATCATGACCTTCCCGATAACGCTGCATTACATACGCTAACTCGGGATCATCCACAAACTGTACGGGTAATCGGGAATCTGGGGTCACTTTATTGTCATCTAGAAATTTAACATAGTAGTGACCTAGTGTGCCTTCAGGAAGTTTTGATAAGTATGTAAGATCGACAGTAGAGCTATTAATCCTTGGCTTATCTAAAATTATCTGCTGTCCCTCTTCATCTTGAATCATTTCTGAATAGATTCTAGACAAAGCTCTGTATCCTGTTGTTTCTCCTAAGACTGCAACCATGTCATGACGTCGAGGATCCAAGATTGCTGCAGCTGCAGCTCCTAAAGATAATATAGACTTTTGACAATAGTTTGTTGGAATATGATCTTTATATAAAGGCATGGAAGCTGACACCTTTTCCTCCTCAGTATTGTGACCCTTATCTGAGCTGTTCTTGTCATTAGAATTAGAATGTAAAGTATTTTTTAATGGATATTTTATGTGTATATCTCTCACTGGAGTTGAAGAATCATCTAATTTAATTCCATTTTTGTTGGTAAGATGTGGACTGGCTTCCAGTGAGACCTTTATTTCCCTCTCTTCAGACTTTTCGCTAAGATTATGTGATATGTGATATCCATCACCTGCAATCCTGAAGTATGCTGAACCCAAACTGTTTACCTGGAACCCTGGAAAAGAGAAATACCTGTACTAATGTCCTAAGTAATATTCAAATATACATTCTCAATTGTATTACTGACACAGAAGCAGTACACTATCTTATTTGTACAGTACAGTGTACTGTACCAAATTTTGCAAAAGCAAGTGAGATACAATACTGTACTGTAGTACTGTTTTCCTTCTAAGATCAGATCTAATGTCTCAGAGATAGATTTAAAAATACTGTGTACAGCTGCTAGATTCTGGAATACACCACTGACTATACATACAGTACTGTACTCCTGGATAAATTAACCTAATGCATATCTACTGACACAGAGGAACATATTAATACCGTACAATGACTGAAAATTAGATAAAGTACTGAACTGTACTGCAAATATTATGACTATAGTACTATACTGGTTGTCACCCAGGCCATAAAAACTGAAGTCTTATGTTTGCTTACCATATTACTGTACATGTACTGTATTAGATTCCAACAATGAACATCATAGCCATCAAAAAGGTTAGAATAAGTTAGACATTTACACTGAAATCTGAGTTATTTTTTGCATTTCTTACCCTACAATGCTGTTAATTCGGGTCATGTCTCAAAAGTATTCATTTCTGCTGATAATGAAGGTCATTCATATGAAACAGTGACAAACACAGTAAAAACATATTTTTGAAAGTAATTTACGTGAACGGTCACTACGGAATATTTACCTAAATTACTTTTGCTTTATTTCCAATTATAAAATTAAATATATAATTCTATACAAGAACACTACCAAATAATTACCTATTAGTTGATCATGAAGTAAGATGTACTCATAAATGGTTTTAATAATTTATATGGTAATAGAAGAAACGGTTATCACCAAAGGTAGTTTATAGAATTGCTTTTTTTTCCAGAAATTATATTTGGATGATAGTAATAAAAATGATAAGACAACTCTTACCTTTAATTTAATTTTATTTATTTTTTGTTTTCCTCCAACTTTTGATCATAAATCACTTGTAATGGGCTGGGCATGAAAGAAGATGGAAATTATAGGGTAAAATGATGGCAAAAAACTGATCATATGGCAGGATTAAAACATTTGTAGGCAAAGGAATAAATTATTACACATGCCAAGACTCCAGTGGCTACCATTGTGCTGGTTTGCTTTTGAGATATAAGGGGGTGAATCCAGTCTTCTCAACATGTACAATCAAAGACAAAAGTCGTGTCGCGGTTTTGTCCAAAGATTAAATATAACTCTTGAAACATTATGAGAGCCCCCTACCATAAGGCATATGTTTTCACCAAATTTCACGACATGACTTTTGTCTTTCATCGTACAAGAAATGGTGGAAGATCTGATCAGGGTTTATAATGTAATAAATAATGCCTTTAGTTTTTTATATGATTTACTTTGTTGTATGTAGAGTTTATGTCTGCGCAATTGCTTTATAATTTGTCTTTACTGCGCAATTAGAGCCAAATTAGTTTCCAAAATGTCACAGGAAACTGACATTCAACTGACATCATTTGTTTCAGTGTAACATGTGACCTCAATATTAAGTAAAGTTCCTTCAGTTGTTAGGGGTTCCGGGAGGCACCCCCTCCCCCAGGCCCCGTTATTAACTTATACAGTAAAGCTAAACAACTTTATATGGCAGAAGACTCAAGGGACGAACCCCCCAGTCAGGTAAGGTTAGGTTCTCTCAGGTTTTGTTTAATGTTGTATCGATTTCCTTATTTGGTATCATGCGAATAATGTTAAAATTATCATTTCGGTCATCCACCTATTTGGAAGTTGAAATAATCCATCGTAAAAACATAATTTCAACTTAACCTAACCTAAAATTCGCTGAATGACCGAAACGATAATAATGCCCCCAAAACATCTCTGGAAATAAGTTCCATAAGTTTCTTCTGGTAACAATCGTTTCCTCCACTTTTACCATTTATATGACTGATGAACAGGAATATACAGAATTAGCCCCAGGGCCCACAAATCCTCCTCAATGCGCCACTGACTGTCACACCTCCCAAGCCCTGCCACCTTAGTTGTGAGCGGCCAAGAAGGGACCTCTACTCACCATTCACCTGTAACTTGTGGAATCTATAGAAGCTGTTGTAAAACATTGTTAATCTTGTACCGCTCGAGCAATATACTACACATCCCATCCACTCTATGGACGAGTGCAGGGGTTTACGTTTACCCTCCACCAACAACAAAGTTTGGTCGTCTGTGTCTGTGAGTTGACCGAACAACTGAATCTTGCTCGGTATCCCCTTACCTCTTGGCCCAAGGACTATTAATTATTCTGGACGAAGGCTGTACATTCTACCTATCCATAATAATCTCACCTGTTTATAATGACAGTAATACTTATCACAAACCAATATATTCACCCCTGAAGATGTGAAATACACGAAAGTGCTTTGGAATTTTATGTTTTCTTTTACTTTTGCGGTTATCAGCATATACAGTACATGGATCACGCCTACCTACAGTGATTTTTTGTACATGTATGTATCGTATTATATGAATGTCATTTGACTGGAGGTTGCAGCCAATACATACAAGGGATACTTTCTATATATCCCTTGAACTAATAACGTCTGTATTAGAGCTCTATATTTTGTGCCTAAAATTTTTGGGTATGTCTCCAATACATTACATTCAAGTAAGGTTTTTTTCTGAATTCCGTTGAATAACTTAACTCATATCTAAGTTAAGGTTCCAACTTTTCACTATTGTCGACACATGATAGGGGTGAGTTTTTTCGTGTACTGTACTATGGTATCCTGTAATAACATTATAGTCACAACTAACAGAGCTATCCGACACAACTATAACAATATCTGCAGGTACAAATAATAAGATAGGTCCAAAGATAAGGACAAATACAGTCGCAAAATCAGGTGCACGTCCACAAACGATAAAAAATTAAACACAAACGCGTGCAGATACAAAAAATAGTTAGTTACAGGCATTGTGGTATTGTGAACTACCCTACACTGTGCCCCAGCTGCTCCTCTCCCAGTGTTATCAACTTCAGGGGGTTAAGTTCCCAGCATCTTCACAGGCCTACAAGAAAAATTAAAGCGCAATGATAAACAAAACAAAAGATAGTCATGGTAGAGACTCATGTTGTGATCTTACGACATAACAAGATCTTCCAACGTTATTACTTTTACCTTTATCCTCTTCGCTACTGATCGGCTCGTTACCCGCTTGGGCGGTCGGTCACGTCTCTGTCCGGCACTGTATGCAAGTACTGGGCATGTACTGGCTCCTGAAAATATCGGAACCTGCTCCAGTGTTGGTCAAGTCTGGTCTTGAAAGAGCTCACACCTGGTGCCGTCACAACATTCTCTGGCAGATTGTTCCAAGAATTCACAACTCTCACTCCGACAAAATTACCTCTCACAGTTTTCTGGACTTTTAACTTCACCAGCTCCAAGTACACACTAGACCGAGTAGTGCTCCCTGAAATGTTTATAAACTTCAATTCGGTCACCTTTTGCCCGTCTGTTGCCTACAGACGGGCAAAAGGTAGGGGCAACCCAAGATCTTCCAGGGTAATCAATACGTGTTATTCTATAATGTACATATTTGTATCTGTACGTGGAGTGAGTCATGTCTTCATTGTATATGCATTGTGCGTAATAGTAAGTCGTACCTTCAGTGTATCTACGTGAAGTGAGTCATATTTTCCTTGTATCTGTGTGTGAAGTGAGTCATATATTCCTTGTATCTGTAGGTGAAGTGAGTCATATCTTCCTTGTATCTGTGTGTGAAGTGAGTCATATATTCCTTGTATTTGTAGGTGAAGTGAGTCATATCTTCCTTGTATCTGTGTGTGAAGTGAGTCATATATTTCTTGTATCTGTGTGTGAAGTGAGTCATATTTTCCTTGTATCTGTGTGTGAAGTGAGTCATATATTCCTTGTATCTGTAGGTGAAGTGAGTCATATCTTCCTTGTATCTGTGTGTGAAGTGAGTCATATATTTCTTGTATCTGTGTGTGAAGTGAGTCATATCTTCCTTGTATCTGTGTGTGAAGTGAGTCATATATTCCTTGTATCTGTGTGTGAAGTGAGTCATATATTCCTTGTATCTGTAGGTGAAGTGAGTCATATATTCCTTGTATCTGTAGGTGAAGTGAGTCATATCTTCCTTGTATCTGTGTGTGAAGTGAGTCATATATTTCTTGTATCTGTGTGTGAAGTGAGTCATATATTCCTTGTATCTGTAGGTGAAGTGAGTCATATATTCCTTGTATCTGTAGGTGAAGTGAGTCATATCTTCCTTGTATCTGTGTGTGAAGTGAGTCATATCTTCCTTGTATCTGTGTGTGAAGTGAGTCATATATTCCTTGTATCTGTAGGTGAGGTAAGTCATATCTTCCTTGTATCTGTGTGTGAAGTGAGTCATATCTTCCTTGTATCTGTGTGTGAAGTGAGTCATATATTTCTTGTATCTGTGTGTGAAGTGAGTCATATCTTCCTTGTATCTGTGTGTGAAGTGAGTCATATATTCCTTGTATCTGTAGGTGAGGTAAGTCATATCTTCCTTGTATCCTGTATGTACGTGAAGTAAGTCATATCTCCCTTGTATACTGTATGTGCGTGAATAACCATCTATTTTTCATAAACAGTTGCAAGCACAGACGTTGGCAACAACACTCAGCCCGTCCCTTGTAAAATACAGTATGAGAATCACTGATGAGTTATCTTATCAGTCAGTAATGGCGTACATGAAAACATGAACAACCATTTACAAATTCATATAAAAATTACATATGGGTTAGTATATTTTCGCTATAGCAGCACTGAATAGTTGATTTCTTTGTTATTTCCTCCTTGGTGCACTGGAAGAATCTAAGAAATTGGAAAAAAAATGAAATCCTGAACAAGGGGATGAGGGTGTAACAAAACGAGTTATTTTTAGTAGCGGTAACAGTGTGATGGGGTATATAAAGGCGTCAACTTCTTATCGTGGTCACTGTTCGTTCCTCACACTACTATCTAACAACCCAGTATTTGTTCTTACTAACACTTACTTGGATAAGTTATTTTAACTAAAGCTTGAGGGTACCAGCTTAGCAGGAAAAATGCGTGCGGTCCTTGTCACCTTCGGCTTGGCGGTTCTTGTGTCCATGGCTCAAGGTAAGCATATCTAGTTTGTAAGATACGTATTCGGTAAAAATCGTTATGCAAATTTACTTTAATTCTCCATGTAACAAGTATTACTTCCAGGCATTTCGAATCCTCTTACAATTCTCTTTTCTTTTGATTCTTACTACACATCTCCATTTTCATTTTTCAAAGACGTTTGCCAATGCTATAAACCCTTTTAACTATTTTTAGGTAAAGCGAGACATTTACGGTTCGATGATGTAGAAATAGTACATTTTAATAACTACATAATCCTTATTAGGTTTGTCGTGTTACACGTGCTTCAGTACGAATGACGATTTGGAGTGTTTGAACGACCCTAAAGACGTGACTGAATGTCAAATAAGCGAGAGCAGCTGCTGCAGCATCTACCGCCAGGAGTTCGCAGAGGACCAAGGTACCAAGACTAATTGATTAATGTTAAACAGATTTTTCACAAACATAATAGCAGAGCCATTAATTTAACTTGGGTCACGAACCAACCAAAGCTATCATAACCTCCTGTCTCATCCTACAGGCCAGATAATATCCTTCACCCGGGGATGCCAAGAGGAATGTCCGAAGGATGGCTTCTTTGACTATTCCGACAGCACCTTTAAGATCTACGTGACTTACTGCAGCTCAGAAAACTGTAACACTGGCCCAGGAAATAAACCTCTTTAAGGTACCACCTTAATGGTCGCTATCATAGTAGATATAGTGATGACTGTCACATCATAGATAATGGTGATCGTTATAGCTATTAGGTTAATGGCAACTATCACATGTAATGGTGGCCGTCCCATCATAGGTAATGGTCATAATAAATGGCTTAACTATGCTTGTTGTAGAGTTATATGAAATCATTGATTTGCTGGGTCTGGGCTTAGGGTTCCCTCAATACTGTTCCCATTTTGGTCACCGATTCCCTCTGACACTTTGTTCATTTGGTGTATCTTTGAAAATTAAATTCAACTGTAGATAAACCTCTATATCAGCTAGAGTAGGTTTGTTTTAGCTCAAGGTATTCAATAGTAGGACAGCTTACATGTGATGAAACCGAGGAACAGGAGCACTTACAAGTTACAAAGATGGTATGGCATCGACTGAGCACAAACCCATGGACACCCAAGTAACAATTCATTGTTACCACTTGGCAGTTTTAATAGCCTCAGCCTGTTCAGCCCTTGCCTATTAAACCTCTAACCTTTCTTCTGTAGGTTTTTTTATGTTGATGGTTGTTTATTTTACAGGATGAATAGGAAGGCAACAATGACGACGTAATCCCATGCAACACTGGAGACAACCCTGCTTTCAGCGCCATCTTCCCTAGGAATTAAAACTAAGAAATTATATACTATTGCCAGCTTGACAAGAACTACCAACAATTAATTGTGCTTTGATTTCACTCTGTAGTATTCCAGCAATTATTGTGGTACATCTCTAACCTCCCAGGGACTATATAGTTTCCACGAGCGATTTACCTCTCACAGGACTGCGCGTATTTATATCAACCTTTTGATAAATATTTCAAATTTTCTTACATTCTCTGATTCCTTTCTGAAGTGCGAATGCCTTGAATTGATCTGCATTTTGATAGTTCAGAAACTTAACATTATTTTAGAAATACCGCTTACCAATTGTGAACACATTTAGTTAGAATTGTCTATGAACCAATCAGCTATTAGTATAGAAGAGGGATGTGGCTTGTGGGCCAGGTTAGCGTGGAAATACTATAGCGCTGTGTTGTCTCCATGTTAAGGTGGCTGCACACTGGGCACTTTCCTCCACACGTTGCCCATTTTGTTGACCGTTGGCCTAAACGCCCAGCAAGCAAGCAACAGGGTTTCGGCTGTTGTGAGAAATGAACAACATTTGACGGCGAGCTTTGCTGGCCGGATTAGTGCTCAAAGGAGTTTCATATAATTTCAAGTAAAATTTTATATAAATCGTGAAACAATAATTTAAAATATAACACATAAATATCAACATATTTCTATTTATTCGTCACTTTAAAACTTTTATCATCTTTGACCAGCCAGTCACTGCCACTTTTAAAGAAACTTCACAGTACATTCATTGTCTTTTCGTTAGCTTTTGGAGAAGCCTCAACTTGCTTCAGCAATGAAAAACTATAGCACAATCCTGCAAGGCCTCAACTGTAGTAACGGGATCCATGGAATCCCCGTCTAGACGCTTAGTTGCGTTAGGCAGACGCGCCAACCAAACATCCCACCTAGTGATACAAAACGCCTCGTGTTGCTGGCTGGACCGTGTTTGGAGGAAAATGCCCAGTGCCGCCGCCTTTCGTCTACCAGGAACTAGGTCACTGTTGTTACCATGTTAGTCTATCAGGAGCTTTTTTTCAGCATGCTCCTTCCAATGGCAATTTCTGGAGAGATAAGGTTTGCTTCCCTCCAAATGCTGTAAATTGAAAACTTTGAACAATACATTTGAACTAAGAAACAGCACAATATCAATTCTGGTTCGCACATGATACCGTCTGTGGCAAGATGTCCCACACTTCTCTCCTGTAATTTGTCCCATAACTTCAGCCTCTATTGTTCCAGTCAGGGACCTCTGTCAAGGCGTGGGGTTGGAAGTCGTTGCTATATTAAATTGTTTTATCGCCCAATTAGTTGTCCGTGACCTCACGTCTCCCAAATTTGCTGCCTCAAGCATTTCCTTATATATACAGTGGTCCCTCGGTTAGAGAACACAATTCCTTCCAGAAGGTCGTTCATTAACCGAAACCATTGTTTCAATGGGATTTTGGGTAATTGGTTCCAGCTCACCGAAAATTACATACAAAGTAAAAATGAATGCATTAAAGTACACTTACTTTGAGGTGTGTATGCAGAAGGCTCCTGGTTGATGATGATGGGAATTACAAGTCGGGGTGGAGTAGGGAGAGGAGAAGGAAGTGGGAGAGAAATCACCCCATGCTTCACGCATCATTTCACCCATAAAATTTCAATTTCACTAGGTGTAATTTCAGGTTATTTTCTTTCAATCAACACTGCACTGCACTATATTTTGTCAATATGTAAAATAAATTTCAAAATGACCAATAATTGTACTGTGAAAACGTAAAAACAGTTTTTGATAAAGAGAGCCACAAGCAAGATGCTACTGTACCTCCACTGACCAGATACAAACTGACGCCTTTATGGGTGTCAAGTGGCTGATTGGCACACCAAAAACTAGTTTCCTGTACTGCAATTAAGTTAAGTAAGTGTTAAAATGAATAAAGATTTGAATATAAAACTTGGAAAATTATTGAATAGTACAATCTTCTTGATATTTACTCAAATGGGAACGAATTTAAGCCCTAGAACCGATTACTGTATTGGTGAACTAATATTCCAGCTGGTGAGCAAGAGAAAACATGTTGACATGATTTTGTAAAAATTTGGTTAACCGAATTGAAGATTCTTATGGAAGGTAATTCGTTAACTAAGGGATCACTGTATACTGTACATTTTCTTCGCCCCAAAAATATTTATCTAGAACCACCACTGCACCTGCCTCAGCACGACCTAATACCTGTTCAGTACATCTTATTTAAAATGAGTAATGTAGTTTCAATAAACGTGAACCAGATGCAGGATACATCGACACTTCCATTATTTAATAATGTACAAAAGGTGCCATAACACTAAATTAGTTCTCCAAAATTAATTACACTACTGTACATGCATTTTTATGTCAGATCAATTACCGATTCCATTTAACATGGCTGTCATGTTCTATAATTATGATCCCAGGCATACCAGATCTTTGATGTTTAAACACCCTAATGCTAACCTAACCCCATTTAATCATCAGCTGAAAAAAGCCAAGGTTCCTAATATTTCCAAGTCCCAACTACTTTACTGACATAATGCAAATACCTATAATGGTATTAATACATGGAAATATCAAGTTTAAATGGGAAAATGTACCCACTAAAGGCTCGACTCTATAATCAGTCTATCACAAATAATGTAATTCCTTACCACCACAGCCAAACTAGACTCTACATGGGTAATGTCTCCTTTATGATCATTTGTTACATTTATAATTTATGTAAATTGTTTCTCTCCAATTCTCAATTAATTACACACTATTTCACCTTACCAGAGTCTAGTGAAAATCTTGGGTCGATACATATGCATTTCAGTGGGAGAACCTACTTTGCATAGTACTATAATGTTACGTCAAACCAGATATACCTGTACAGTGTACTATATACGGTGTGGGTGTGATACAGAAATGACATGCTTGAGAGCAATACAATATTATGTATAAATACAGAAAATAAGAAACACCAAAATCAGCGTCTAAATAAAGGACATACAAGTGGCTAACATCTGCTCAAGTGATTTGAACCGTACATGTGCAGTAACAGAAAGGCAAGTGAAATGTAGTAAATATATTTTATACCATACAAATGGAAGATGATAAATGAAATGGAAGGGTGCAGTAAAACCCACAGGGTTAGTAGCTTTAAAGATACGAGAGCTATCTTAATGTGGCTCATGGGCAAGTACAGTAAATTACAGTAGAGTACAAGTTTAATTTATATTTCAGTCATCCTACAAATTCATGAAAAAACTTTCTTTATATTCAGCAATGCTTTATTCATCAGTTTTATGAGACAAACTAGCAATCTTATTCCCAGATTATAGAGAATTGTATGTCCAACCCTTACAGGCAGTTTTTATCACATACTAATGGTATGTGCTCACAGCTTTTTCATTTTTGAAACTTGACAACAACTTATACAATCATGATATATGTAGGTTAAGAAAATGTTTTTTTTTTTTTTTCTTTAATTAAACAAAAATTTACTTCTTCTTGCCAGGTAGGATGATACCCTCATACTTAGTCTGGAACCACTTGATAGCATCCTCCTTCACCAAACAATGCTGTGGGCCAATCTTGCCTGGACTACGGCGGCGCTTTGCTACCCGATAACCTGAAATCATACAGAGTTTTATAACAACCATCCTAGTGTCATGGATCACATGAAGTTTAGGCACCCCAGGTTATTTCACCCAATGATTAAATACCCTAAAGCTACTCAGGGGTTAGTTTAGGTCAGATTTGTGTTGGGATGTTATAATTATCAGGAGATACAAGTTGGTGTGCCTTACCTTTACTTGATCCATTGTTAATTTGCTCTAACGGCTGTTTAGCAATATTACTAAGACACGATGCCTCAAATACACAAAACCATTCCTTCAGATACACAAATAAACATCAAGTACAGTCTGTTCTCCTATAATGGGTTTTCATACAGCAAATTAGTATAAAATGATTGAATAAACCTAACTATGTAATGAATGAAAATTATTTGGTATTTGCCATGAATATTTAATTAACACGTGTGATCATAAGGCGTGAACTTTGAGGACAATGATCATTTCTCTGCTCTGTATGACTGAATTATTATACCGAATCAGTGCAAACAACTTTATACACTTCAGTTATATAAAGGTAAGATTATTAGGATAATTGCAGGTTTCCTTACTCTACTGTACCACATGCTAAAATTTTTTGTATTGAAACACCTTAAGGGACCTGGCACTAATAGGAAGATTTGACTTGGCAACCCCCTGTACCGCCAACCTGCATACATATCACCCGTGTCACTGAAGACTGTGTTTTACTATATATATATATATATATATATATATATATATATATATATATATATATATATATATATATATATATATATATATATATATATATATATATATATATATATATATATATATATATATTATAATTTTCCCAAAACAAATTTAATTTTGTTTACATTTATTTTCTTTGGACTAGAATTTTTTTATTTAAAAGGCTGTTACAGGAGTCACACTCCATTAATTTCATCATTTGTCCTCCTTCACAGCTCATCTATGATTTAACATAGACTAACACAGTAACAAACATTTTCCTCACATTTCAAGGTTTTATTCTATGAATAAATATCAACTAAAACAGTTATTATAAAAACTAACATTATAACATTGTAAAGTAAATTGTCAATAATGCTGTTCTCAAACCTACTTTACATACTACCCCTTAACTCCCACTATCAACTGTTCTTATAAGTTCTTCAGGAACATAACTACCATGTTATAGGACTAGCGAGTAAAAGTTCAGATGTATCTCACCTGGACGCTGGAGCACAACAAAGAAGTCCAAACCAAAGATGCCAATGGCAGGGTCATACTTGATACCCAAGTCAATGTGTTCCTGGATACCAAAGCCAAAGTTGCCATTTTGAGAGAAGTTGTCACGGCGCAACTCGTACTCACGAACCTGTTAGGGAAGAGCTCTGATGTAGTGTGCGATGATATACGGTAACATAACTGGATAACGGCAAGAAAATTAATATGCAGGTCAAGCTTATGATGTCTATATTTTGAGCATAAATTTTTATTTCTCCAAGAAGAACATTGTAGGAGAGGGACTGACAGTGAGAAGACAGAACCCAACACTGCTAATTATCTCTCCCATTGATCTTACACATTCAATTCACATACACACTATAAAAATGTGCACTGTTGTGAGAATGTGTAGACAATACATCTCAGATGATTTTTATCCACAGTACAGAGTAGAATTACACCTTACCTTCAAGCCCTTCTCTAAAATCTCTTCTGCTTTAGGTCCTCTTACTGTGCAATGCACTGCAATCTTCTCATTACGGCGGATGCCAAAGGAACGGACAGTGTAGCGAGCCTTGGAGTACACAGGCTTCTGACCAGTCAAAGACTCCAACACCTAAAGCAGAAACAGTATTTAGACAAGTACAATAGTGTTAAGTCATACTGTTATCTTTTGAAAGCATCTCCATGACCATAAATGAAATAAGCATCTGATGGCTTGTCAATTATCCTTAGTCAAATTGCTTTGTTTACTATTGATGTATGTATACTTGCACTGTCTAGGTACACTGAAACTGCACATGTACCTCCAAGGTCTATTGTACACTACTATACAGTATACAGCTTACAACAGGGTTAGGGACCCAAATCCAGGTCGTAAGTCGAAAGCTTAAATAATACACAGAAAATCTAAAATGGGTGTCTCTTTTTCTTCTCAGCACCACAAAACTCCCACTTTTAAGCTTGCCAGCCATTTTAAAGTGAATTACAAACAAAAATTTTGTCAGTACACGGCGCAATCACCGACGCTGGGACTCGAAAATACGTAATTTGACAAAATTTGGGTACGACTGAGGCAGGCCGTAAGTGTGGGTGGTCGTAAGTTGAGTAGGTCGTAAGTCGGGGAGGAGCTGTATACCGTACAGTACTGTACCTACAGTATCTATGCACATGCCAAACTGTATGCTTGTATAGTCTTTATACATACTAAACCAATTTTAAACTTGTATGATGATTAAATTATTGCAATAAACACTATTACTGACATTTTACAAGAGGATTACGCCTGTCTGGTTGTGCCAGGATGGATGACCCTTTACAAATTGTATCAACTCATTCAGCATTTTAAGTATAATAGCAAATTAAATATTATTTTAAAATATAATAAAATTTACAACAAAAATTTAACTCATTTCAGATTATGTAGTCAAGAGACCATAAACAAAAATTTTAATTTACATAAATAGCATTTGTATATTCTGCTTTATTAAGCATTTTCATCAACTCAATGTCACTACATCAAATAAATTACCTCACTTGCTTACACTATACATTAAATATCTGCCAATCCGACTTATTTCTCCGTGAAGGCCAGTCACTGGTACATTAACTGCAGCCAGTTTTAATGTAAATCAATATACAGTACAGTAAAATCAACAGCAACAGATGCCATGAAGTTTAGGACTCAATACTGCACCCCGTATCCCCATTAAATTTTATTCCTAATCATAAATGTACCATTCAGCTTGGGGACCACTGAGATAAGAACATAAGGAGTCTGCAATAGGCCGGTTGGCCTGTGCATGGCAGCTCCTGTCGAGAGTTACTACCACTCTCTATCATCCATGGATCTATCTAGCCTCCTTTTAAAACTTTCCAGCATTCCAGCACTTACTACAAAGTTGCAAAGCTTGTTCCACTTGTCCACCACCCTATTTGTGAACCAGTTCCTTCCTATCTCCCTCCTAAACCTAAACTTATCCAACTTAAATCCGTTGCTACGAGTCCTATCCTGCTCAGATATTATAAGAACTTTACAGTATCTATATCGCCTTTATTGATTCCTTTCACCCACTTAAATACAGTACTTCTATCATATCTCCCCGCACTCTTCGTCGTTCTAGGAATGCAAGTTTAGCTTCTTTAACCTATCCTGATATGGAAGGTTTCTAAGTCCCGGAATCATTTTCGCCATTCTTCGCTGCACCGATTCCAGTGAATTGATATCTATTCTATAATAAGGGCACCAAAACTGAACCGCATAATCGAGGTGCGGCCTGACTAACGCAAGATATAGTTGCAATAAGACCTCTGCACTCTTATTACACTTCTAGATATAAAACCTAATACAGTACTCTGTTTGCCTTATTTCGAACATTAACGCACTGTTTTCTAGGCCGTAGGTCCGGGCTTACAAGTACCCCTGTCTCTTTCACAAGTCAACCTTTCTAGGTTGATGTTGTTAAGCCCTAATACAAATATTCATCATGGACCCCAATACAATATACATTTGCAACTAAAACTATGTCTTATTAAGACATAGGTCCCATGACCCAAAATATAATGGCATATTATGAATAAATCTCCCTCTCCCATTAAAGCTTGCTTCTTCTAAAACATAGGCCAGTTTACTTAAAGTTTACTGGATTTATAAATGGTAATTTCTGTACAAAAAAAAAACATTGGTTCTCAATTTAAGTATTTCCCGTCTGCCAACAGCATCAAGGGTTCCCACAGTCACCCATCTTGGTACTAACCAAAACCAACGTTGCTCAACTTTGCTGTTCAAAGGGGAAGCGGTGTTTCAACGTGGTCACAGCTGTTGACTCAAGACATGAGAAAGCCCTCAAAATAATTTTTAAGGCCCACCTTGGCAGCACGAGTAAGTTTGTCACCAGACTCTCCAACGCAGATGTTCAGACAGAGCTTACCGATGCGAACCTCTCGGTTCACATTCTTTTGTTTGTCCTTCGACATTGTCCCTGTAAAGAAAGATACAGTATGTATATATATATATACAGTACTTATATCAAGTGCATCCACGTCAAAAAATTTAATTTTACAAATATATTGGTTATACACCCACAAAATTTAAGATTGTAGGTTTGCTTAGTTGAAAAATTACCTTGAGATCTTGATATTTTGTTGGGATATACATTTCCAGAAAAGTATATAATTTAACCCTTTGGCTGCTGGTTACCCTGAGCTGAATAAAATTGTCTGGCGGTAGCCAGAATAAAATGTCAAGTGCGGGAAACGCAATGAAAAGGTTAACACTACAGTACACTACACAGCAGTAGCTACTGTACAAGAGACTTTTCTACATTACTGGCTGATGAACATTACATTGTGGAGAACCGCCAGTCTAAGTGAGATGCAGACTTGATCCCATTTTTAGGCAGAAGTTTACTCCTTGGCAGTGGGTAACTGTCCAGCCATGGATATTTAGGCTTAATTAATATCGCTATGAGTCAGCCAGCCAAAACCAGCTACCAGTTGTCACTCTTGTCAATGACTTTGTAATTCTCATACATAGGAATTGTCAGATACAGAAATGTCTTATCACAAATGACTGTTGTGGGAACAATTAAGGAATATAACTATAAAAATTACATCACTTTACTTGATAGCCAGCCCCAAAACATCACAAATTCAATCAAGTTTAGCAGTTGTTAGTCTAATTTATGAACGATAAATTGAAAAATGCAGCAGTACTTGAAAATTAATATTTAGAAGTTGCCGTGCATAGAACTCTATGTTAATTCTTAAACAGGGGTACAGGGAAATAAGAGCAAAAATATAAATAAATAAGAGTATATAAGAGAATATCTATCTTACATTCACTTCCTAAACCTGCACAATGTATACCTGAATTAATTCCCACACATCACTCCTCAGTCAACATCACCGACCAGTGACTCATGCTACACCATTTTCTTTGTTCCAGTTAACATCAACATTGTGTGAAATTACATCATAAAAATCCTTAATACAGCTGGAAGTTATAATGCCTCTCTTATGTCCTTATACACAAAGCAAGAGTTTGATGCAACGTTACGACGGCTCAACCAGCTTCAACACGTGTGGTTCAGACGTCATATATTCCTAACTTTTTTACGTTTCTACACTACTTCTAATGCAAAAAGGACCTCCAAAAGCACCGTGGGTACAATATGGTATTTAATATTCACTTTAAAAAATGTTTCAACGTCACAATTGTATAGAATTTTCACATTATTTCAAGTAAACAAATACGCCACCAACCTGGCTGGAACAAGATGGTGAAAGAAGGTCTGTACATGGAGACACGCAGACAAACTTCATCTTTTCTTTATTCCCATTCTATGATGAATAACTTTTTTATATTACATTAAATTTAGAATATTAATGTTATTATAATAGTAATTATTTTTATTGTAAGACTTTTCCATAAATGAAGTAATCAGATAACCAAATAATCATGATGAGACATGCTTTGTGTTTGCGTTTCATACTCTTGATCTTGGCGGAATATTCAAAATGAATCCAGTGTGATTTAGTCACATTCAAATTCTGACTTCAAAAACAAGTCTTTGATTCGAGTGTCCTAAGTACTGAATGTCTATATACTATTCATAAACCACACATGTCTTTTTATTATTTAAGTTAAGTTTCATTAAAGGAACCAAGATTACAGTATGTTCACAACAAAAGCGGCATTATTTTATTTTCAGAAAAACAAGGAATCTTAGGAATTTTATATTACAATCAATAGTTTAGCTAATTCCAAGAAACTTTTCTTATATAACATTTCCAGCTAGATCCAACCCTTCAGATTATCTGCCCACTTAAAAACTTCAACAATACTGTACACGTTTTTTATGTAATAATCAATAATAATTTTGATATAGCAACCTTTAAAATAACATTTATTCAATGACCGACAGTAAGGTTTCTACAAATTCTACAGCTCGTCTGACCACCCCCCATGGACTCCTCTCAGTCCCAGACCTCCATAAAATATCATGGTGTGAAGGTGTGGAACAACTTACCCCCACCCACTCGAGCAAAGACTACGCTCCCTTCCCTTAAATCATCTCTTAAAAAATATATATTGTCTAAATATTAATATTTTTTGTAATACCTACTTTATATTCCTGCTTTTATTGTACCAGCAAAACTGTTTATCAGAAATTATCATGTAGATAGATAGAAATTACCATTGCAATAAATATATTTGTCAACTAGACATAATACTGACAGCTTTTTCTGTCCTTTTGTTCCACCTTAATACAACCTATGTTGTCCTGCTTCCCTCCCTTATCATATTTATGTATATCAACTCCACTGTAAATTATGTATATACTTATAATGTAAATGTAAAAAAAAATAAACAAAATAAATTAATATCGAAGTGATAACCGTGGTAACATTCTGATATGTTCGTATTACCACCATGCTATATGTCTACTATTCCAGATGATACTAAATGTTACTTAATACTTCCTTGAGATAAATGTACAGTATATGTCAGGTACCTTTGTAGTGGATATCTCCCCTACAACTTCAACTACCATTTGTCGCGCTGACTAGCCGACCCTCTTCGAATTCCCCAGCTTGCACCTTGTGGTTTAGTCCTGGCCAAATAAACTGTTTTAATATCAATATAAATATCAATACATTCACCTCATGAATCAACAAACTGTAATGGTGGCATCCGTCTAACGTAGCTGCTCTTAACATGTCAAAACGTATAATAGTGTGTGTGTGTGTGTGTGTGTAATTGCCAAATAGTGATGATTTCTATCTACGTTTCCTTAAAAAGTCAAACTATGTATGTAACTTTAATATTCAAACTGGTTATGGGGATAGGAACATTAACTCAGATGACACCTTCAGTGAGAATGTTGGTGACAGCGGGCAAGATGTTTCTAGAGTGTGGTCTACAACATATTGAGGTTAGGTTAGGTTAGGTTAGGTTAGGTTAGACTAAAGATATCTGTAGACCGCACACTACAGTAGCACCAGGCAAGGATTCTGTACAGTACACTACAGTAGCACCAGGCAAGGAGTCTGTACAGTATTATATCCTTGCAGCGGGATATACAGTCAAGTTCATTATTAACCCAAGAACATTGTGATAGTATACAGTTTCATCTATGAAAAAATTACTCAATTAAATATATATCTCAGTAGTTCTTTGAGATCATTATTAAGAAGATTAGCAACTAGTTTGTAGTCCGAAATTTAACTAACCGAACTTAATCCATCTTAACGTTAGGGGTGAAGTTACCTGCCTGGGAGTGCAAATCTTCCTATGATCTAATATTTTTTCAACTTACAGACACATGAGAGGAGTTTCTACGGAGTTACCAATAAATAAAACAAATACTGTACCGCTACAATAACCAAACCTAGTACATAATGCCCAGAACCGCTCCTGTAAACGAGATACTTGTCTTAAGAAGAGAGAAAGTTTATATAGTCCTTAATATATAATCATTGAATCAAGTATAAATTTATTTAAGTTGTATTTAGAAAAATTACTAATAATCTACATATGAATTAATAAATAAAATAAGAAAATAGTTATAATGTAAAAAGGAAATAAGAGTATGTAAACAGTACACGTCAAGCGTTGTTGTGACGGCTCCTGCCATACCTGTGAGTCTTACTAGTGTCATGTCACGTTATTTAAGGTATATCTTCGTTAATATATGGCAATAGTTATTTATTTATTCATAGTTCTTATATAAACTCCAGACCAAATGTCTGTTGTCAGGCAGGAGCAGTAAACAAACCTTAAGTCCATGTGTGTCACCAGCCACAGAGATGAATATTTGTCACTTTGTGTGGTATCATAAAAGTTCGGTTAGGTAGTCACGGTGGCTCATTAAATGAGTGTGGACTGATTACATGATGAATATTACAGGAAATGGAACAGGTTTTGTATTTAGTGGCACAGCTTTGGTTAGGTTAAGTTAGGTGAAGGTAAATCTTAAGTTTCACACGAATGTGAGCTTCATTTTGGGTGGGTAAATGAGTACTTTCGTGAGATATGACACCCCCCCCCCCACCCTCATTACCAACATTATGGGGTACAGACACGGTGTTTTTTTTTACGAGGAATAGCCCACCTGGGCATAGGTTATCGACCCACATTGGGCCCTAGGGGCCGAAAAAATAAGAGAAAAAATAAATTAAAAATAGAAAAGAAAAAGACCATATTAATCTACACCACGAAGATGTCGGAAAACCGGCTTTTAAAGGTGAGACATTGTATGAGTATGGAAACTAGAAGAAGGCAGAGCATTCCACAATTTGGCTGTGTGAGGAAAGAAGGATGTACTATAACGGGTTATTCTAGTGTGACCGACAGCCACAGAGAAACGGTGGACACCGCAGGCAAGACGAGTGTTACGAGCCCACGGCCTTGCCGGCGGTACGCAGGATGCCAAATCCACCGAACATTGCCCGTTAAAGTACCTGTAAAAGAGAGAGAGTGAAGCAACATTGCAACGAAGAGAAAGGGAAGAGAGATTATCAACTAAAGGAGGAGAGTCAATAAGACGAAATGCCTTTGATTCCACCCTATCTAACAGTTGGACAGAAGAGCCACCTCCACTTAACCAGAAGGACCTGACTTACCCCCCCTGGACCCCTAGGTGTGTAAACCTGATCTAATGCTTGTGTTGTTATTTGCTGTGATAATATTGTCTGGTTAATAAACATGGATTTCAATATTTTTATCTTGTACAGTACAGTTACTGTATAGGTATACTGTGTACTGTATTGTTAAATCTGTCAACCAGAACTACCCATGGAGCTTAAGTACCAGTTTAACATAAATATAAGCAACACAATCTTGTGAAAGTGGGGTATCAATCTACACAAGCTTTCCCTTTTATTCGCCCTTTCGTTGCAATTCCTGCACTTCCCATTTTATTCTGGCTACCGCCAGACCATTTTATTCAGCTTAGGGTAACCTCCTGCAGGCAAGGGGTTCTGATAATTTTGTTTGGGTCACCAGGAGATTAGGTATCTCATCTTATTTTGTCTGAAGATTAACCATCGCAACACACTACCTGATAGTGTTAAGTTAGGGTAGAATACGTTAGGTTATTATGGAGTAAGGCATGTTAAATTAGGTCAAGGTACAGTAGGTTAGTGTTAGAGTGTGAATTACCATAAGTGGAGTAAGATGGAAAGGTTTAAATGTTTGTGGAAAAGTAAAACTAACAGGTTTGAAAATATTAAGATCCTGTTTAAGGCAGTTTTAAAGGAAATAGGACGAGTATTTAGAAGACCTGTATAGTGATGATGACAAAGTGGCGGTACAGTACAAAATAAGCAACTGTACCAAGTTTGGAGAAAGTGAGAGGCCACTGTGAAAAAGTGAATATTGTTGAAGTTTATGGAGTTGATCAGCTTTTAGTGGAATTTTATACACCAAATGGGAAGGAATGGAATTGAAAGTGTCTGGATACATTTGTTAATTGCTCCTTTGTAAGCTAGATTTGACCTATTTTGTTCATTATGGTAACCTTAGCATGAGCTACATATTATATACTGTATATATTTTTATGTAAAAATTCTTTGGTATATTCAGTTCAAATACTGTAAAAAGATTTCATTCTGTTATTTTATCTTTTCATTTCAGTTCATTTTAACCTAAATCACTTTATTCACTCTATTTACTCATACCCATTTTAACATATTTCCACAAAAACAATTAAAATATTTTTATTTAATCATGCAACATAAATACTGTAGGTCACATAGTAAACATTACACATATACACGACTGTACAGGTACACAACACTATTGTAAAGGTGTATACAGTGCAGTACTGATAATTAATTGTTAAAAATAAGAACACAGCACCTGTCAGGTCTTTATCAACACCACTCTTTGCCACCTGGAGTTTCCCATAGTAGAACTGTACTCTGTTGAAGGTAGTTAGTGTGTGTTGCATCTTGACCAAATTCCACTTTCCGTATTTTATATTTGTTCTCTTTACTGCAAATATTGTAAACTCCATAGTGTAGCAGTTGTGTCTCCCTTTATGGTCAGTCTTTAGAGATCTCCCACATTCCAAGCCAAGATCATCACACATGTTGTGGTCCTCACACTTTGTGGATGTTGTTAAGTTCTTATATTTCTAGCAATTTCATTTTTATATTTATTATTTGCTGAAGCTTCATTTACCCTTGTGACATTTTGGATTGAACTGTTTGAATCTAGTTTTGTGATCCAGTTCATTATGATGAGTGAATGCCGAGTACAGTAGTGTTTTGAATGGATAAGATTCAATGATGAATTGTAAGTCCAGTAACTGTTTTCATTTGTGGTGTTCATTATTAGCAAGATGGGGATCACAGAGGAAGATGTTTTGTGTGTATCAACATACAGTATACCAGAGTGATTTAATAGTGAAAGTGAAAAAAGAAAAGAACATAGATAGTAGGTACATAAATCTTGATAATTTACACTATTCTAGAATTGTTCATGAAATTGTCTACCCAAGGCTGACAGCTCGGAAATTTAGGGATGCTCTAATTTATGGTGATTTTAGTAATTCAAAGAAACCATCTTACTCATAACAACCATGACATAAATATAGGACAGTATAGTACTGCATAGTACAGGCATACAATTATACACATGAAAGCGCTTGGGAACTTTCGTGTTTTCTTGTGGTTATCAGCATATATATATATATATATATATATATATATATATATATATATATATATATATATATATATATATATATATATATATATATATATTTATTGTCTGTGTCCAAGTTTGTCGGTTTCCATACTGTGTACAGTATGTTCAGTGCCTCAGTGTAGGACACCATGCCATGGATTAAATATGACAGCCAAAATAAATAAAATTGCCAAAGCAGTTTTTTTACCATTGTTTCCAAATTTCAGCTTCCCGGCATAAAATATCGGGTTGGTAGTACAGTAGCTCCTACTGTACTGCCAACCCGGGTATCCTAGCTCTTTCCACACAGGCTTCGTCGGCTCTTGGTGGAGGGGGGGGGGGGTGCAGTGATATACACACGACCCAACTGCTTTTGTGTTGTGTTGTGTAGTTAGTTACATCTTAAATTTAAGTCACAAGTTTTGTGTGATTTTTTCAAGATGGGAACACATGAAACTCCTTATCGGACGTTTGTTTCTTGTTTGTGTTTATACAGGCATTACCAGCAACGCGCATAATTGAATGTTTACCGTTTTATTGTTATTTACTCCGTTGTAGAATTTAATGCAATAGACTGCTGAGTGTCTATGCTGTCATTTAAGTGATACTTTTTTATATAAATTCAGTCTCAAATTGAATTCTGTGAGCCGCCAACACTAGCTGCTGCCTTTAATGGTGAGCCGAGAGTTAAGTATCAGCGAATTGTTTGGTTCTATCTATCTTACTTATTTTCAAGTAAATTGAATGAAACACTCACATATAAACTTATACTGCTGGAACAAAGCATTTATTTGAATTTACGAGGAAAAAGTCCGCTTACAATAACGTAGTGATTCTTAATATATCACCATTGTTTACATACGGGAATCCTTAACCATTTATAGTACTTAACTCAGTAAATATATTGGTGGACCAGCGCGGGTGAACTCGGTTATCAGCAGGCGGTGGTCACACCTTATTATGTTTATTGACAACTTAATATCTACATAGAATAGTTGGGTAAACATTTTTCGATGTAGGTATTCAAACATTTCATACTAAACACAATTCCACTAAGGTTCATAAGAGGTATGGCATAATATAGTCTGTATTTTACATAATCACAGGTTCAGGTGTCACTTAAGTAAACATATTCAGCTTCAAAACGTGTGGAGTGTGTAAAATAGAGCTGCAATTCAGTAGCGGATGTTCCCTCCCCCCGAGTACGTGATATGAGCGGTCATCTCGTGGGTAACATCACCCACCTGTTGCCTTCCTAATGAACTTCACGCCAACTTTCTCTTTTGTCTTTCACCATTCTCCTTTATGAAGACAGTTTACGAATCCACTTAGTTTTCCAATATTTTTAGGAAGTATTTTTTCCTTTGTTTGCGGTTAATAGGTTAGTATTGGAAGTACTGTACCGGTTCAGGTATTGGAATTAGACAAAGAAATAGCGACTTGTTAATTTACTTTATTTTAAGTAGTGTATTGTACATATTTCTAGAAGTCCACCAAAGTTTGACATATTTTCGTGTAAACAAAGCAAATAAATAAATTGGTGAAGGTGTAGAAAATGGGATGTTATACCTGTTCCCCTTACCTCCCCTCTCCCCCTCCCCGGTCCCCGCCTACCGTCGGGCCAGTGACCGAACATCTTGACAGTAGACACGACTCTCTCTGACGGTGTTGAGGTGGCAGAGAAGTGAAGGTTCTAGCATGGCCACACGTTGATTTCTTATTATTGCTGGCTGTTTGTGACAAGAAGAAAAATTATTGAAATATGTTTATAGTTGAGGTAAACATTGATAACCAGTCAGAACATGGTAGCTGGTGCTGCTCACAATGTGAATGTGGTGTTAGTCGGTAGTCCTCCCCAGGGCAGGTGAAACTGAGGAGGAATTGAGAGTAACCTGTTGTATATTACCATGTTAGCCCAATGTCAGTGAGGAGATTGGTTGAGATAAACATTGTGTTGTACTGGTAATTACTATATTTATAAGGGATATTACAAACTCAGATTGCTGTTGGTAATGGGAAAAATCCTTTATTTTATCAAATGAAAACCTGTCATTCTGCTGTTTAAATATTTGTATAGTCTGTATTAATTTTTAAATTAATTTGGAGCATTGTGTTCATAAATTGAGGCTTTTACTAGTTTTAAGCACTTAGCATGTGATATGACATGTAATATAATGTCCAAAGTGTCATATATATATATATATATATATATATTGTTGACCCCTAAGTTATTTACTCTGTCAGGCACTTGTTCCCATCAATATTTGTATCATACTGTACTTGATGCTTAAATGGTTGTATAGTTTGTGGAATTAAACTACTACTATATATCATTGATATTTAGCAGTTACAAGACAAGCTCTTTGAATGACATATATTTTTTATCATGCACTTTTTTTTTTTTTGGGGGGGCACTCCCCTACATCCTTGTGTAAGGTGAAGCGCAGAAGCGTTTACAGCGCCCAACAGGGAAACATGCTCAGTTCATGCTTGCCTTATGTCTCATGAGTTAAGGGCGTAGAAGCCTGAAGAGTCAATGGTTTATGTCTAAGCAAGTTATTGGAAGTTCTAACAACTTGTCCCTGAATACGAATTCGCAACTTTCGACTTACAGCAGGTACCTACTTTGCTGCTAGGTACCTGCAGCACTCTACTTTAATTTGCTAATATACGTGTAATTTAATAACAAAATAATTACAGAACACTGCATGGTTATTTAATAAAATTTATTCACTGTGTTGGAGACCTTCCGAGGGTTTAATGCTGGTAGCTGCTTAATCAAAATGGTTTAATTAGAAATTTGTTCTAAGTAATCCTCACATTAGGTGCCTTACAGATAGTATTCATAGAATCTTTTTTATTAGATATGCATAGGTTCTTGATGTGTTGCATTGTCCACACTAATCATTTTTCTGCCAATCATTTATTAGCATAATTTTGGGATATTTTACCCTTTTACATCATTATACATACTATACAGTATACCTGTACTGTACTGTGTAGCACAAAATCTTCCGGAGGGGAAAATTATTAACATCCCAATTTTTAACAAGTCGAGAATATAGAATGTGAGTGTTATTAATACAATAAATTTTTATTTTATTTATTATTTCATGATTAAATTTTCCCCTAAGTCTTGGAAAAAATTTGGGAAAAATAAGTGATAAAGTGACAGAATCTGAGGTGTGGGTGATCCTTAAGGCAGCATCACACTGGCATTTCTATTGTCAACTTTTTCATTACTGTTGACTTTTTTCCATGAATCATCGGCGTTGTCTTTGGTTATTTGTCAAACAGTACAGACCGTCTGGACTGACGACTCGTATGACAACTTACCGGAGTCAACGCAAGATCTATAATTGATAATACAAATAGTTATAAAAATAAACAAATATTTACTTAAAATATTAAGCTAAAATTACAGTTATGAAAGAATTATATTACTCTTCTTCCTAACATTACTCATTATTATATTTAATTTTGTGATTTTAAAAAAAAGGTAAGAAAATGAGTTCTTGGTGGACCAGATAAGGCAGTGCCACTGTCTCTGGGATCACCAGGACTCTTCATACACCAAAAGAGGTGTAGAATTGCTTCTCTTTCTTCATCAGTTGGATCCATCTGTTCTGTTGACAGTTGTTGAACGAGGGAAACTGGCGAGTTGGTTCTCAACACATGTGTGACGGTGCACAACAATAAGTTTGACGACTTTCTGAAAGTTGAAAAAAATCAACGAAATAATGTCAGTGTGACGCTGCCTTTAGGAGGATGGTGTGGGCAGTCCTGGGTGGTGGGTTAGGGGCTGTTGGTTTTCTTCAAGCTTGGAATGACATTGGTCCATTACTTTTTTTTTATAGTCCTGTGATGTAATCCTTCTTATTATTTTATCTTTATATTAACACTGTACATTACTACTGTATGTAATTTTTTGTGCTATGTGTAAAGTGCTGTGTCTCATTTACATGTCTAATTTATTGTATTCTCTTTAGGGTCACAGTAATGCAAAAGGGCTGAGTGGAGTTAGAATGCGTATCTTGCAAATTCGTCGTGGTCGCCTCCTGAAGGTGGTGTTGGGGGTGACTGCCGTGGCTGGTGTGTTACTACTCCTGGGAGTCAACTCTCCTCATACTGCTTCTATTAGATCAGCTGGTGCACTCTTAGTAAGTATGTTACTGTACTGTATTGTACTGTTATAGTATTCATCTTAAGTCACTACTTTGATATTTATTCAATAAAATATCTTCATGCAAGTTATACATTAAATCATCATGTATAAAGGCATTGCAGGTACTGTATATAAGATATACATAGACAGTGCAGTTCAACAAAATATGTACAATTGTGAACAAAATGAACTCAGCAGGGAGGTGGTGTATGGGAGGGTAGGGGTTTACTGCAGGTGGAGACTTGGCAAGGTTACATAAGGGGGTGGTGAAAAGTATTCTCAAATATTCAACTTATGGTTGTTTTGGTATATTGAGTTATTTGCACCACAATGTTGGTGTAAGCTGCACCTGCCTCATAATTAAACAAAAAACAAACAACAACTCAGTTTATGGAACTGTATCATTTTTATTTTCATCTCCACAGAGTAAAGCCAAACAGAAGGTTACATACCTTGAAGACAAAGCAGGTAACTTTGAACCGAAAGACAGCCCACCCAGGAATGGACCTGGTGAAGGAGGCAAAGCATATCATCTCCCCCCTGATAAGCAGAATGAAGGGACACAGTCTGTAAGCGAGTATGGCATCAACATGGTAGTTTCTGATGAGATTGCCATGGACCGTGCCATCCTGGACACAAGACATCCAGAGTAAGTACAGTACTGTATTGACAATTGTATACTGAACTACTCAAGAATAATTTATGAATACTGTATGTTTCTAAAAATTTTCGGACATGGAACCCAGGGAATGTATACCTCATAAGGGGTTTGAGACATTGAAGTTGCTGTTTAGGGCTGGGAGCAAATGAGTCATAACATTACACAACCAGTTATGACCTCCTTGGTTTGACTTTAGTTTTTGGTGCTGTAGTTTTTCAGGAGAAGCCAAGTGACCCTCCCTTTATTTATGCTGGACTACATTGTTCTAGGTACTGAGCTTGTGTTAAGTGTCGTGTACACCTGCCATTAACTTACCTATGGCTTAGCGGATGTGGCAGAGGGTGCCATCATCCTTAAGGGAATAGTTTGGTAAAATCTGCTCCAGGTTGTTTAAGAAAATTGTATGTCACAATCTGGAATTATAACAGTCCAGTGTGTTTGCTTTATCATACTGGTGTGTAGAGCATTTACAGTACTCTAGGCTTACATATTCCTCTGCTGTTTTAGCAATTTATGTGCAGACTACTGATTTATTTTCAATCAGTATTGCTTTCCAAGGAGCATAAAGTCATTGTTTTGTATTTGATTTGTCTCATATCCCCTGTAGGTGACAGTGAAAGGTATGAGGTGATGTAAACAGTAAAAAAAAGGTGGGGGTAAACATACAATACAGTATATTTAATTGGTAAAGATTTACATACACTGTTACTTTAAAGTGGCCTATTAGAAGAGAAACTTGGGTATCCTTGAGGACATTTCTGAAACCAGACAGATTGCAGACTACTGTATACAGAATTTTGATATAAGACATACTGTACTGGTACTTTTAAGAAACAAATTAGTTTTTATGAAGATGGATTTTCACTTAAAGTGGGGAAGACTTCTGTATATTATTTGCTTGTAATTGCAATTTCTCAACTTTTATATTGTTTATATATAAGGTAGCATTCATACAAACAAAAGAGGAACATCTCCACAATAGTATATTGGTTAACTGCGTGCTAAATTAATAGGCTTTAAATATCATTGTGCCTTTGTTTTGAAGACATTACAGTTTCTCTTCAATATTTTAATTGCTTTTATGATATTTCAGGTGCAGCCACTGGGAATATCCAGAGGATTTGCCAACAACAACTGTGGTGATAGTTTTCCACAATGAAGGTTTCTCTACACTGATGCGCACAGTTCACAGCGTCTTTGACCGCTCTCCACCTCAGTTCTTGAAGGAGGTGTTGCTAGTAGATGACTTTAGTAACAAAGGTATTGCTGACACTGTTCAATACTAATTTAATGTAGTCTTGAGTCTTATGTCTCTGACATTTCTCTGCGAGAAGGGCACTTAGTAATTATGTGGCAGAGTTAGTGTACTTGAGGTGGGAAATTAAATTGCGGGTGTATCCTTATCCTACCCCGACCCCCCACTACTGAAACGTAGATACTTAATAGACAGGAAGCTATGTGAATGCCCAAAATTTAAGGAGATTTAATCCTAAAGTTTAAGATTTGAAATTTTAGATATAAACTCTTGCTAGATATCCCAGTATACAGGTGTTTTGTCTTTCCAGCTACAACTTTTTTTATTTTTACAGCATCTTTGAAAGAGCCTTTGGAGGATTACATAACAAGGTGGAAGGGGAAGGTGAGGTTGATACGCAACAAGGAACGTGCTGGACTTATTCGTACCCGCACCACAGGAGCTGAAGAGGCCAGAGGAGAGGTGGTGCTCTTCCTGGATGCTCACTGTGAGGTCAACAAGAATTGGCTTCCTCCACTCTTGGCTCCTATTTACCGAGACAAGTAAGAATTCATGGTCAGTCTTTAAGTTAACATATAATAGATTACATTGTGCACCATCTAACTACAGGCCCAACATTGAATTTATATAAAATAATATATTTGAAAAAAATAGTAGCTGATATAATGTAAGTTGCCAAAAGTTTTAAATCAATCAGAAGGCAGCCTTCTGGTAGCTGCTAAGTCCCATCAAACCTTAATTTACATTAAGGGAGTCACTTGTTCTGTACAGTATTTGGAGAAACTGGGGAGGATAAACTCAAGATAACAAATTAGTGAATCATTAGTCAGCAAGAACATCAGAAACAACCGTTTATGGGCAGTTGTTGGTTCTTTACCTAAGAATTGAGTGGCCAGATGTGGGACTCAGGGTTTGTTGTGTTTTTTCCCGCTACTGCACTGTACAGTATAAGTTGGATTCAGTTGGACAGCTTCTATTTTGGGTGCAAGGAGCATATCACTTTGTTCTCCCCAAGTCTACATTTCCAAAATGATATTCAAGGTTATTAAACTACACACCCATGCTGCACACCAAGAGCACATAATCTTTCTTTTTTTTCGCATCATTAGCCTTCCTGGGTTGCAACCTGTAGACTTGGGTATAGAATTGGGTTTCCAATGTTGAATCCTTCATATTTATATTTTTTTTATCATGAAATTAAAATGTTTGTTAATTTTTATTTATTTTTTCTTACAGACATACCATGACAGTACCAGTTATTGACGGTATAGATCACAATACATTTGAGTACCGACCAGTGTATGGTGCTGGCAGTAACTTCAGAGGCATATTTGAGTGGGGAATGTTATACAAGGAGTCAGAACTGCCAATGGAGATGGAACGTCAGCGCATACACAAGAGTGAACCTTACAAGTAGGAATACAGTAATTTTGTTTCTTTGATCTTATGTTCCAAGAATTGTAATCTTTATAGTAGCCAATCCTTAACATGATTTTCAAGGACCATCTTATACAAGCCATGTAACCCCCTCCCCAGTCCAGGAGTGTAAGGCTGGTAACTCCATCTTGTACCAGTATTCAGAGAGAAGAGAGAGCAGAATATAAGAAGGCTGATAGACTGTGTGTAGATGTAATGAGAATGATGAAGAAAGAATTAAAATAAGGCAATTAAAAGAAAATGGAATCTCTTGGTTTTGAGGACTAGGAAGAGGGGAAAGTCAGGAGTGTTTGGTAGGGTAAAAACAAAGAAAGTGTGATAGTTAGGAAGACCAAGAAGGAGATGGAATGTTTCTGGGGATGAAAATGCTGGTGATAAGGGATGCTAGCCAGTATCTAGTGGCGGGGATGAACCAGATAGGTATTTGGAGTTTATTTATTTAAGGGGGAACTCCAGAACAAAATACATTTATTAGAGCAGTAAGAGTAAATGAATAGCAGCATATGACAAGAGAGCCTGTGGGTGCATTTGATTCCAACAATGCAGAATTATAACAAGAAATATGAAGCTGTGTGAAAATTTATACAGAATCATGCATGAACACTTTCAAATCTACGTCATCTTGTGTCTGCTTATAATCTTCTAGGCACACGAGAATGATTTGATATATTTTTTATGGCTTTTTAATTTCAGAGCTCCAACTCATGCGGGAGGTTTATTTGCTATCAACCGAGAGTACTTCTTGAGTCTCGGTGCTTATGATCCGGGACTTTTGGTCTGGGGAGGAGAAAACTTTGAGTTATCTTTTAAGGTAATTCTTTCTCTCATACACGTTATAACCCATTACTGTATTGAGCTTCACCTGTTATTGACATATTAGCTAAACTTACTTACTGGTTCCTTCTTTAGTCTGAATTATATGGTTTTCATGCTGTCAGTTAAAGAGAGGATAATGATGGCATAGAAAATAGAATTTCTCACCTTAAGTTGTGGGGTTCAGGGTCAGCGCTTGAATTGTAAGCTAAATCATAGTATTAATTTATACTAGTACAGCTGTTTGATTGTAAATGAAACTAAAAAAATGGAAGAGAAAATAGCCAAGTTTTCTGTCAACAGATATGGCAGTGTGGTGGCAGCATTGAGTGGGTGCCTTGTTCTCGTGTGGGTCATGTTTACCGGGGATTCATGCCTTATAACTTTGGCAAACTGGCAGAGAAGAAGAAGGGCCCTCTTATCACCATTAATTACAAGAGAGTTATTGAGACGTGGTTTGACGACAAATATAAGGAGTACTTTTACACACGTGAACCTCTGGCAAGGTTAGTCTAGTTATGGTTAATGGAAAGGTTTTTAAATTTCGTTCTCATTCACATTTTGTTGTCTCCTGTTCTTTTTTCATAATTATAGCAAGGTTTTCTGCTACCTTAAGTTATTTCTTAGCACTGTTTTGACATGGGTAATTTTTTAATACTTAAATGTTAAGTCTGAGTCACTTCTAAGCTCTCTGTAAGATTTGAGTCATTTCTGAGCTCTGTTAAGTTTTGAGTCACTTGTGAGTGCTATTAAGCTTTGAGTCACTTATGAACTCTGTTAAGTTTTGGGTCATTTATGAGCTCTTTTAAGCCTTGAGGCACTTATTAGGACTCCCAAGACTTGAGTAGTTTCTTCTCCTTGTAGAGTTAAACAATAAATGATATTCTTTCATATAGCTACATACAGAATGTTAAACTTTGATCCATTTCTTTTTAATACACTGTTAAACCTTGACTCATTAATTTCTAAATCTAATATAATTTCTCAGTTTTAATATTAAATTGGGAATAATTTATTCTCTTTTCACTGTTACACCTAATGTGATTATTCATAATTTTACTGTAACATTGCATATACAGTAATTGAGTCGAGGTTTAACACTGTACAGTATATCATAAAATATTTAGCATTTAATACGTAATATGAAATAATGTATATTTCGGTACAGTATAGCAATAAGTATTTCTTTGGCAATCGTAGAGCTTTCTTGTAATGCTACTTCCCATATCTAGGTACCTTGACATGGGTGACATTAGTCAACAGTTGGAGCTGAAAAAACGGTTGCAGTGCAAGAGCTTTCAATGGTTCATGGATAATGTCGCTCCTGACTTACTCCGCAAGTATCCAGAACTTCCTCCCAACGTGCACTGGGGCGAGGTAGGTACTGTACACAGAGGTTCTCTATAGGTGAGACAGTTTACCAGATTTAACATATCTTTTTGTTGAAATACATTATTTCCTTAAAATTATGGGCCTTTTATGGGAAAAGTTACTTTAAGAATCTAAATACATGTTTCTAAATTCATGTGCAGAATTATCTACTTTTTAAAGAAGTAAAGTTTTCAGTAATATAAGTTTAAGATCTGCAACCCATCAACAATAAAATCAGACACATTAAAAGTTTGAGTGTTGGTTGGAACTGTTGACTGTAAATTAATCATACTTTTCATATTAGTTTGATAGTTTATTTCATGATTATAAGGCAGAAAAATTAAATGCAGTGCTTTTGAATTTTATTTTATGATTAGGTTAAGCCTGTAATTATATTTTGTATGTAAATGAAATATAGTATCTTCTCTGGTAATGCATGTTGGAACTCCACAAACTCTTCACTTCTCTCTCTCTTCCTTATTGGCTTGAATGGACCTGCACTCAGTATAAGATAAAAATTACAAAGTTAAGTTCCATAAACAGTTAAAACTTCTCCCCACTGTTCACATATGAGTGTGGAAATTATTTTTGCATGTCACATTGGTTGTGGATTCTTTCATTTGACTTTTAGTGAATGTGAGGTGAAATATGTGGGCTTGACAGATTAGGTTGTGGGACATTTGATACATATTCAAAATATTGTAGAGGCATTTGAGGTACAGCTGAACTCTTTTACCCGGTTGCTTAAGTTACTGCTATGCTCATGTAATACTTCAATAGTGTTTCTCTATTGGAAGACTACATTTTTGATGCATCAGATAGTTCTATGAATACTACCCTGACTGACTCTCACAGACTTTATGACCAGACTGTGCTGACAGTTTATATAAATTTATTTTTATTTTTTCACTTGTTTCTTAATATATTTTTTTAGGTCCAAAGATGAATTTTCTTATTTGTTTTTAGTAAAGCAATTGAGTATTATTATTGTGTGAAAATATTTGAAAATATGCATACTGTATTTGAAAATTATTCATGCCTTGCTTCCTTGTAGAAAACCTTCATGTTGGGGCAGTATTCAGTGTTCCCAGCTTCATAGCATTAGAGGCTTACATGTTATTCTGTGGGCAGAGCTATTTACTGCCACCTCACTTGCCAGAGTAGAAACTATAGTCCAACAAAGTCTGTACACAGCTTTTAAAGTCAGTCCATTCTCACCTGGTTGTTGGTCTTATTTCACACTTTTGGCACAGTAGAGTGACTAGAATACAGGTGGAGCTAACTCTACTTTAATGGAATTAATTGTTGTGCAGCTATTTTGGCTTATAGCAAATTCTGGGTTTACATTCTCTTAACCAAATAAAACTCTCAATATCAGATACTTTATAGTCACTCATACACTTTTGTGGATTATAATATTGCACCCATCAAACAATAAACCCAAGTTCATGACCCATTAGAACATGAACACATTGGGCCTCATATTCGAAGAAGGTCCAGTTATGTTTAGTGCCTATCAGGGCATGGGGCCTAAGAAGGCCTACGTACTTTCATTGAAAAATAAACTTTTAGTCCTCTTTTAATGTGCCATTAAGTTTAAAGCCCATTTGGAGATGGGATTCAATGGACCCAGGTCTTAATTGGTCCTGAACTTACTGGCATCAGAGGGTGCAATTTGTGGAGGGATGGAATGGAAAAAGAGTTTCACAAAGGTGATATGAACATTTAAGAAGGATGCAGGAGAGGATAATAAAGTGATAGCATTGTAGCAGATGATGTTAGAAGGGACAGGTGGAGCAATACATTAAGGAAAGAACAGGGCAGGTGATAAGGGGAACAGAGAGTTACAGCACATGTAGTGAATAGACTCTTTGATAGGCTAGCCTGAAGGCTCTTCTGTTATGGCCATCACCCTTAGAAGGAAACTCCCTAAAAGAATGAGGCAATATAGAAAAGATAAGATGATTTGTTATAGACAAAGACATTAAGTTTAGCTAATTCATCATTTCCAGTGTCGACTGCTGTCCTTGCACCTCTCCAGTATACAGTAGTGCACTATTTTACTGCTCAGCTCGTGTTATATCACTGCCTTGAACCTTTCAAGTTGTCTGCATCTAGAAGGTTTTATTACATAGTATATTCACGCTTTTGCTTCTTGACTCCTTAAAAATATAGATACAGTATATAAATTAAAGGTATTCTGTGTGTGTATTTCTAATGTCCCTTGTCTTACACATATGTGAATCATATTGTAACTATTTTCTCATCAGTGCCTCATCCACTGTTTTAATCATGACATTTGTCTTGTATGCTCCTACAAGACTTATGCTATGTTAGTCATTGCCTGAAAAATGATAATACTAATGATATGAAGAGGCAGTGGTGGTGCATACTCATCACTTAGCACTACATTTTGCACCAAGCTCTCTTATCTGATAAAAATCTCACCTTTAAACATTAATTGCAATTCTGTCAGCATAAACCTGTCTCCTTTGCAACACTGGGGTAGAATTTAGACACCATTACCCACATGCACTGGTGAAATGTTGGAAAGGAAGAACTAAAAAAAATACCCATTTGGTTGACAGATCTCTATAGTGACTAACACAGATGGCCACTTCTAGAGACAATAAAGAAACAATACAATACTGCACTGTATTGAGCTTTTCACTTTAAGAGGTGGTTAAGTATCTCTATGTTAGGGATAAAGTCAGTATATATCATTATTTATATAATATTGAGTACTGGTGAATATTTCCTGGTACACTGTATAATATATATTATACTGTATCTGGCTTTACCTAAATTTTCTTATCATTGTCTCATTTCTGTGACACTCCTGTTTTCTACTTGTTCCCAGATATGTGTAATGACTTAGGAAGCCATGCATATTGTTCCTTCACTATTTGTGTTCCTTTTTGGGTAACATTTAACCAATCATATTTTGTATTGTTGATTTATTGAAGATTAATCAGTATTTTGTAATAACTAGACCTGGACAAAGAGACTTTTAAGACTTATGAGACCCCATATTGATCAATAGCTGCGCAGTCTTGTTGGTGACTTCTGTTGGGACACTGTTGGCCATGATGCTCCAGCTGTGTTGGAGACTTATCCCTGTATGGGGGACACCCTTGGTGGTGACACTAGTCAGGTAATAAGCTGGGCGCTAACTGTACTTGTGAATTTTATTCGTCCTTTCATATTGTTTCTTGGAACATTATGTGCACTACAGTTTGTATATTATAATATGTGTAGTTTTGCCAAGATTTTTTTTTTTCCTTAAAAGAATTCTGCCAATGATATTAGGAAGTAATGACCATACAGACTGATCTTGACTTGGTCACATCAAGTGACAGTATGTGAGCTGGCATCATCCTAGGTAAGTATCAGCTTGCCCACTGGTAAAAAATTTACAACTTTTTGGATAAAACGAGAGGTTTTGAACTGCTAATGTTCTTTGATATCCCCCCTACCCCCATACTGTACTTAATTTCATCTCACGTTAAGTGAATGTTGCAGTAATGTATGTTCTTGTAGTCTTTTGGTTTATATTCCTTGAATTTTTGCTGTAATATTTATTTGTTATAGAAAAGACCCCACCACCATTGATTCATAAACCCATGAAATTAATAAACAAAGGTGTTGTATAATTTAGAAATTCTCTGTCTATAGTTAATGTTCATCATTTGGAATGTTAGGCTCCCATACCCACTGGTAAGTGATGATTCAGTCAAATATGTTAGGGAGCTGGAGGGTTTATGTATTGACATTTTGGTGAGTACTGTACAGTATTCTGCAAAGGTAGCTATTGTACATATTCACAGTTGGTTTCTCGCTGCATCGTACTTCTGTTCTGTGAGTCTGCTGTGTTTGATAGAAGAATTGATGGGAAGTTTATAATATAGTGCTATGCAAGTATCTTCTCTTTGATTAAATGAAGTAATGGGAATGGAATCTGTCACTTTTGGTTATGGGGCTTTTATGTAGTTGAGATGTGAATGGTGACAGTTCTTGAAACCACTCTTCTTTTTCCACATGTGTTCTACTCTTATAAACCTTTTTCCCACTGTAACAAAATTAACCTTACCTGTCTAGGACCATTTTGGTTTAATATTTTTTCTTGCCACTCTTTCATAACTTTTATTTGTAGGAGTTTCCTTTATTGGCCAGAAAAGAACTTATAAATTATCAGAGGAAACCATACTTCTTATACACACTACCCACAGCTGCGTAATGCTGCCACTTCACAGTGTCTTGATACTATGGGTCATGCTGCCCCCAGTCTCATGGGTGTCTCTCACTGTCATGGTTTTGGTAATAATCAGGTAAGGTTCATAATTAATTTCCCCTCTTGCTGACTTTGTTAGTTGTAAGACTTTAAGAAGCAATAATCTTGATGCTTTAAGTTATTAGTTGTTAAAATTTTACTCTGATGTTGATAATTTATCTTTAGGGAAAGTTATTGTGCATGTTACATAGGAAATTGTAGATTTAATTAATGTTTTCCCTATATGTGTGTGCCATATGTTCAAGACTCAAGGCTGACATTCCCAAAACCTGATTTGAAATTTCAAGCTAAAAAATATAAAAATAATAAATTTATTAGTTCAGTGCACATTGTTACAAATGAAAACTTTGTGAAAATATTCTTTAGTGTGAACAGGAATTTTTAACTGATATCATCCACTGTGTATTTTAGATACAGGCATCCCCTGAGTTACGGAAGGTACCTTGAAAATTTGTCCGTAATGCGAAACCATTTTTCCCATTGACTTCCATTATATAATTGGAGACGTAATACAAGCACATTTATGAATGAAAATAATCTTGTTTTTAAGACATACATTGATTATTTTATGATCTAATATGATAATAAATATACGAAATACTTGAATTTAACTTGCCACAAACGATGTTGAGTGCTACATTAGGTGTGGTGGAGTTACTGGGAGGGAGACGGAGAGGCACTACTGACTCCTTGAACCACCAAGAAATCCACACAAAATAAGTTTTATAATTTCTGTGAATTTTTTTTTCTAATAGTATTAAAAAAAAAGTACAAAATGTACCCAATTTCCGTAAGGGCAAATTTTTTGTCCGTATCCCGAATTTATTGGTCATATTTTACAATATCCGTAAGAGCGAATTTCCGTAACCCGGGGGATGCCTGTATGTCTAAATTGTCAATCTGTCGTGCAGTAATAACAAGGATGATGCCTTTTAGGGCTTTAAGGTAAGAGAAGTCTTTAGTGTACAACCTAAATATTTTACTTTTCTGAAACTCAGTTTTATTTGTTTATTAAAAAAAAATATGTGAAAGTTTGGCAAACTTGCATGAGTATGAATACAAGGTTTTATCCAGCACTTTATTGTCTGGCAATTTTAGTACAGTAACTGCTATTTTTTTATATCCACCAATACAGGTACTATTGTCCAGTCTAATTATTCATTCACACTACTCTACAGTTTTTGGTTTCAATGTGATGATAGTTATTAAGTGCCTATCCATATTAGATTAGATATTACTGTACAATTGTAGCGCATAAGAGTTTCAAGGATCGGGAGTACTACACTGCTTCTGGTGAGTATTGGGTCTGATTAACCCCCCTTCAGTTCTGGATAACAAAGCTGGTCACTGAAGATAACGAGCACAAGCTCATCTACAGTCTGTGGTAAGACACTCCACCTAAATGCAGTTTATCACAGTCACCCCAACAGCAAGTGGCTCCAGCAGCTCCACCATACTAGCCAGCTCCCTAACTCTTTGCTTACCTAGTCCTGGGCGTTTCCATAAGATGGGATTGCAGAATCAATTACTGGTTATATTTTATGGTGCTGTAAGTGAAAAAACCATTTAAATTTTGCCAAGATAGCTTAAATGTACAGTAATTACTTTAAAATGAATCTGTAATAATGTGCAGTCAATAAAATTGAGATAATACATAATAAAGTAAAAGGGCAAGAAATGGGTTAATTCTCGGTGAATAAAAAAAAATAGAAATGGAGATATTGGTACAATGTTCATTAGTCTGTCTGTAACAGTGAATCCAGTGTCATAATCTCATTACTCTTTTAGACTTTTTAAATTCTTATTTAGTCACTTGACCTTTATGCAGATCATCATAATTCAAGTTGATATTCTTTTAGATCAATCAAGCCATTCTTCTTAAATCACATGTAAATGGGCAGGTTGGCTCACTGATGTACAGTAAGAGGTTTTCTTAATTGTTTTATTTCTTAACAGCTCATCCGGCTAAATGCAGAAGGCCAGCTAGGTGTTGGGGAGCGGTGTGTTGATGCCGATGGCCAAGGTGTAAAGCTGATCTTCTGTCGTTTGGGAACAGTGGATGGGCCGTGGCAATATGATGAGGTAAGTCTCACAAATTGATTTTCAGTCATTGGGTGGCCACTAGTTACTACCCCATAGAAATAGTTTTATCCTTTACAGTGTTCACTTATATTTACAACTTTAGGAATCTTCCATTTAATAAAGGGTTGATGTAAACATTAGTAGGTGCAGATTTTCATTACCTGACTTGCCATTAAATTTCCTGTTCTAAAATATCTTGTATAGTATTTGTATAACTGAGTACAATACTTTACATCATTTTAACCGTAAACCAAATAATAATTCTGAAAAGGTAGATATATCTTAAGATACCATGATATATGGATTATGGTAGAGTGGGACATGTAAGAATCAAATAGGATTAGTTCTTATTGTCAGCTTTAAACAAACTTGTGATAGTGGTTGGGTTAGTATACAGGGTGTACTGCATATACTCAGGAGTTGTTCAGTCTTATTACTCAGTGATAAACACCCACAGGTATTGGGAGTTGAGGCAGCAATGTTGTTTATGAGTACTTGAGCTTAACTTGGGTGTAGGAATAGTGTATTCTTTTGGTAAATGTAAAAACATGCAACAAGACATAGAATGTGTATAAAGTTCTTCAAGTTGCTGGTAAAAAGATTGAAAACCACATAGAGGATATGAAAATTTATCAGTTAAATTAATAAAAAAAATAATGACTATTTGCAGCAAAGCCATGTGATGCTCCACAAGCGGATGGGGAAATGTGCTGCTCTCCACCCCCAGAACAACCAGTTGACTATGCTTCCATGTGACCCTATTAACAATTACCAGAAGTGGACATTCAAACAGATTACTCCTAAGTGGTGAGGTGAGGAAGTAGTGGATCAGTTGGTAGTTTATATTTTAATATATACTTGACAGTGAAACAAACTATAATTTGAAATATCCAATAAATGAAAATTTCTTGATAAATTTGTAGAAAATAAAAAAAATATGCTGATAACACAGGTTTGGATGTGCAGTCTGTTGAGTGTCACAAAGAACGTACAGGTACGGTAGGTTGTAGTCAAACGGGAAAAGGATAAAAGACAGGTTACACTTGTATGTAAATATGGATGTAGAAAAGTTAAGTCCTTTAATAGAAATGAATGATGGTAGTCCTTCATAATGAAGGGTTTTATTGTTATTGTTTGTTGTGCATTTTAAAGTTGGTAAAAGACTCCACAGGCAATAATCAAAGTAGTACAATAGTTGTGGAAGCCCCCCCTCCCCCACCATTTACATTAATTTAACTACAGTACTCATAAAATTAGAATTTTCAGATCTTTTTCAATAACTGGAATGGACGAGTTGATGGTCGGATTTTTTCGTAAGACTGCAGATCAATGGGTAACAAAAACTCTTAAATTCACTATTGTAATGATATTTTTAAATAAATTAGGCCAAAAAGTGTAAAATATAAGGGTTAAAGTTGGTAAAAAGTCACGTGACTGCAGGTTGGGTGAAGATGTCATTGCAAATGGCGGCCCTGTTTCTAGAGAAATAAACTTATCTCGACTATTATAGCAGGACTTTAAACTTTTATTACAAATTATATATACCGTATCACTCTATGAACGTGGCAGAGTGTATTTCTTGTGTTGACCCAGAACCGTCAACTCGTCCATTGACCATTGGCCTGAACCTAGGTTTACCAAAGCAAGTATTTTACTTGACAATTGTTAGTGTCGAAAGACCCATTAAGCAACATACTATACTGTAATTACTTCATGAAGAATGGAGTATGGTTGTAAGGCTTTACCACGTATAAAGTCTCCTCGCACAAATATCAGTGCATTTATTATATTTGTATTTATAAAGATTTCTAGTGTGGACCTGAACTATCTTTTCAAAAACTTTTCCACTATTTATTTGTCTTGATCCACAATTACCAAGGAGCTCACCTCACTTAAAGTAAGTTTCTCTGTCCAGGTACAGGAATTCCCATACCTTGCACAAATCAACCAATCATTAACATACCAGAGACGTATAAAAGCATCCATTTTGTCACTTCATACCGTTCATGTTCAACCATTGATAGGAAAAAGAATTTGATGCTTCCATTAAGGAAAAACAGATAAAATATTATAATTTGAACATTATTATTTGTTCTCAATTAGTTAAAAATTATATTATATAGGGTACTGTACTGTTATCTGGGCAAATTAATTCATATAAAATTATGCAAAATAAACTGCATAAGAACCCATTCCAACTTTATGATTGCTCTTACATTCACATTGAAACATCTGGCCGTGTGCCTTATTGATATGCCTTTGAGTAGTAGCCTTGCAACCAGATATTTTTCACAAAGATAAAGTGGTTGAATTTCCAGGTCAGCCACTATGTTAAAAGTACTATATACTGTAAGGTATAAGTAACTACATTAATGCAGGTATATATACGATGGTGTTACGTTCCTGAAACGCCCACCGCAAGTTGAAATACAGTATCATAAATCAGGAGCATTATAACTTGGGGTTCAATGGGATATGTTCCCAGCCAGTTAGACACCCACGTGTATTACCGAAAATAAAATTCCTACTATAATAATACAGCTCCTCCCCGACTTACGACCTATTCGACTTATGACCACCCGCACTTACGACCTGCCTCAGTCGTACCAAAATTTTGTCAAATTACGTATTTTCGAGTCCCATCTTCAGTACACAGACAAAATTTTCGTTTGTAGTTCACTTTAAAATGGCTGGCAAGCTTAAAAGTGAGAGTTTTGTGGTGCTGGGAAGAAAAAGAGACACCCATTTTAGATTTTCTGTGTATTATTTAAGCATTTTCGACTTACGACCTGGATTTGGGTCCCTAACCCCGTCGTAAGTCGGGGAGGAGCTGTATACCTAAAACACAATTAAACAACACTCACCACATCATTAAGAACAAGCCTGGTCATCATCACATGCCCAGAGACACGGTTTTCCTGGGTGCCTTGGCCTTCCCAGGTGCAGGAGCCTCATCAACATGCTTGCTGGGCATTTTCAAAGTTGCACTGCTTACTTCACAGTCACCAAAACAGAGCAAAAGCACTTTACAAAAACTGAATATAATCTGAATGTTAATAATGTCCTCTCACTGTAAGGGAAAAAACACTGATGATAACAAAATCAATGATAGCGGCTGACACTGCTCACGTCAAATTGACATCAATGGGCAAAGCACTATAGTCACAAAAATCACTTCTCAGTCTCCAAAACAAAGTATACTACAATAGGAAGATCATAAATCAGGGATGCCTGTAATTGTCTTTGACATTGTTTAATTTCCATTATTTCTGGCAATGTTTTAATGATTTTAGAGAGCAAAATGCTCTAATGCAGAGATGAGGCAGAAGAGTAGCCGCAAAGAAATCTGACATCTTTAGAAAAAACAATGTTGGGAAAAATATCAAACTTTGTGCTGTTGAATCATAGCAAAAATTTGGTCCAAATGATGATAAGTAGTTTAGTGAAAATGTGATTAATAATTCACAATAATGTACAAAACATAACCTAACAGTGGCAGAGGAATGAACAAACTCACATTACCAGTAGCTGCTGTGTTGTTCATGTTTACAGCCGTTGTGTCTGAAACCCAGTACCACACCCATACAGAGAAAAAGGAGCCACATTTCCAATGAATAAATTCTGACTTTTCATATATTTTTTTGTATTTGTATTATACAGTACAGTACTCACATACTGCATATATTTGTTCTCACAAAATTCACTTGAACTTGGGAGATACTGTACCAGTGTCTCATTTCCTTCTGGAATTACAGTACAGTAATATAACATTTCCAAGTTTAGGTGAATTTCTTGTACAGTTTCTCATGGGTATAATAATAATAATAATCACAATTAATACAAAACATCAAAAAGGTAGAGAAAAATCAGGTCTCATTACATAGAAATGAGGCTCCATGATCTCAGTAAGGTGTTTCAGAATTTGGTGTTAAGGTTTAGACCCAAGGACAGACAGCAATAAAATGGTTACACAGTTCAAAATTCTGTATTCAGAACTTGGATTTTCCCATGCCACTTGTAAATGTGTCAGCTTGATATATGATTTAGTTGCACACACACAGATAAGTTGTACAGTCGCCCGGATAATTCGCGAATTTTTATTTCACGGTACTCTTATTACTTACGGATGACACCCTGGATGTACCCAATAATGTCTACGGGTAGTTTTAAAGTTGCCGGCATTTTCGCAGCTGGGACAGGGAACCATTTGTTCTAGAGACCGTAATTTCCTTTACCTGTACAGTATTGTACGAGTATATGTGTGTGTTTGTAGACACACACACATAAATAAATAATGGGAAAATCCTCTTATAAATAATAATCAGAAACAAATTTAATAAAAATGTGAGTCTACCCTCAAGCCTACTCCGTGCTTTGTAATTAATAAAGCACTTAATAGATTTGAGGGTAGACTCACATTTTTTATAAATTTGTTTCTAATTAATTGTGAGAGAATTTTCCCATTATTATTTATTAGTACTGTACTGTACAGTAGGTGTTTTGCATATGTGTGTGTTTACATAAATACAATATAGGTTAACCTTAGGCCCCGGATGACGTTCCAGAACGTCCGCCTATTTTCCCGCCATTTTTTTTATTATTATTTTTGGAAATGTTGATTTTTTTTCTCGATTTAACCCCGCATGGGGGGTACTGCCAGCAGCACCATAACCCGGGGCTTAAGGAAAGAATTTTTGTAAGGGCAAACACATAAAGGGAATATAAATTTATTTATACACAGGTAAAAATGTCCCCCCCCCCCAGGTCAGCAAATGTTATTTGTGGATTTGGTGATTCGTGGCCATTTTTTGAGAACTTAACCCCCGCGAATTTGAAGGGCATGCTGTACAGTGAGGCCACTCTTTACATTTGTTAGCCTGTCACTTCATTTGTTTGATTAGAGGGTGTCAAAAAGGAAGCTGAATTTGACAAAAAAACTGTAAAGGTCTAGTTATTGATGAACTGAATATGAAATAAAGTACCGTACCAAATAAAATTATGAAAAACTAACACCAGGCATCGTGATAAGTTGACCTCATTATAATAGTTTATTGGTGCACAACCATTAAAACAAATTTTCTTACAAAATTACTTTGTCAGAACAGTAACGTCAAAATTTATGACAGTATGGCACAACTGAGTGACGTGGTCCTGTATATAAGGTAAATGTAAATAATTTATCAAATGACACACCAGACAAACCTGACCTAATTTAATTGAATACTGTACTTTAAACCCATATATATGGACAGAGTTGGTTGGTTTGTTTAGTCTGGGAGGGGAGTGATGCTGGTCCCTGGTTGGGTGAGAAGGCTGCTTGCCACAGGTCCAGGGCTACCTCGGGAGTGGAGGGCACTCCCTATATACATAGTTCTGTGATGTAAGACTTCTTATTAAAGAAGTTTAATGTTAACATCTTATGTGATATGTGCCTTGCACGAGTTATTTCATGACATATATTTGTGCAAGGTATGATAATTACTCTCCTTTCTAATGCATTCATTTTCAGTTGTAAATTTGTCATTGTGAATCTTGTTTATTGTCATCACATTATGCTAGATATTTTACAATTGAAGAAAAAATTAATTGTTTAGTGTTTTCAAGGTTCACCTGTCTTTGTCATGATGCTTTTTGGAGCATTTGTACATAAGTTATAGTAATTTAAAAATGAATATTACATCATGAAGGACACGGATCTGGTCACATCTACTAGTGGAAGAGTGAGAGCAGGAACTTCAAAGTTTCCATGAGGTTCTGAGGTATTTTAGTTACACAAGGGACATACCAGAACTGTTATAGTGTTTGACTCTCAGCCTAAGAGATACAGATTCACATCTACACCTGGGTTGCTGGGGCATAATGGATGCTTATGGTGTACACGGAGCTGCTCATGCTATCTTGTCAAGGCCGCAAACTGAACTAACTTTTATCTTAAACTTTGTTACTCCAAGTCCTCATGTTAGCTTTTAGATACTTTATATATACATCACAGGAACTAATACTCACAAATGTCAACAAAAATCCTTCAATTATCAACTAGACTACTGCAAACTTTTGCACACTCCTGGTCTTTATTGTTGTACAGTATATCTAGTGAAATGAATAACTGAACTTAATTTGGTATGAATTGACACAAATATATTTGAATGGCTTATTCATTGACTTGAAGGATAATATTGAATGCCTTGTATAATTGAAAAGTTTTAAAATGACTATCAGAACTGTACAAGATTTAAGTACAAACACCTATACATATTGGCTAATTTCTTATAAAAGAGAATGCTATCCTTTTTCACTGGCAAATGTAGTTCATTATTTGGTATTTACTGTAGGTCTGTCTCTTCTCTATCACACTGTAATAATATTTATAATTATTTCAGAATATTAAGGAATTTCTAGTGTGTTTAATTGGGGATTACATTGTACTGTATATTCATAGGATTTTTTGCCACAACTGACAAGGCTAACTACTTGATTATTTTTAAATGAATTGTAACATATACAGTGTAGGACCGAATTCAGTGCCGAGAGAACTTTTAATCCATTTTTCTTGGACCAGTCATTACACTATACTCCATTAATGGGAACCAATTTTAACAGTACAGTCATAACTTCTGGTCTGTAGATATTGTCCATATATTATATCTTTTAATTAATTTGTCTATACCTTAGTGCATGTTTAGCCTTTAAATGTATAATAAAAATTTACCTGTATCCCCTGTACTGTACCATAGAGTTGTAGGAGTGTATTAAATTTTAAATATTGAATGACAATGTTTGAAATTATGTATAAATGCACATAAACATATACACAACAGGATTACCCCAGTTATTGCAAAGGATGCATTCCTAAAAGTCAGTGAATAACTAATTTGTCAACATCAGGGCAATTAATGTAAATAGGGGGATGCATTCCCAGGCGGAAACTTTCACCCCAGACATCTCTTTAATTTTCGCAGCTGCTGAATATGAAAGCTACGGCTTGAAATATCACTACTGTATAGCATATTGTAATTTGTCTTTGTGAATATCGAATAGGGGTGTTAAAACATTAATTGCAAATAGCGAGGTATTCCTGTACTGTTATATTGGGTTTGATGAATTCTGTATTGAAAGAAAGACTTTAATTTGTATTGTAGCAGGACTACTACACTGTACAGTATCTGAGAATGGATGATTTGATAAGGAATATAATCACAATACTGTAATTGAGCATTTCCCAATTCCTAGTGTAGAGCCACGTTGCCTAGTAATTGTTAAAAGATGTTACTCTGATATTTCTCCCAATTTAGATTTACACTGACAATCGTTGTATTTATATAGTCTTAATTATACATGACATACGTCCATAATCATTAAATTCCTTTTCCAGTTTTGTATGATTTACTGTTAAGGTAAGAAGTAAATTTACCTGAAAGGAAAGTTATGTCATGTATAGTTTAACATTCCATGGAATTCAGTTCATAAATTTTAAGATATTGTGTGGTGTGAAATTTGTGGTTTGGAGGTTTTTTGTTGGTGTGATTGTGCACATATTTCTGTGATAGACCACTGCTAGAGTGAGTGATGAATTTTAATGTCTTTATTGTAGGATTTTATTTTATTTTATTTTTATTTTTACATACTAAAGGGGACAAGTTTCAACATGCATTGATTTCTATTGAAGGTTTTGGTGTCCACTGTTAAATATTTTATTACTGGATAACTACTGTTCTCAGCTTTTGTGCATAATATTAGTGATGTAATTAATGTCTAAGAATTTCTAATAAATTTTAATACTGTACTTCATTTAAAGTTTGTGTGCAGTGGGCCAGTGAATTTACACTGGAATTGATTTTTTCCTGTCATATGCTTTCATCCATTGTGTATTGCCAAGTAAAGCAATATTTTAAAGACTGGTTTCATCTAATACAGCCATGGTCAGAAGTCCTGTTGCCTCTCTTTCTACAACACGAAACCCAGGACTCAGACTCGTGAACCTGAAGCAGTAGCCACTGATGCATTATCTTGTTTATGGATGCTTCAGATTCACGAGCCTGAAACTCGGGGTTAGTGGAGCAGAAAGGCGGGCGACATGACTTCTGACCGTAACTGTACATTAAATTTATTGATTAATTAGTTCAAGACTTTGGCTACAAGGATCTAGCGGGTATCCTTCATGGCTCTCAGACCCTCCTTAGATTACCTACATATACTGCACTTCTCCCATCAACGTCGGGTTCATTAGACGAATAAATACCAGACTGAAGACCCCCCATTGTTAGACTGGATTGATGAGTGGGATGGAGAAGTGGAGTTGTTATTTACGTCAACAGCCTAGGTGGTGGACTGGGTCGCTGCACCATCTGCACCTTTGTTTTATAAAACATATAAACAAGTATTGGAGACATGTGCTAGAGGATGTAATGATTGAAAGAAATAAAGTATGTAGTGTAATGTATAATAAAAGAACCGGTCTTTGAAGGAAATGAAGTTGAGGAACAAGGGGATATATGAAGCGTTGATTACTGCAAGGGCGAACTCGTCACCAAGTGAAAATGTGATTTTTGTACCATTCATTTCAGAAAGTTTCATTCTACTCTGACAAGTTCGCCTTGGTTTACTGGCAAAATCCCATTGAATCACATGATGTAAAACTCCCGGTGTCTGTGGTAATCTCAGTGTCTGCCAAGAGTAAAACAAAGTCGATTTCGCCAGTGGCCCGGCGACCAATCACAGCCCACCTTATTCCGAGCTAAACAGCATGTCGGGGAGGAGCGTGCCGACCAGTGAGAAACTCACTACATTCTATTTTTGGCGTCCCAGAGGAAGATGATGTATCTGTTGTTGATCAGATACGCTACTAGTCATCTACCCCCCCAGTTCTTTAGTGGAGCACAGTCATCATCTAGAGAGAGTTACCATTATTGTTTTTTTTTAAATTTATTACAATATAAATTTATTGATTTGGGTACAGAACTTTTATTTCATTATTTTCATTAATGTTAATTTCACACCATTTCATTATTTGACATCAATGTGCACCAAAATCATACATAAAACTTCATGTATTACAAGGATCACATTCTGCATTAAATCACATTTAAAATGAGACCTTATTGAACAGAAGTAAAAAAATTTTGGAGGTTTTATGACATTTTGATTATGTGCAAAATTTAAACCTCATTTTCTCAAAACTTGGTTTTGGTGTGTTCGCCCTTACATTAATCAACACCTCATATGCAGGAACACATGAAGAATGTTTGAAAAAGTAAGAATGATTGTAGTGATAATGACTGATGAAATTATGTGAATGAATACTATGGATCAAACTATTAGTGGGGTATGGGTGTACCTGTACATATTTTAAAGTACTGTACCTTTAAATAAGTCTTGAAAACCTGATGATAAATGTTCAGTAACATTGTGTATACTGTAATAAAATAGTATGGTGAGGCACTCTGAGTTGATGTATGTAAGACATGTTCATTAGTTCAGTGGTCCATGGTTTGCTCAGATGTTGGGTTATAAAACTCTGAAAAACACATTGGTGCATTACTTTACTGATTTCATTATAAAATTTATTCTCATTAACGAAAATATGCAAAGAACAGAGTAGTTACATATGCAATGCCAGTCTGAAATAAATTACCGTATTTTACAATGTGAAATGAACTTAAAAGTAAGTAAAATTTCCAAATACACACACACATGGTCAAGTAAAAATTTATCTACAAACTGTAGTACAGTATATATAAAATTAACATATAAAGAAAGGCCTTTCTAGTACATGTCATAAATGAATGACACTTGGTGATCTGACTCATATTGTAAAAAACCTAACAAATACTAGCATGTTATTAGTGTATCAATAGTATTACTTACAAACTAGATTTTCAGGTATCAAATACTTGAATGGATGAATGTAAATGTTACTATAAAAGATAATACCAACATACATTCAAGCACGCTCTTGTCCAGGTCTACTTATATCAGATCCGCAACTGGAAATGGAAAAATATATATTGTACAGTAAAGTGATAAAAATGATATAACAAAATAAATAAACTGTACCTGTACCACTAAGAAGGAGAAGCACTGAACATTTTTGTCATGGGATATAGAATAGTACAATGGTGTATTGCTTTGCTGGATTATTTATTATATACGGTAGTACAGTAAAGAACAGGTGACTGGACCGGAATGACTAAAGGAAACTGTTGGACTGTGTCTAGTATTTATGCATCTGGGATGTGAGGGGAAAGCCAAAAGTGATTGGATACTCTATAATGGATTACTTTAATTCATTAGGTGCTTTCATTTTGTAATGCCATAGGCATTGCACACACTAATAGCCCTTGAAGTACACTAACCAAATAAATTAAATATTAAAAGGCCTAATACAGTTATACCCTGGCTAGCATTATGGGGGTCAGTAGGGGAGCCCTAGTTCCCCACTATGAGAGCTGCCTGGCTTATGGGTGTAAGTTCAAAAAAGTTTAGCAGATGAGTAGTCACAAAAGTGTAATGTAAGCAATAGATGGTGACTTGCATTGGAGACCAAAATATATAAGGTGACTTACCATTCATGGGCATTTCATCAATTTGTGTGGAATAGTACTGTTCAATGTCTCGCAAAATTCGGATATCATCATTCTTGACGAAATTGATGGCCACACCTTTACGACCAAACCGACCCGATCGACCAATACGATGGATGTACAACTCACGGTTATTTGGGAGATCATAATTAATCACCAAGGAAACCTGCAAAAAATAAAGATTAATTATTTTAAAAAGACATTCCATCCATTAACACGATTTAGACCTCTCCTCCCCCATCCTTCTTGTACAGAAAATAACCCTTGGGTAATTGAAGGTAATGGCGAGAACAGTGAAAGAAACTGTGATAAAAGAAAGAAACCTGGGTGTCTTAGTTTTGTGGTACACAAAGCAGAAGGGCGAGGATAGTCAGGAATATTTTAGAGAGAATATGAGGGGTCAGTACCAGAAGGTTAGGGAACCGACTAAAAGTAAAAGAGGATATATGGGTGACTATAACTGTGAAGGTAGAAGGCACGAAAAATTTGAAAAGGCCCGAGTAATTACACTGAAAGCCTCTTAATGAAAGAGTAATGATGATGGGAGATTTAAATGTACGAGTAAGTGATTAAGAAATGGCAGGGATTGTGAGGAAGATTGGAATACCAGTAATGAAATGGAGAAAATGTGTGCCAAGGAAATTGAGTGTGGAGAATACATGGTTCTTCCCTGCTTCCTCAGATTTGTATCACCTCAATATGGATCTCATCTCCCTATTATAAAAATGGATTACCTGTTGTACATCAATGCCTCGAGCCCAAATATCTGTTGTAATGAGGACTCTGGACTGGCCTGAACGGAATTCCTTCATAATAGCATCACGCTCTTTCTGTGGCATATCACCGTGCATTGATGAGACGGTGAAGTTAGCTTCCCTCATCTTCTCTGTCAGCCAGTCCACCTGTTAAGAAAACCAAAATTACAATGAAAACGATGAAAGAGGAAGGGTAACCAAAAGGAAAAATAAACTCCAGCAAAAACAGAACACATATGTTACAGCAGTAAGAATGAATGACTTGTCTCAGGCCATCCTGGATTAGAAAAAAAAAACTATATTTGGAAAAAGGCTTATTAATAACCTCGAAGGATAATACCGGTATGTTAGATGTCTCAGAAAAATGTCTACACTGCCTTAATGATTTCTGTGATCACACGAATGCTTGTATTATAATAGCAACTTTGTTCTCACTGCGTGATACACAAGCTAATGTTCCCTAACCATCATCACATTTTAAAGTTAAGACACATAACGTGGATAAATACAGGACACACTGCAACATACAAACAATTATGAGTTCTCACCTTGCGCTTCGTGTTACAGAAGATGACAGCCTGTGTGATGGTTAATGTGTCGTACAAATCACACAGAGTATCAAACTTCCATTCTTCACGTTCTACCGCAACAAAGAACTGCTTGATTCCTTCCAGTGTCAATTCATCACTGAAAGAGAAGATTTTCTAATAAATTATAGTATTACTGTGCTAGTTAAGGTTAAATATAACCACTTAAAATCTTATATCTTTCTCAATAGCCATGTAGCATTAAAACAACCAATCTACCTGTAACTTATTTCTCTCAGAAAATTCAACACATTTTCTATGCCATCTTCTTTCATGTCATGTCATTTCAGCTTCCATTTACTAAAGTGCCAGATATCCCACTAAAAATAACCCCTCCAGTTTTCTTACCCACCACACCCCTTTCCCCATGACTCAAACACAACCAATACTGTACTGTATTTCCTCTGTCATGTATGAATTAACCATTCACAAATATACCTTTTGTGAGTGATTTTCCCGCACAACTTACCGTTTCACCAAAATGCGAATAGGGTCTGTCATGAACTTTGATGTCATTTCCAAGATCTCGTGTGGTAATGTAGCAGAGATGAGGCACACCTGGGTGGCTGGAGGAAGGTAGCGGTACACGTCATATATCTGTTCCTTGAATCCTTTGTTAAGCATCTCATCTGCTTCATCCAAGACCAACATCTGGGGAAGGGACATATTAGTATCCTAAGACTCGGGAGGCTGGAGTACATGTAATACTGTATAAACATCCATATGAGGAATTGGAAGTACTTTCAGACTAAAATAAGAAGTCTGAAATTCCAATCCTCATAAGTAAATACAGTCGACCCTCGTTAATTCGGACCCCTTTAATCCGGATTTCGGATAAATCGACGAAATCTGAACTGAGCGAGGGATTGTCCATATCAAATTTCTGGTTCTGGGATTGTCCCAGTTGCAATTGGGGTTGCAATTTCAAATTCTGTGTCATTACTAAGGAATAACAAAGTCTGGTGCACTGCACTCTAAGATTAAGAGAAAACGGAGGACTCAGGCGCCCTGAAGCGAGAGAAAACGGACTCCTATGACAGGGTACTCAAACATACACATAGCTACATGTTTTGTGGACTTCCCACTGTACAGTATCCTTTTCATCACTTTGTAATAAACCTAGTCATGCCTATGTGTGTTTTTGATAATTACCATAACATTATATCTTTAGTGGGTCTGGATGAAAGCGGTTTTACAAACACAAGCACGTATCTAGGACGTTAACCGGCGCATGAATGTATAATGCAATACTAACCCCTAATTCGGACAATCGGCTAAAACGGACACCCTTCCCCCCTATTAGTCCGTTTTAATGAGGGTCGACTGTAGTCCAAAGGTGTAGGTGTTTTGGTTAAAAAGCGAATGCTAGGGTAAGAGGGTGCGGGTGAGGTAGTGTGCAACTATGATGATCTGTAAGTGAGGTGGTGTTATGGTGGGAGAGCATAATGATGTTATGGTGGTAGGATATATTGATGTTATGGTGAGGGTGTAATCGGTGGGAGAATGTAATGGTGTACTATTGACAAAAATCAGAGGGTTGTAATCACCATTTATGGCAAGTGTCACAAAACTGTATTCAAGAGTTTAATATGCTGCAGACAGATACATGAACACTTATATACAGAAAATCATGACCATAGCTCATACCAGTCTTACCACATGATGTAAAATGGCATTAATTGTATCACCTTTATTGAACGTGTCCTGAGTGTGCGGCGTCTGATCATGTCAAACACTCTGCCTGGAGTGCCTGAAACTACATGCTGTCCATAATCCAACTTGCGAATATCTTCCCCAAGGTTTGTTCCTCCAATACATGCATGACACTGTACACTCATGTAATCTCCAAGTGCCAGTACAACCTGAAAATATGATAAACTTTTTAAACTATGAATAAAAATTGTATTACCATAACAAGAACTGAGGCATCATTATATATTTTATGTTTGATATAAGTTTGTCAGAAAACACTGTGCATTCATGGTTCTTGAATCAAGGGCTTGATCACATTACTAATTAACCTCTTAAGAAAGAAGAAAAGGTTCCTCTTCTTACAGGAGTGTATTATCCTATAATAATGACACTGCATAATAAGCCACCCTGTATGGTACAGGGGGTATATGGGATTACAATCAAGTAAACCTCTAAAACAACAGCAGCTGGAATTAATTAATTATAATTAAACTTCCCACTAAAACTAACTCCACGAGAGGGAATTTAGAGATAAAGAGTTTTGACCACAAAAGGTATGAAGGTAAAGATTCTTGATGCAACATCAGCTGTAAGTAATACTGTATATTTGTCAACTGTTTTCAGAAAATATTCTGTAATACCAGGATTATAGTTCAGTTCCACAAGAGGGAGGAAGGGTAACAAGTTGAATAGTCTAGAATCAGGATCTACCCTCTAGTTATTAGTTCATTGACTTACTGCTGAGAACAGATGCAAGGTCATAAATAAAGCTATGTTAGGTACGTTCTCAACGAAATCTTCTCGAACACCTGGACACGATGGATGAGAAAATGAGCAGAATGGGAACTTGTCATCTCAGAATGGTTTCAAATTCTTCATTAATTTTTCAGATTGCATAGTTCTTAAAGGATTCAAGGTTTTGGTGAGAGTACATATCAACCCTCTTATTTGTTGACTAAATATATAATTTATCACTCACCTTCTGGCAAACTATGGCCAACTGCCTTCCCCAACCTACCTTTCATAGTGTCACCCATTTCTTTATTTAAAGGACTTCTTTACCCTACTTGTTTATTCTAAAGTACTATATAGTACAGTATTGCATAATTAGCTTGAACTGCTTTCAACCTTCCCATCTCCACTCACTTTCTGAATCTGCACAGCCAGCTCCCTGGTGGGTGACAGTGTGAGGACTTGGGTCTCCCTAACATTAATATCCAAAATCTGGAGGATGGATACGGAGAAGGTGGCAGTTTTACCAGTACCAGACTGGGCCTGGGCAATAACATCACGGCCTTTGATGATGGGACGAATGGCACGCTGTTGAATTGCTGATGGTTTCTCGAACCCTGTAAAGATTTAACATGGGATCAGCTCTGGGATATTTAAGAATGGAGAGAGACCAATTAATATACTATACTCTGTACCACCAAAATCTTATAATCTAATCAGTAATCAAACAGGCCCAATGAAATCTGCTTTAAAGCCGAATAGAAGTGTTGTACCGTACATTTACGAATTAAAGACCAAATTCAAAGAAATAGAGCAAAGTTAGATTAAAAGAAAAAGTTCAGGGAGCACAGTGTAGTGGTAGAGTTACCAGATAATCTTGACCCTATTACCTCACAGTCAAGGTCATACACTGGCAGTGAAGTCTATAATAAACAATAAAAATACATGGAGTAACAGGTGAGAAGGTAAATTACACATACACAGTGATCATACTATAAACTCCAGTAAGAAATAAAAAGTTAGACCATAAAAGTAGACCTAAAACAACTCTAGTAATGTACTGTCAACCTGAGTGAAAGTGGGCCAGCAGCCAGTCATCACAGGGAGGGACTAGCTAGCTACCTGATGCTGCTGATTTCACTTAACTTATTCATACAATATGAAGGAACGTCCTTCTTTTGTAAAAGAAACATTACCCAATGGAGAAAGAAGGAAGGACTTTTATTTATAACCTTTGGTGAAAAAGAAAAAAAGTTTATAAAAATATAATAAATACCCCTTTGTCACACTGGTGAATTAAAACGAACATAGAACTACTGTACAGGATGTCTGATTTAATATATATAAATATATATATATATATATATATATATATATATATATATAATATATTGTTTATTTTATATATTTTATCAAGATATATATATATAAAATTGCTATCCAAGTCCATGTGTTCAGTGGTTTAACTATTCCTGATAAAAGCAGCCCGATCATAGTTGAGAGTATATTTTAATTCAACAGAGATACAAGGTGAAAAACTTTGAACAAAAGGAACAACATAACTTAATTCAACTTAAAAATGTCTACATTTACTCAACAAAATCATGTCATTTGATGTGAGCAGCTGCAGTGAAACAACAAGTACAGTATGTATTCGGTTCAAGTAACATTGTGTCAAGCATTAACTTTCGTTAATATTATTGCAGCATGAATGCATTATATCATAAAGGTGTAAATAAATCAGTGGTGCACTGCAATTTAAAATAACATAGTAACTATAAAATGTGGAGTGGCTACCCAGTGTCTGCTGTGATTACAGTACATGCAATAATGCAACTACTGCAGTGTAAATGTTATATATCACAGAACTGTACTGTACACATTTAGTGTGTTGCAGCTGATATATATATATATATATATATATATATATATATATATATATATATATATATATATATGTGTGTGTGTGTGTGTGTGATTTCGAAATCTTTTTATTCAAATGACAAATGCTAATAATACTCCAGAAACAAGCACACTATTCAGGAAGCATTACCTAAATACTATAATATGGACACAGAGCCTTGCACAGACTCAATCTACAATGTTTAATTAAGAACAGAAGAATGGAGGAAACTGCAGCAAGCCTATTAGCCCATACTGGGCAGTCCCATTTACACTCAACTCCTATTGCTCATATATCCATCCAACCTATGTAATGCACAGATGAACTTTACCAGACACAGTATAAACAAGTTTGAATTATACTAACAAGACTGAAAAGAAGGGTAAAATCGTTTTGGTCAACTACCTACAGAATTTGGAAGTAGGTCAGAATCGTTCAAACAAATTAAAAACCATCAGAAAAACATAATTTCAACCCAACAGAACCTAAACCTCTCTCGAATGGTGGTAAATTAAAATCCTATTATTAGCTGGTTGACCAAAACGAAAATACCGAAATAAAGAGTAGAGTAATGGAGAACATCACACGACAAGATATAAAGATGACAGCAGCATCAACACTAGGCACGAGGTGATACACGTATTGTATGAGGCATTTGGGTACACTATCATAAACCATAGAACTTAAAAGTCACTCTCTCGTGAATTTGCCCTTTAAAGTGTGGAGGAAGTTCCAGCTCCCCGATTTGGTGGCCAAGACTGGTTGACAGTACTGTGGGCACATGTACGGACTAACAACGCTTAATGCTCTACCACAACCTCGTCCAAGGTTAACTTTCACAGCTTTCTAACATAAGCGGCCAATTAGCCTTTAATCCGTTACATGTATGTTATTGGATATTAAGGATAAACGTGGTGCACTAATAACCCTCTATAACAAACAGCACACCAATAACATTTAATGAGGTTTACATCATGGAACGTATGTTATTTGCGTACTTTCACTTCACATTTCCCATGCAATATTTACCATAGGCATATATTCCTCTGAGTAGGTCCTCTCTCAGACCCATGTTATCAAAGGTAGGTACCACCTGCACCTCCTCACTCGTCTCAAACTCTACATTAGAGAGATCCTCAGGGATGACCCGCCGTACTCGACCCTCCGCCATGGTCACCGTCACTCTGGCCTCCCTGGAACACAACACACAAGGAATGATTCTATGAAAACCTTCCACAATGACTTCTTCTTACTCTCTATTATCCTCATTCTATTTTATCTTCTTCATTATATCATCTTATATTTGATTTAATATTTTTTCATTTATATAAAATTCAATAACGTATATATTCACGATCTGTTATGATTATTTTTTTGTATATAAATATTCAGAATTTATTAGTGGTATTTAATGTATTACTCTAGAAATATCATCTTAAAATTTTCTAGCATAATTCATAGTTATAATTACTGTATCTCCCGTGTTAGTCTCCTAGAGTATTCTGTTTGTATGGCTGTGCGTGTCATGTTGTTATACTGATGAACTAGAAAAATTATCAGTGCATAAAGTGTGAAAAGTTTCTTGGCTTTGTCTAGAATAATACTGTTAACTAAGGACTCGGTTTCTTTCCGAATATATAAGTAGAGAAAATATTTGAGGCAGTAAATGGTATTAATGTCCGCCTAGACCTGGCAAGCTTCCCTGCGGCTCTATACAAGGGATGAGAAACGGAACAAAATATGAAAGAAATGTTTACTGTGTCGTGATTATATATATCTGAGAGTGAAGAGTATTCAGTTTATTGATAATGACTAAAAATTCAATACCTAGGAAGATCTTTTGATTTAAAATTAAGTCATAAAATGGAGATATTGAGTGTGACCAGAGTGAAGAATGCGGGGAACTGAAGCGGTCAGCATCCAGGACGTTGAGAGGAGGCTGAAAATGTCGGAGATTATGTAGAGGCGGAGTGTACCATGAAGAACAAGACCGAGGTATCAAGCACGGATGTGTGTGTCAGGATGAGTAAGGCAGGGTTGGAGGGGGGAGGGTTGGGCATCATGGAGAAGCGGCCCCCCTCTCCCCACTCTCCCCCTCTCTCACCTCCCACGAGTGCTACCACCCCTCCCTCACAGACAAAAATTAAGTGTGAGAGTCCAGTCCCTTTACTGAGCAGTCACACACCATCCCCCCGACCATTGGTGTCACCCCCCAACACAGGCCCTGGGGCAGAAGTGAAGGGAAAGCCTGGGACTCCTATACCCAGTGGCAGCACCAAGACTGTGTTGCCTCGACCAGGTAGTGCCAGTGGGGATGAGGCCAAAGTCAGTGTCACCACGGGAAGCTCACCAACCACAACTGGGGGAAGACTAACATTCTTCAAAGGTTAGACCAGGGATTGTTTGTTAACTGTAGATATTTTACCTTAATTGGCTGTTCTTATTAACGCTATTTTACCGTGAGTGCATGCTGATTGGCTAAGTACTTTTTCATTAATATGACGAAGGTTCCGCCTCCCAGCTAGGAAGTTAGGTAGGTTTCTGTGGTTGGTTAGGTCAGGTTCTATTAGGTTCTAATAAATGTCGTCTCTTTTATAACGATATGAACTTCTGTGGAAAAAATGGACAGAGTCAAACAACTCCTTTTGGTTAAGTATGTTTATAGCTACTCAACGATCGACTCACAGTGAAATAAATGCTAAATCCTGCCAGAGTCACGGTCAAATATTGTTCTCGCTTTGTTCGCCGGTAATGGACGATTAGACAATCCGAGCGCACTCACAATAAATTAGCGTTAGTAGGAATGTAGCCGGTCACAGCAAAATTTCCACTGCCTTTGTTAAATCAATGTTTTGTTAATTTTTATGAAGATAATTATTGGTCTTGAGCTAATACTCTTGGGGAAAGTAGTTTAATGTGTTGAATTTAATTTATTTGGTAAAAATTTATACAATACAAACATACCGGTACTGATATAAACATTGGTAATCTCAAATTTTCTTAATACCTGTAGAATCGTGTGCCTTTTTTTTTACTCGGCATGTCCAGAAGTATCAGCTACTGTTGCATTATATAATCTATCATTCATAAAATGAGCTCAATGAACCTAACCTAACCATTATTATTGTATTTCTAACCAGGGCACTCTGTCCCCTGGACCCCCTGGCTTTTATTGATCATTTGCGAGGGAAACATCATAGAAGAAAAGTGTCTAAGAATTGTCTAAACTATTGATTGCAAAGATAAAATTCTCGAAATTCGGTTGGTGGCCACAAATACAAATTTATTACCGAACCTACCTAACCTATACAGAGTTTGGAGTTATATAAAATTTTAGGTTCATCTATGATTACAAAAAAAAATATGTAAATCTTGTAGTAAAGTGCAGTGAAATAGTTAAATGTAATGCAGTGCTTTAAAATGGTTGCATCTCATTACAAAACTATCTTTTTCCTTCACACAAACATTGCACTACAAGAACAGGGGGTATACATATTTCACACTGCGGTTTAGAATAACTATTGCAATTTACAGATTTCAGGCTAATAGATTTGGCAGTTTTAATTTATAAACTGGGTGATGTAAATGTTTATAATAGTCAACAAAATATAGACAGGGAGGAGTCTAGACATGCATAAAAACATTGATTTTCCAGCTCCAGCTTTTTGTAAACAAATCAGTTCGTACTTAAACTGATTTACTTTGGTTTTACATAATTTCTTCTTCAATCTTGTTTTCTTACGTCATAAGTGAGCCAAAGTATTTAAAGGCCTCCATTCCACTTATACCGATACGTTGTGGGGTTTGCCCTTGGTTTCTTTCCATGATCATTGTTTTGGTTTTATCCACATTATCTCAAATCCTGTTGAATTTGTTATTTCCTTAAAGGTTGTTGCCATAGTCTCTACTTCTTGGATGTTGTTGCTTACTATATCCAGTTCATCAGCGTATATGAGCATTCTAATTTTGATCCTATTTAATTCATTTCCTTCCTGCATATATGGGTATGAACTGTCTCGTAAATTGGGCACGAGTTATCTTGTAATTGGGTACCACTTGACATGTGCTGACGGGTACGATTTGCATGAGAACGAGTTTTCCAGCCCCGATTATACAGTACTGTACTGTACAACCCTTTTCTAAAGTTGTCGTTTCTTAATGAGTTTTAAATGGAAATACTGTAGTGCATATGTCTATGAAATGTTCCTGATATCTGTTTACTTAAAACAGTTGAATCACAAACAAGCATGGAATCATTGTTAGGTGGACAGGATAGTGTATTTATTTATGAGAAAATATGGGGGGTAAAGTGCAATGCCATTGTTATATACAGTACATTACAGTACTCTTACTGTATAGAGTAAATTACAGCAAAATTGGCAGAAAATTCATCTTGTGCTAGTGTACCTTATGAATAAAGAAAATACTGTATACAGTCCTATACAGTAGTACTGTATATACTGTAGATATAAAAGAATAATAAGAGAGTACAGTACAGTACTGTAGTAGTAGTAGGGTTTCAATTGTTTCTCTGACAATGCAACATACAGTACTGTACATATATCGTTGCTCACTATTGATTTTTGTGTGTGTGTTTATGGTCCTTTATTAATATTATTATTATTATTACTATTATTATTATTATTATTATTATTATATTATTATTTAGTTATTTTTTAATTTATTATTTTATTATTATTAATATTATTATTATTATTATTATTATTTATTTATTTTATTTTATTATTATTATTATTATTATATTATCACCCCCAGGCCCTGATGTGGGTCATTAACCTGTGCCCTGGTGGGCTAATCCCATAAAACAAAAATCTGGGAGTAGAAGGTGGTTTGACAACACACCATGACTTGCTGAAATACTGTATACTGTACATATACCTCACCACAGACATATAAATCACACAAGTGTTCAACACCAAAAAATGAAAGTTTTCAAAACCTTTTTAAGTTCTTATACATTGGAGTGTTACTACTGAATGTAAAGGGATGTGCAGCTGTGGAAAGGAGGTGGTGGAGGAGGGAGGGAGGGAGTACTGGCTGGACTGAAAGGACAACTCGCCTCACACACTTGTCAGCCCACAATCCCTTTATAAAAACAGTATGCAATTTCAGCAGAATTCCTTATTCTTTTGGTTCATTTGGTGCTGGGTTAATAAAATCTTTCACTCAACTCTAGATATTTCATTACCCGGTATACTGTAGGTAGCATTTCTCTGGAACACATAATGTAGCTACACTAACTAGATTAATAGTTTTAGTCATTTATAGCCATTGAGAAGAAAGTGTTTTACACTTAATGTACCGTACTGCATACAGGTGTTGTTACACCATCTACTAAAATACTTTTCACTGCCTCTAGACCCTTCCTGGCTCCTAACTCTAAAAAGGGGTTGGCAATTTTGAAGATATAAATTTTAGCTGTTTCACTCAATCTGCCACATGTAACATATTTTGCAGAAATTCATGATCAATTTTGTCTCTTGCATCCATATCCAAGATAAACTTTACAATCTAATTTTGAATAAGTTGTACTCGTTTATCTTGTTTAAACTTGGCTTTAAAGCAGAGTACAGTACAGTATTCCAATGAATTGGAATAATTAGTGACCTTGTATAAGGGCTAGGCATATAGGTTCCTTCTATTTGATGCAGATAATATTAATTCAGTCTTTCCATAATGTGTGATAAAATCACACGGGAAAAGGGAAACAACTGAGCACTGAGGTGCTCAGTTGTTTCCCTTTTCCTGTGTGATTTTATCAATATATATATATATATATATATATATATATATATATATATATATATATATATATATATATATATATATATATATATATATATATATATATATATATATATATATATATATATATATATATATATACATATAAATTAGAGTGGAATTTAAAAACATAAGTATAATGGGGGAGCAGTACAACCTGGGTTGTGCAGTAATAAGGTTGAACAAGAGGACAGAGCTTTCAGGATTATGTCTAGTTGGCAATTATGTGTATTGCAATGGTAATTACTTATTTATTTACATGATAATTTCCGATAAAATGGATTTGGTGGTACAATAAAAGCAGGTACTGTAAATATAGTAAGTGTTACAAGAAATATTAATATTTCGACAATAGATATTCTTTTAGAGATGATTTAAAGGAAAGACTATAAGGCAGAAATAAGGATGGATTATATTCTTTTTTTGGACATATGACTCAGTGTTATAATTTTTGTTTAGTTTTATAACATTAACTCACAACATCTGGTCTTTCAGAGGGTAAATTTTTGCTGGAGTTGTCACATCGGACAGACATGGGGGCTCCTGCTGGTTGGGTTCCAGTAAAGAGCAAGACCTACTGGCCACCCCCATCATCTGCCACAACCACCACCACCCAACACCCACTGCGTCATGATACTCCCACTTCGCAATCTGGTGTGTATGGCAATGCAGGTATTGAAGTTATGATCCGTGTGATAGGTCAGTGCCATTTTATTTATATTTTTGTTATTGATTATATATATATATTTTTTTTTGTACCTCTTGGTCAAATTTATAAACTATTTGTTACCCATGTTTTACATATACTGTACAATACTGTACCTTAGTGGTCAGTTTTTAGATGATGTCCTGTACTTTTAACTTTTAAGTACTGTAATCATCATTTGATAATATCCAATGCATTTTACGTTAAGTTTTCAATGTTTGATAATTTCCAGTATACTGTAGCTATATATTTTTTATCAAGGTTTTATTGTATGATAATGTTCAGTACATTGTATGATAATGCCCATTAAAATTTTATGTTGTTTTTCTGATTTGATGATTCCCATACATTTTACATTTAGTTTCATTGTATGATGATATTTAGTACATTTTACCTTTAACGTGCTTCTGTTTCATGATGTCCAGTGCTAATACACATAGTATTTTCTTTGTTTGATGATGTTATGCAAATTTTGCAGTTAAGGTGTTAGTGTGATCAGGTACAACGTTACAAACAGAAACATTACCGGCATTCTTTCAGTTTCAGATGACTGTTCATCTCTGAATTCTTCTCCATGGACTGGTGAGCACTTAAGGAAGCAGTTAACACCTCGGCGTAATAAAGCATTTGTATTGCAGCAGGTCTCCTTTCATTGGCATGCACTGCCTCTTACACGAGATATTAGGAAAAGAGTGCGACTTAGACGAAATCCCTTCACGTACATTAATGGTCCAGTTGGTTGCTGGAACCCTTCTGAGAATGCGCAAGTATCACGTAGGACAATTAAATCTGAAAGTTATGAGAGTGCCCTCGAGGAAAGAAAACATAAACTAGAGACAAGGATTCTGGTATTGGTATCAAAACTTGGTTTAAAGGTGGACCCTGAAACTTCTATTCAAGCACTTTTTGAAAAACCGGTAGCAAGTGCTGAAGCTGTCGACCCAACTTTTGTTTCTCCAAGAAAACGTTATCTTCGACAAATGGAATCGGATCAAGAATCTATACATCGTAAAAAGCTGCATTCGGGAGCTAATAGTGTGTCTCATGTCCCAGGGGAGAACTTGTCTTCATCCTCTTCCTCGACACAGCCTCGTCCTCCACCCAACAGAAGTGCCATTAATTCACTGACATCCTCAGTGTATAGTATTGAATCTATTTTGAATAATGAAACTGCCAATAGAAAGAATGATTCCTTCCTTAGAACTTTATTAAAACCTGAACCAAAACCCAGTGGTACCCAGTCTAAATCTAGTGTAGTAAGAGACCGTGTTAACAATGAAGTGTTAGCAAGTACATTTAAGGTAGAAAGACAAGAACGGACAGATAGAGGAGCTGCTGACAGGTTGGAGCAGCTAAGTGCAGGTCAAATAGAAAGAACAGACTCTCTAGTTGATCTCAACAGACTCTCAACTGAACGGTATGACTTCTCACGTTATGGACCAATGGCAAGTTTGTATAGTCTTCATCCATATTTGGATCCTCGGTACATGATGCTGCAGTCTTTGGCTCCTGGATTAGTCTCACCTATATCTTCTCAGCATACAGAGATGGCACAGGCTGTTGCTGCTGCAACTGCTGCAGCTGCAGCTGCTGCTGCAGCAGGGTTAGGCACTTATCCATTAGGACACTTTCATCCTTCTCTGACTGGGTCACAGTACCCACATCTCTCTGGGAGCTTATCAAGTGGATACACGCCACCAACATCCATAGCAGCCCAACTTCTTCGACCCCAAGCTCAGTCTTCACGATCTTCACCACATGCCATGTCCCACAGCCCCAGCCCAAAGCCTCATATCCCAAACACCCCAGCATCCCCTCACCTGAGCAGGGGTGCCAGCCCTCGTGGGGCTTCATCACCATGGCAGCCACATCCATCTGTGCACCCTCACTCACCACACAGACCATTATCCTCACCACTACCATCACCACCACCACAAGGTAAGGAATACTGTTGGCTTGTAAACACTGTACTCTGTACACCCATTTATTGCGAGTTTTCAACTCTGAATTTTTATGTTGTTTGTACTGTATAGTGATTTATTTTTTTTTCCAACACAAAGAGTTTGGAAATTGGCAGTCAGACTGTTTGTGTGGATGTGTAAGGAAATTTTTCATTAGGACTTCTTCAGTAGCTACTAATACAGGCAGTCCTTGGACTTACAAGAGGTTTTGTTGCTAGAAAATGTACCATAAGTTGAGACTGATTTTCCCAGAGAAACAATGATACAATAGGGAGTTATGTTCATGACCAAGGGTCCGGTATACAACCCTTTATAGATATGAATACATGTAGGATATTTAATCAGCTACCAGTCATATATAAAGTACAATAATAATGTCTGGAAAGTTTTTACCCTGTTTCTTTGTAATTCATGGCATACAGTATTTTTGACCGAATATTTGCAGTGTATGAGTAGGAATTACTGCACGTAATCTAAAGGTGACAGAACTTCTACATTAGGGTTATCTAGTTATCTTATAACTTGATTGTAATGAAGCTGCACTTTTAGTTTTAGCACTGATTCTGGTCCTTTTTTTTTAAAGAATTGTTTGCACAGTTGTATAAGCAAGGGCCAGTTGCCTTGTGATTTCAAAGTTCGATTGTCCACTCTCTCCAAGTACTGTATTTAACTGTTCCCTTCACTTCTAATGTAATGGCCTTTCTGCAATATTCCTTTTCAACACCATTACTTGAACACTGACCTTCCATTTTATTAGCAATTTTAAGCATGAAATAAATAGGAAATGCTTTAAAATCACTAAGCCTGCATAGAGGTTCATAACCAGTGTGTGAGGAGGCAGACTGACTGGGTAGTGTATGTTTGTTTGTGCTCAGAACTGGTGTTTGAGTCAGCATCATGCTGTCAGTGCGAGTCTGACTGCCGTCAGTAATAACAAGGGTGGCAGTCAATGCCTTGCTGTTAATGAGGATTGACATAAGTTGAACTGATTTAAGTTGAGGCCTGTAGTAGAAATGCAGTACAAACTGTTTTTGTGATTCATGATTTAAATGAAGTGCTTGCCTCTTCAAATTTGGGGCTCTGTGGTTATACTGCCTTGGGTACTCAGTATAATTAATTAGATTAATTAAGTTCAGTTAAGTCAAAGGTGTCTCGACCTGTGTATCTGAATTTTTTATGTTTCTCTGATGAGTCATCCACATGGGTTCAGTGAGACTTTCTTTGTCTGTATAATAGAATTGACATGTTGGTTTATCCCATTTATCATCAATGTGTCTAATTTACAGGGTATTCATACATACATTGGTAAAATTTGTCCTTATGTATTAAAGTCAGGGGTAATGAACTATATTTTGGTCTGGTTGGTGTTGTGACAGCTAACAGAAGTTAACTTAAAGCAATTGTGGTTCAAGAGAGTAATTATGATTTTTTAAGTAAATCGGATATCAATCAAGAATTTTGATTGGAAGTGTTATCATAATCTATGAGGTTCTTCAGCATTTTTACTGTTGAAATTAGCTCCTTTGTACTGGAGAATCTCTCATGATCTTACCAGATTCTCAAGCGCAAAGAAAATACTTCCATTACTGTATCATGCAAGACTCGACTGCATTATATGTAGAACTGTTAAGTGTTTATTGTATTATGATAAGCATTTTTAAGAACAAGTGGATATATGCCGTCTAGACTAGAAGCTTTGAAGGGATTTAAGTACTGTAGTGTACAGTATCAGAAAATGACACAATCTTCTTCATATGAAAATTGCTGGAAAATTGGTGGGAGGCTGTTGTGTGAATTTTTTATTCATGAATTTGCGTAATTACTAAGCTTATGCAATAAAAAACCTAAGTTGTTCAAGCACAATGATAATATAAATGAGTAATCCACATTAATAAGCTTTCTTCATTTCACATTCTGGTCATATATTTAATGCTTAATTAGCTTTCTCTGCAAATTAATATTCTTCCATATGTTGTACAGTATTAACACTTATGGATAATGTGGCTTTATCTTACTTTCTCCGGGTCTAAACTACAACACCTGTACTATATGTATTATCATCTTTCTTTCTCCTCCCAGTCTTTGCCATTATAATGATCACATTGGTCTCAACCACTTACTAGTATGAATGCTTCTTGTTTTCATTATTTATACATTTTACTTTCAGGGATCTGCTTTAAATAAAATGGTAGAGTATTTCATTTGTATTACAGTTATATATTTCAGACACACTCACAGTACAGTATATACAGTATATGATTATATACAATATATATATATATTTTTTTCAGATGCACCACTTAACTTATCCAAACCAAGAAATCACATGGAGAAGTAAGAACAGAAGGGACCATTTGTCTGTTGAAGGATTTATATGTAAGAGATGGGATGGTCAAGTGGATGTTTTTAGCAAGTATGTACGGGTGCAGTGACAGAATTACCCAACAGATGGGATGGGAAGGATTTTAGTGAGTTCTGGTGAGTAGTCATATGCTATGTAAGGTCAAGAGAATTTAGAGTGTCTTACCAAGCTGTGTGTGCTTATATGTCGTAGGATATTGATACACTTTGTGAACTTTTACAGGAGATTCACAACCAATTGCCAATTGAAAGCTTGATAGATATTTTTGAAAATGGATAATTCCCATTTTCTCTTCTCTTAGTACAATATTATGTATAAAAGATTTAACTGAGGATTACCACTGTGTAAATATGTGCCTCTTGTAGGTGTAAATTTTAGAATTGCAATATTACATATTTATCCACAAGGAAACTTGACAAATGGCTTATAAATCGATGCAAGAACAGTCTGAAGAAGGTTAAATTGTTAGCTAGCTGCAGTATTAGTCATTGAATGTGGCTTGCAGAGCACATGAGAAATTGATAAAACATTTTAAGTTACTCATTTTATGCTTTAAGGAGACAATAACATACTGTATCATATAATTATGAATAAACCAGATTATCAAGGTCCATCTGTGTGAACATTTTGGTTTATTCATAAATATAGTACATTGGCTGTTTTGATTAATGCCAGTAGGAGAGTGATGAGCTTTTCCTTCTGTATTAATCCCTCATACCATTTTTCTTGGCCTACAGCTGTCCATAAGCTGCAGGTTGTTCTCAGACTATAAGCTCTTGTGAGCGTTCAAAAGTCCTTTTCCTTCATGTGTCAGTTACCTGGGGGTCTTGTTTTTAACCCTCTCGCGCATCATGACATGAATCGCGTTAAATCATTTGGTATCACTATTTGCATCAGTGATGCAAATCAAGTCAGTAAACTTTAAAAATTTGCCTAAAATGTTATCAAGATAAAAATGCCAAATTTTTGTGCATCATAGATGACTCCATGATCTTGCAAAGGAAGCTTCCAGAAAGTACCAAATGTGGGTGGAGTTTCGCTGTCCATCACTTAACTCCTGTCATCCGTGCTGGAAGGACACAGTTGTCTCTTTATCCCCTCTCCCACCCTCCTCACAATTAGTCGTATCAAAATTCCAAAGCCACCGTTGGAAAGCTAATAACATTTCCCATCCATAACTACAGTGTATATAATGCCTTGGTGGGTTTGTAAGAAAACATTCGAGATATGATGCTGGGAACACATTTTTTTCTACTTATGTTGAAGCCAAAACAACAATGAAGTCAGTGATGTATAAATCATGAGAAATAAAATCTTGTGGCATAAATTGGCTACAGAACTAAGATGCCCAGACCTCCCGTTAGTGGTCCCATATGACTTTTGTTGTGGTCACGGAAACTTAAAAACTGAACATGTGCACGAGAGGGTTAATATTCAGTTTTCATTTTCTGTAATATATTTTGGCATATAGGGCTGACTTCACAATCATAGCATCATTGAATCATGAATTAAAGTTTCATTATGGTTTAGTCAGTGTTGCTGTTTGAGGAAGGCAATGTACTGATGATACCTAATTAAAGTCTCTATAATTCATTTAACATGCAAAGTCATACCTTAGCAAGGAAATTAATCAAATTCATCCAGTTACTTGTGTGCAGCAATTCAAAGTAATTTTTTTATTCTTTCTTTTGCATGAAATGTTTATTTTGAAGAAAACCTGGTGAATGCCTGTGAGTAAATGGTCCCTCTCCCTATTGTGGTCAGTCAATGCTCATCACATTTGAACATTTCAAACTTTTGGCTTTCATGAATGATTGTCGTGTGTGTGTGTGTGTGTGTGCACACGTATGTGAGCAAATTATATTCCAACCTTTTATGGAGTTATCAGTTGATATGAAAATTATATATGTGCTATTTGCAAGTTGCTGCTTTCAGGAAGTGAATTGTAAGCATTCTTATAAAGTACAGTACAGTACATAATACATCTGTCATTATAATTAACAGCACCAGTGTGCACTATGTAATCTTTTATCATAAAATTATGTGAGATTGTGTAAATGAGATGGATAACAAATGAGTACTGTACTCAGCTTGATCTCAGAAAGATATACTTCAGGAAGTAGATAATCTTTGAATGTCATATTATGTGCTTTGCCAAATTCTGAGTCTTTTTTTCCCCAGCCAGCATATTGAGAGTTATATTATAAAGAAATTATGGCTCTCTGATGTTATTTTCTACCTCAAAATATTGTGTCCGGGTAAGGAACAAAGCTTGAGTGGTGCTTTGTGTCATGGAGGTTATTTCTTTGCATTTATTGCTCCATATACTGTACACACTGGCTTCTAATAAGAAAGAGCACCTTGGCTTAACTAAGTTTTAAAGGTATCCTAATGCCCATAAGCTGCAGTGTTTAGCAGCCAAAACACCTATGAAGTATTTACTTCTTTACATTTATTGTGAACACATGTGTCCAGGTGTCTGAGTTAGTGTGGCCTTATAAATAAAACATTTATTTTAAGTGTGCCTTTCTCGGTATTTTTAAATGCTGCCAGAATATACTTTTATGTGGAACTTCCCAAACAGTGTCTTTATATACATAAAAGAACAGTATTCTATTTTACTACACTCTTAAGGTAAAATGAGAATGGAATGCTCATTCTTGGTGTAAATTTTACAGCCAGTGTACTGTCTTGCCTTCTTTCTAAGTGTTCGTAATGAAACAGTAACAGCCAGCTTTTGATTATAGTCCCAATACATTGTTGATGATTTCCTTCATAGAACTTTACTGGTGAATGTGTGCAACATACTCTTGATACTTAACATGATATAATATTACCAATCTGTATTTATACAGCTGTTTCCTATATATAACTTGTTACCTTTGGATAACTCCCTGCAAGCATTTTGATTACCTTATATATCACATTAATAATTCTTACATGATAATAACTGTACTGTACAGCTATGTATTTACAACTCAGAGTCCACTTTCCACGACATGCATTTTTACATATGTCTATACTACATTATTTTTGCAATTTAAAGTTTATCACTACTGAACCAGCTATTGTTTTCTCAGCACCACATGCATCCTTGTACGTTATTGTCCTTTAGCTAATAATCACACTCGCAGATTCCATCCTAATAGTCATTATACCAACTTACGGTGATTTGGTTACCCAAGTTGAGAAATTATTTGGGTGAAGATTTTTCCTGCCCCATTCCATTGTCATATTTTATTATAGCACTCATAGTAAAGATACATTGACATACTGAATTTTATCAGAGTAACTCCTAGACCCATTCTAAGAAGGTTAGTTGTGTAGACTTGTACTTACATTGACTGAGAGAACATGTTAATAATCCCATCCTGACACAGTATATGGCCAGTTCACGATCTCATGTTTATTTACATTAAAAGTGGTTCTCTCTTAGCACCATGGTTAGTGTGGATACCTTAAGCGTGCATGTGTCTTGTGCAATCACATTTTCTGTACTGTACTTTATCCTTGATCTTTACTCCTACTCTCATTATCTTCCTGTCGTATGATAATTTTTATAAGTAAAATAACTACAGTACTTGTATTTGATTGATAAAGATTTATAATTGAGAAGAAATATTTTGATGTTAATGAGAAATTATATAACCACGCTTAAAGTAACTTGACCCACCCAGAAAATTGTGGCCACCCCAAATAATTTTATCTGCAACTTCAAGAATCGTCAGCTTGGTTACCGCCCACCCCACTGTATGTTGCTGCTGAAGCACTTGTGGAGCCATGGAGTACCACCACATAGCATTTATTAACATAGGAAAATATTGATGGTGAAAAGGGCACGTGAAAATCAATCTATCTGGGCCTGTAATCAAGATAGTGGTTGGGGTGTGAATCCGACTTACCCTATATTTAAGTTTTATTCTTCATGTTGTTGCTTTTAGTTTTGACGTAAAAATCCGTTGAAAAGATCTGGCAACCCTTCAACCCCACTGGTGCTGATGTGTATAGCTAAGGCAGAGGAACTAATGCTTTTGTTAATGAGTGGGAGGGTAGGGATTGGAAGTACTAAAGAGGAGGGGGGGAGGGCATTATTGAGTGCTGGGCATGACTTCAGCGGAGGGAAAGCCTCAATATTTTGCATTGCAGTCAGAAGCACAGTAATTAAGAAGAAGATTTTTTTTTATTATAATTACATTTAAAAAAAAATAGTTTGGACAGCTTATATGATATTGATCTATTTAGGAATTAAACAATACAAATTAAAGCCAATAACCTAAAAAAAAAGACACTTTAGGTCAGTATATTATTAAAGTTAAGCATTCGCCCCCAGTGAGATTGATCAGTAGGTGAGTGCACTTACCCAGATGATCCATGACCCTTGACTCCTCCAGTTTGGTGCTACAGTAAAGTATCTGTCACCAAAGAGTTCAGGATTGAGAAGCTTCCACAAAATGGATGAGTGTGCAAGGTGGATACTATCATGACCATGTGTCCAAAGAAAGATTATAATAAACCAGAGCATTTGTGTCTGTTTGGTTATAGTACACTAGTATTAGTTTCTACAAATACCTGTACACCAACTTCTCATTATTCTCTCACACTCTCAATGTTATTAAGTCTACAAGTAAGCTTTCAGTGCATCATCATTCTCTTACAATCACCCAATAACTTTTTCTTCAAACTGCTATCAAGAGTTCAAGACAAATGAACTCGTTACTCACAGTCACTGAGCCAATTGCCTGATTGTCCAATTTCTCCCCATTTACTCTCAAATAAAATAAAATTTTCACTTCTAAGCTTTATTATTAAGCATTGGTCCAGAAATAACAATTGCTTTATTGCTTAAACTGTTCATATAACACTTAATCCTGCCACTTTTTTCATTGACTGTCCTTGGTCCAGTTTTTGCAGAATGTCCACCTTTATTTTATGCTTAACATTGTACATTACCTTATAGTACGGTTAAGCTCAGTTCAATAATTTTTGTGTTTGCTTGAGGGCATTGTCAGGACAAAATAAAAATAATAAACAGAATACTGTACTGTTCTGTACAGAGTATGCCTGGCAGGAGCCAAGACTCCTTGAGGGTATCTCTGATCTCAGTGCTTGTGCCTAGTAAATAATGCAGTGGGAATTTAGGATGGTGCACTAACTCATCAGGGGTTGAGCATGGGTGACCACAGAATGGGAATTTAGACTTCAAATTTTACATAAAATACATTACACTGTACAGTCTCTCCTCAACTTACGACGGGTTCCATCCCGACAACTAGGTCGTAAGTTGAAAATGCGAAAATAATACATAGAAATTCTAAAATGGGTGTCTCTTTTTCTTCTCAGCACCACGAGAACTCTCACTTTTACGCTTGCCAGCCATTTTAAAGGGAATTGCAAACGAAAATTTTGTCAGTACACAGCGCAATCACTAACGTCGGGACTCGAAAATACGTAATGTGAAAAATATTTTATACGACCATGGTCGTCGTATGTCCGGGTTCTTGTAAGTCGAGGAGAGACTGTACTGTATTTTGTGAAGTAAATTTTCGGTTGCGAGACATTTTACTGTGCAAAGATGTTTTCGTTCACAACTAATGTACAGTATATACTGTACTGCTAAGATGAATTTTACTCAGAACTTAAGTTTATATAATAAGTAAATTATTGTAATAACAATGAAACTAAATTTAAATTTAAATTTGAATATTTTGAAAAAATATACAAGTTTAAAATTATACCTTCCAATAATTTGCCCATAAAGGACAAACAGTCCAAAATCTCATACAGTACATGGTACAACCTACGTGTGCCTTTTCCACTCAACCATTTGAAACATGGGTGGTCAGTTCCGGCCTAGCCTTCGTGTAGTTCAGGGATGAGTGATATTTAATGTTTTTAGCAATTATTTGTATTGAAATACATTAACAGTGGCAGATAAAGAGAGCATGTGGATTGACATGTTTGCCCAATGGTGTTAACAAAATAATGTTGATGTTTAGATACACTGCAAGTCATGTGTAAATTTTACTTCAATTCAAATTTATTGTTAATGTTACTCCACCCTTCCCCAGTACAAGTATAAAGTGAAATGGCAGTTTTAATGTAGCTATTGTACTTCTTAATCATTATTTAAGAAGCTGTTTGTCTTTTAGATACAGTAATTGTATTACAATTATCTTTAACAAATGGTTCATGAAGTAGAGTTTGACACACAGTATAGACAAGGAGCTGCAGTTGACCACCATCTCTCCTTTGGTGTTGTTATGGCTTCCTGGAGCTTTCATTTTTTTATTTAAGTCTCAAATAGTAGTTACTGTATGCACAATCAAAACAGTATCTTTACAGATGGGTCTGGTGAAAATCAAAATGAACTGTTGTCTCGGTAGGCTTATCAATTCCTTCATTCATTGTCATATTGTCTAACACAAAATTGTAAAGATACTTTATTTGATTGTGTGTACAGTACATGTAATGTGATTTTTTGGGGTGAGTGAAAATATGTTATTGATGGCAGCCTTGAGGTCCATGGGTGTCACTCAGAAAGATAGTTTTCCTCTGGGGTTAAGTGAATTTCTTCAGTTTTATTACTAAAAAGATCTCCAGACATGATGTTGGTATAAAGGTAGAGAGAGTGAAGGCTGCCAGGTAGAAGAGTTGAAGAATTAAGAAAAACGACAAATTATTTTATTCATTATGAACCACAACAATGTTAACCTTCTATAATCCAATACAGGTATTTCTTTTTGAGAAAATAATGTCTTTTACTTCCTATTCTCCATTTATTTCTGTTGTACACTTACACAAGGGCCAATACAGGTATCCCTCGCTATATGAATGTTCTCTCTATTAATATTCTATTCTTACACATCTTTTTCACTATACAAAAGCTATTCTCTCTTATCCTGTACTGTATCAATATGGTCTTTTAAGGTAATGTACCAAATTTATATTTATTAATATTTTAATGTGTTAAATGCTAAATTAAAGTACAAGTACCGTAGTTAGGTACAGTACAGGGTTCCTCAATTTTACTTCGGGAAGTGTTCCAGAGAAATGTGACTTGGAGCGAAATGTTTTATAATGAGAAATTTTTTCCCATAAGGTATGTGCATTTCAACATGATTGTACAGTAATACCCCTTGAAAGCTCAGGATGTTTTCCTAGAGAGAGAGAGAGAGAGAGAGCTTTCAGCAACAGTCATTATAACATACTGTATATCTTCATTTGGTGCAGGTTTAGTAAAATTCATTATAAAATAATAAAATTTCCTGAAAAAAATCCCAACTCAACCCCAGATGAGTTATTGGATTGTAGTATACAGTATATTATGCATCTGTATATACCCTGGTTTATTCATTGATCAGTTGTCTAAGTGTACAAGTAGCCAAATAGAGCCATCGTGTATCACTCAAAAGTAATAAATAACATTGTTACGAATGAATCTGTCTCCTTGTGGTGGTGAGCCCAGAACTGCCCTCCCATAAGGTAATGTACCAAAGTTAAACAGTATTTTAATTTTTTTTTTCTTGTGTTAGGTAGTAAATTATAGTAGTTGTGTACTATTTATTACCTGTAGTTAGGTTGGTTTTGTTCTTGTTTGTAAATCGATTTCATGTTTTGGGGGATATTTTATCATTAGGGAACCGAACTCTATTTTTCCCATACTGAATGTTTATGTATTTGTGATACGAAAATTCACCTAATTAATTTTTTTTTACCTAACCTGTTCGTATCTTGAGGGATACCTGTATATGTGAAACAATTGACGCGTAATGAAAATTTCTTCCTCTAATTTTTAGCGTAGTATATAAAAAATTATGTACAGTACTGTACTGTATACCGGTATAACTTACAGCGAGGACCCCTGTACCAAATTACAGAAGTTAGGAACTAATTTGCAGCAGTTAGGTATTGCTTTTTGTTGTTTGTAAACCAATTAAATTTTTTCAGGTACGTACTGTATAATATTGGGGTTTTGTCATTGGGGAACTGAGCCCTATTTCTCTCATGTTTTTGTTATATGAATATTCATTTAACAAATGGTTTTCAAGGAACCTGACCCATTCTTAGAGCAAGGGGTATCTGTACAATGTTAGTTTTCTGGTATTGACACAGGATACAGATTTCTTTAATTATAACTTCTGTGGGTAACATTTACCTCGTCACCAATTTTGAAACTTAGGAAAATCATTCAAATATTGCTGCTTCTCTTTTTTTCTACCCTCACTCATCTGTTCTAATAGGTAAATATCGTATTTAAAACATGAATATCACTTATACCTTACAACTACAAAATCAACATGAATGTATTGAGCATACACTGACATAACTGTACAGTACTACAATTGAAAATGGAAGGTATATGGGAGTGAGGTGCTGGTAAAAGATTCTTCATGAACATTATTGGTGGAGACTGATATAGTTTTATTAAGTTCTGGCAACAAACATTTTTATATCAAAATAGGAGCACATTTGCATAAATGTCATTTAGCCTTCTCCAAAGTGTTTGAGGAAACAAGACATAAAAAGTTATAAATAAAACCCAAATTCAGTCCTGTACTATTAGTATCGTTATCTGAATATATATACAGTACATATATAAATATACTGTACAGTACTGTACTGTAAATGTAAATTGGTTTGACTATTGTCCTGTGGTGCATAAGCATAATGTCTTCACTTCACTGATTTTCAAAAAGTTATTAAAGACAAGATCAAGTCTTAAGACTTTCTTAAACCTCTATTTAATATTTACTGTAATAAATACATGAGTCAGGGCTGTACATTCTAAGTTGACATACAGTGTAGCCATTGTTTAGAATTTACTTTAGACAAAACATAATCACCGTTTTACAAAAAGATGTTCTGGTAGTTTTTATTTATTTATTTTTTCCTTGTTAGTCCAAAGATTTTCCTGCAGTTTTCAACTGTCAGTTATCATTAATCTAATGGTTATATTTGTCACTAGAACCAAACACAGTACAGTACTGTATTGGATTTATGGATAAAATCCTGTAACATTGTCAGGTTTATTTAATTACCTTGAGGAGAACACACTTCAAGAATGTTACTACAGTACACCTTCTGTATGGTATTATATACTGTACTGTATTACCAAGGAAATATTTTTTCAGACCAGACCTTTATGACTGCTAACAGGAGTCCCCCTTACTGCTTCATTGGTCAGATGAATAATTCTACACTACAGTATTGTATTGTTTAATTTGCATAATTCAATGTTACCACAACAGAAGGTTAAAATTATTTATGTAACGTCCAGTACTCCATTTCCATAATTTGTTTGATAGCGACGCCCATGCAAAAAAGGTTAGCTTAGCCAGGGACACTGATATTGCATGTAACATTTGTGGGGGCATAAAGCCACTAATATGATGCTTTTTTTCTCTCCAGTTGTTAACATGCAGCCAGTGGCCACTGAAATAGCTTATCTTTGTTCTTCAGTTATGTCAAACCATTTGAGTTAGGTCTCAATTTTTATGATGGCTGAGAAGACAAAATTATTGTCCTCTGATGAGGCAATTTTCTAAAGTTTATTTCAAGAAGTGGTTAAACTTGACAAGTTAAGATTTTCCTTGTCAAATTATGTACTTTTACCTACATTTCACCTTACATAATTTATATCCCTATAGAAATCAAAGTATATTTGATATTTCCTAGTGATGCCTCTAATAATTGTCATAATGCCGTTTCTATAATGTGCAAAAGAGCAGAGAAGATGATGTTTTACAGCTATGTATTGCTATGTATTAGAAAACATCTCTTCCCTTCAGATTAAATACTGATTAAGAGTGAGTGGTGTGCTGCAGGTTGGCGGCCATTGAGGTACAAAAATAATGTGGTGAAGTAGTATCTTGGTTATGCGAGTTGATGCTTTGCTTCAGAAACGCTAAATTTGTGATATATACTTAACTATAGCATTTTCCAGCATTAACTTATTTAATATGTAGGTAACACTGCCACAAACATCTGTGCATTTACATAAGAATCTTATGCTTATTTTTTGTAACATATGTGTATAACTGTATAAATGCTATCAGAGGATGAGTAATTTTTAAGGTTTTGTAGTGCTGAATCTTGGTCATTCAACATTGTAAAAATGTTTATATGTTTTATATTGTGCCAAAATGCATTTTCTTTAACCATGAGTTTTCTTGACCTTAAATATTTTTAGTTACAGGCATCCCTGCGTTACGGAAATTCGCCCTTCTGGAATTTGGGTAAAAAAAAAAAAGAAGCTTTATACCTGTATAGTAAAACAAAAAAATTCACCAAAATTTTAAAATTTATTTTGTGTGGATTTTTAGTGGTTGCTACAAACGGTTGGAGGGCGGTGCACCTACCCATCACAACAACAAGGGTGCTGCTCTGTTGTGAATTCATTCCCCAGATTGTGTTCAGTTTTGTGTCTGTGTTACTGTGTACCCTTATTTAAGATGAGTGGGGAAAGGTCATCAAGTTCAAGTGAAAGCTGTGGTGCTAAAAGATTTCATAAAGGAATTTATGTTGGGTATTAAACTTGATGTTATAAGGAGGTAACTCCCAGTGACTCCGGTCGCAAAACCTCACCTCACCACCTCATGCAGCACTCGACATCATTTCTGGTGAGTTAAATTCAAGTGTGCACTTTTTGTCATATTACATCACGAATGAATCATTGTACCGTATGTGTTTAAAACTTTATTTTCATTCATAAACTGTATGTGCTTGTATTACATTTTTGGGCCAAAAAATTCTATCGGAATTCATCTAAAATTATATAATTGGAGTCAATGGGAAAAGTGGTCCCACATTACAGACAAATTTTTAGGAAGGAAAGCCTTCAGTAACCCGGGTATGCCTGTAACAATAAATGGCGTGAATTATTATTTTTTTAGTTGTAATCTTCTTTTGGGTTCACCCTTACAATGGCTGTATATGGTCTTGCAGTAGATTGTCAAGTTTATTTTTTGAGGAAACAGGTGAAACTTCCAAGGGATAAGTCAACATAGTGAGTACCGTACAGTATATTTGACGGGTAAATTTTAAGTTCAGGATATTTATATTCATTACAGGAGCGAGATATAAATCAATAGTTATAAAAAGTCAGAGACAACATTGAACTGTAGTTCACAAGGTTCAATTCGAATTGTTAAAATTTTATCGTCTAAAGGGTAACCAGGTACTCACAGGCCGCGCACCTTTAGTAAATTAATGTTCTATTTTTCAGGTGAGGAAATCACAATTCAACAAAGGTGGAAGATAAATTAACACTGGAGGAAAAGGTTGGTTTAATAATGATGTACGAAAAGCCAGATGCTTCACACCTATCAGTTAAACAAAAAATTTAATCGACAACACGCAGTCATTTGGTGGTGGTTGTATAAATTCTTTTGAAACCGATTAGTGTTTAACATTTGGCTTTCCAAACATGGATATTAAACTGGCTCTTTCCTCCAGTGTTAATTTCTCAGCCATCTTTTTTGACTTGTTGAAAACTAGAGACGATTAATTTTCCTATGGTGTGTGACCTATGAGACAGCCTGCATTGCTTCTAGGCTCACATTGGCTGTGTGGCATTACTGTTTATTGTTTCAACAAGTTCTTGTCAGGGTATGTTTAAGTGAAATAGAGACAAGTTGCAGCTTGCAAAACAAATTTCATTTCTGTCCATTTCTTGTAAGGTAATAACTGTACTTTACTAATGTCATAGATGAAGAAATATCACCATTCAATATTTATCATAGAGGTATTATTAAACTATCTAAAAAGTATGTTATTTATAATTATTAGAAACATCATTCATAATTATTTGACACTAATAAGTCCAAAAATCATAATCTCTGAAGTCCCACCTTACCCTTACTTTGGTTTCCTTGGTAACCACTGAGTTCCCACAATTTTGATGAAATGTCAGTTTCAATCATGCCATTATGTGTATAAACTTATGGGTTACCTTCTTGTACTTTAATCTTAAAGTTAACATGAGTCATTATAGGAATTTAGAATTAAATTCAGAAGTTATTTCCCAATAAAAACTTATGGAGTTGGTTTAGTAAGCTGGTTTCGCATGAACTGAAGCAGTTGGTTAAGCCCATCTTTGCCAGAGGAACCATCCAGAAAATAAGCCTCCATATTGATAAGTCGTCCTAGCTGCTTCACCTGGAAGTTACACCTAAGGATACAGTCGCTTCTTTCCATTTTATCATTGCCTAAATTATGCTGTTTTTCTTTCTCTTGTACTATTTCTAAACTTTCCTGCTTTCCAATTTCTTGAGAATTTTCAGACTGACTGTTTAGGATATCCAGATGATGGCTGCTACAGGACCTCTTAGATGAGGTTTGCTCCATAGGCAAAGCCTTGCCAGACCCATTTATATTTTCATCATATGTACTGCCTACACATATCTTGGGATTTTTTCTCTTCTGTTCCTCCTCATTCTGCTCTACAAGTTGAGATGTCTCCAGTCTCTCTCTCTTCCTTTTAAGTGATAGTCTCGTTATGTCATGATCTGTTGCCTCATTTTCTTCTGAATTATGCTCCTCAATCTCTTTCTTACCTGTAAAAAAAAGTTCAGTCTTTATTAAACAACAGGAGTACTGTACTGTCATAGAGAAACTCTATCGCCATACACTAGCTAATATCACATGATGATGGCTTTTCAAAATTAAATAGGATGAAAGATTACACACTAAATTCCTTATATTCTGTATTTACTCCTCTCCTAGTTCTATGTGGGATGGATCAAGTGGTAAAGAAACTCTAAAGGAGAGAAACTGTGTGGTGCCAAGCCAATGTAGACAGCATAGGAAAAGGATGAGACATCAAACAGAAATAATCTGCACACGTACATTTCAATGATAGAATATTGTAATTAAATCTTCACTAAAATGATAGACAGGTAACCTGATTTTCCCAATGTGATGATAATATTTATCTAGTAACTTCCTAATCAATAAAAGTGAGTTTCACAATCAGTATAATGATTAATTCAGTAATTACCGATTTATTTTCCCTTTTACTATTCAAGTAATGGAGAAATGTATATTATCAGTTTATGATTCAATGATGATGTAGTTTTCCGAAGAAAATTCTTAATAAAATGGCAGTTAACCCTTAAAGCCTGGGTGACGTTCCTCTACGTTTGCTAAGGTGACCCTGGGTGACATTTCTCAATGCTCTTATTTTTTTTGTGGCAAGCGAGACGAAATACTTTGTATCGGATATTTATTTAATTGACAATTCTACTCGTGCATTATCTTTGTCTCAAGACTCGTGTCTCGTGGTCAGTTACTCGCCAACTATCATGATGGATGCACATCCTTTGACCTCTGTTCAGTAATATTTGGTGTTTTGTAGCAGTGCCTTCAAGTAAGAAAGATGTATTGCAAGTGCATGTCAACATCATCTCCTGCTCGTTCTGGGCTGTGTGCAACAGCTTCAAACAAAACATATTTCATCACTTGACACGACTCATCAACACTCCAGATAACTCTCCAACCATGTTACAATGAAGGTTAAATGTAAGTATACAGCTTTTGGCATAGAATCATTGTGAAAAAGGAAACTTTGGCTCTAACTGGGAATGATCTTTCCTCTTTTTACAACAGAATTTTCTCCTAATTTATAGCAATTTGTGCTGATACCTGTACTAGCCTATTGTAGGAGTACAGTATAATATGAAGGCAACCTGTGCATGCTGATAACTTACCCTTGCTTGTAGTCATTCCTTTTTTCATATCTTCACGCTTCTTTCTTCTCTGATGTAGCCAAGTAGCTTTAAAAGCCTTCACGTTAGCACTTACAAAATATTTACTGCTTTTCAAAACTCGCACCTTCACCTAAAAGTCAGGAAGACATTCGTTATTGCATAGATAAATATGGAGGATGGATTCAGAAATCCTACTTTCTAATGGAGTTCATAGTCAAGTACCTTAACTTATCTTTTATATGATTTACTTAAAGTTGTAATCAAAGAATCTGGTGGATACAAAACTAACATTTTAAGAGAAGATGTAAAAGGAAGAGAAGTTTGCAAACCTTGAGTTGTTGTAGCCACTTCTTGATCATGTTCCAAGCAGCCATGACAGAATACACTGTCATGAGGCTACGAGGCATAATTAAAACAAGTGGTTTATTGGTTACTATGTCTTTCTTACTCTTCACATAGTCTAGATGTAGTGTAGGATCAAAGGACCAAGCTATACCCCATCTGCAAGATATAACAAATTGCATTCAAACTCAAAATGAAACATACTGTATTGTACCTTCAAATCTGTTATGCACAGAAGGAAGAATCAATTTCTCATTCTCATTGGTAATATTCAACATGTTTTACATGAAATTTACCTTGTACTGTACAGCATATTGTTTTCTGTTAAACTTATGAATGAGGTTAATAGTGTGCTTTGAGCCATTATAAAAAATATCCCTAATTTAACATATAGGTACAGTACTTTTCACTGTACCTTACTTACAACAAAATTACCTCTACAGTATATTTAAATCAACTCTTTCCACAATCTACTTTATATAAAGGGACATTCTATATGTTTGAGAAGTTCTCCTGTAAATGACTGCCCTACTTTTAAATACGCAAAGTACCGGTATATCTATTTATTATACTGTATAGCTGAACCCAAATTGGCACCTTAATACTAAACAAAATCTGGGGAAATTAACAAAACTAGAAAAATTTTAATGCTGTCTTACTGCACCTCATGGTTCTCCCTTGACAAAATTCTGTCAATACTGAGCATGTCGGGTTGGCACCATTTAGTGCAGTTTTAATAGGCTTCACATGAGCCTTGCTTCCAATCAAGGTTGTGAAGATTCTGTAAAGCAAATGTATAATGTTAACCCCTATGAAAAGTATATGCACAAACTAATATAAATCTTTTACCGGTCGAAATTTTAGCTGTGTATGCCACACTTCAAAATATCATTAACCCCTTGAATATGGCTTCCCCTGAGCTGAATAAAATAATCTAACATTAGCCAAGTAAAATATTAAAAGTGGCATCCCTTAGTGAAAGTGTTAACACTCAATTACCGCTAATTAACCTTGACTATTAAATCACCAAGGTTAAAACAGTACTCATATCACACCTGATTTTGTCCTTTAACAGCTGACTTTCCTTTATCATCTGTGTGACAAAGGTGATCTCTCCACCTGCTGTAACCTTCTCATGGACTGCACCTAAACAAACAACAAATTCTAATTAAAATTTCCTCCATTAACCCTTTACTGCCGGCTCAGGATTCTCTACTCTGCCCCGATGTGAAAAAAAGGCAAGGAACAAAACGTCCACTGATGATGGTTGCTATTTAAGAATTAAGTGTAAAAAAGTATCACATCAGGTTTTTTTTTGACATATACATCTCAAAATGATAAAATAGCATTTACTGTCACCTAAACTCAATGATTACTCTTACATTTATTTTGAAATGTCAACTGTCCACCTAATTGATGTGCTTGGGGGGGATGAGATGAACAAATAAAACAGTAAAAGTCATTGGTGGGTTTAACCATACCAGTTGCAGCACTGACAGGCTCCCCTCTGTCCTTCCTGCTCTTCTTCATTGTATCCATTTCCTCCTCTGAACTGAAGAATGGTGGATTGCACATTGTGAAGTCATAAAAGAATGTGCTCAATTCTTCATTTTTATTTTTCACAGCTTTCAGCTTATCTGTATTGATGATTATGAAAATTATGATTAGGAAATTATATTCAGGTGTCTGTATACTGTACATGCATGTACACTCGCAACAAAAAGTATCGGTGCATACTGCAGTGTGAACAATTTGAAACCAGTGACGATAGGTATTGGGAAATGCGAGTTGTTCCATCCGTATGTTGGCAGCCCTGTAATCCTGCTGAGCTGCTACTATGGCCTGGTCAAGTGAAACAAACTGTTATAAATAAGGTCGGGAAGTGATAAATAGATAATATGGAATATGAGAAGCTCCCTGTTAACAAAATTATTTGTGATACTTGTGAATATTGCCACATTAATTTATGCTACCAAATAAACCACTCAATCTGGTCGTCCTGAGGGGTGGCGCAGCGTGGACGGTCGCTCCGAGACCTGTCGTCTGTAGCACCAGTTTCGAGGTATCGCCGAATCCATCGTGCAGCGGTATTCCTGTGGACACCAACCCACCGGCTAATATCTGTGACGCCGAACCCTTCGTTATGACGGGCAATGATAGCTCCTCGTGTTCCCTCTGAGGTTTCCATGTCGTCTGGCATGTGTAGATCTCTACTGCTTCATGTTGCCTCTGTTTTATATCCAAGTTCACCAAGACCGAACCCTCGCTCATCATTCAGTCGACACAAAGCAACAATCCGAAAAGAGGAAACAAACACACTGATTGTCAGCCATCTGGCAACACCTAGTGGAGGGGGGGGGGGGTTATGAGGATACACTTACCAACCCTCCCGACACATCACAGTGTATACGTATCGTTTTGGAAGTCGTCGATCTCACCCTGCACCGATACTTTTTGGTGCGAGTGTGCAATGAAAGAGACAAAAGTCGTGTCGTGAAATTTGGTGAAAACATAATTATGACGAAGGGCAAAACTTTTGGTGCGCTCTGCCTTGTGGTAGGGCTCTCATAATGTTTCACGGGTTATATTTAATCTTCGGACAAAACCGTGACACGACTTTTGTCTTTGATTGTACATGTGTATTATGTGTGTGCATTTATTTGTGAATAAATTATACATAGTGTACAGTATATGTTCTAGGTTTCAAAGAGTATGCAGTACAGTACTGTACCTGATGAATAAAGAAAAGGGTAAGAAGGATGTTTCTATGCTAAATAAGATAACACATTTAATGAATAATAAGTGATCTTCATAAATGGGATAATGAACTTCTGTACTCTATCAAAAATTTTATATTTATGTTAAATAAATATATGAGGGTTAGTTTTTGTAAAGAAAATAAGCAATGGGAGACGGTGGAGCCTACTTACGTGGCTCTTTTCTGTGAGGTACAGGGGTGAATAGAATCAGTAAACAACGAGTCTGCCTCAACAATGGTGACAAGGTAATGTTTCTCTTGTCTGATACACAGAACACAAGCTTCAGTTTCAAGATTCTGACTTGAAGTTTTCTGCTTTTTATGCTGTCTGTTCCATAACTACTGTCGTTCTAATAATGTCTGCTATAAAAGTTTGCATTTTGATCAAATTTCCCATAAGCACAATTTGGAACGAACAAGACTACCTTCGTACAAGCCAAGTGCAGCCTCTTACATGAGAGTTACAATCTACAGTACTTGGTGTGTACCCACAGGTGTTACCTAATTTACTATAACATACCTGACTGTGAATCAGATGTACAGTGACTACCATCAATCTTCATTTCACTTTGAGAAGTTTGTGTGGGTGTCTGTGAGTCAGTAGTATCAATGTTCTTGGACAGGTCAGCATCTTCAGTTTGTTTTCTTCTTAATTTGCTTTCTAATATCTGACTCTGAGCCTCTTTTTCATCAAGTACACCTTTAAGAATAATCCCATTTTCAACCTGAAAATATATAAATATGAATGATTGTAATCAGCCCCCACCAGCCAATTAATGGGCAGTCTAATCCTAGCTTCTCAAAAATGGCTTGCACTTTGTCAAGAGCCATCTAGAAAGAGAGCATCGAGCTAGAATTCATAGTGATTTAAAAAAAAAATTATGAATAGAAAAGCTGCTATGGCATGAGTATGTGGAGAACATAGACACAAGATCTTACCTTCTTTACAAATACCCTGTCTTGTAAGTTGTTATTCAGTACATTTGTTGTTGCACTTCCATAACTGAGCTGGTCAGTTTCTGTACCCAACATACACCAACCAAATTGTTTAGCTCCTAATAATGGATAAATGCACGCTGCCCCGACACCTGTAAATACACAAGACAAATAGCTGGTACAGTATTTGTATAAGCTCATCAGCTTTCCTCAGAATTGTGTGATGTACCTCTCTATTTTATTGTACAGTATATGCATTTATGTCACCCTGTACAATTTGTGCCTTTAGCAAGCAATGTCATGACCTAACCTCACCTTTTGGAGGCTTATACCTGTCCCTAAAATGACTCTGTCACACACCATCTTGGCCAGTTCCCCAACTCTCAAAAAAATTCTGAGTAAACCTCTGAAAGCATCATATCTGTTCACATTTACAATATAAATAAATAAGTATGTAAAGTATATATATAAAACTTACCAATATCAGCTCCTACAACCATGTGTTCAGAATCATAACGTGCTGCATGTGTCATCAGATCTTCTATCCATAGGAGATAGTTGAGGCGTAAGGGAAGTGTTGGCACTAGTCGATCATCTGGGATACTAACCTAAAGATGTGAAAAGGAATGAAATTTGTCATGAGTGAGAAACTACTGTATAACTATTTTCACTCTTGTAAGACACTTCCTGCTCTACTGAAAAATAGCAAGAACCATAACCAAATATATTGTTCTTTTCATTCATTCATTCTCACTGCTGAAACAAACATGTATTGCTATGGTGTTCTCCTTCCACAACAAGGTTCCCAAGATATCTAAACAATTCATCTATCACTTCAAAAACTTAGTATTGCTCATCAGCAGCACAACTGTCCCCAAAGTACGACTAAAAACAGCGCTCTTCAGTTATTCACATACAGCAACACCACCTGCATGCCTACTTCCGTTACCTTATTTATGTCCCTCAACCCATCTGTCCATCTATCACCTACCTCCAACTCAAGACTACAAGTTCTTTCTTACCAATTTTTTGCTTTCTATTTTCTGAACATGTCTATACTACCTTAGTAAACATTCTGAACAACACTATTTCATTTCCACATATTTTTTATTTCTCTTCTTTCTTATTCCCTGCATCCTATTTATTTCATTTATTGGTCTCATGCACATCATTTGTCATCATCACCTTTATCTCCTTTGACAAGGTTTTCTCCTTATATATCTAAGTACAGTACATTATTGTACAGTACACCTACAGCTCCTTCCCTCATCTACTCTGTGGTTCAATTTGTTTCTCACTGTTCCATTCACCGACTCAGGCACTCCTTGATAACTGTAACAAATTGTGCTTACACCTTGTATAATGCACATAGCACTGGGGAGCTTTACAGAGGTGCAACACAACTCCTACATTATTAAAATACAGCACTGTACTGCAAAACATCAGAGGTGGCCAGTAATTTCTTCTGCTGGCCACAGTTTGGTTGTACAGTGCATCCAGTTTTCAGCAAAGGTACAGTACATATTTTCCTGAGCAACAAGTATCCATAGTAGTTTACAATACCAAAAGTCAGGTTACAGAGAGAGGAAGTTGTTGGGTACAGTACTGTATTTCAAATCTGGTGTAAAAATCAGTGATGTACATTACACAGACTCTGTAGAAATAGAAGTTGCATTAAATCAAAGGTTTACTGTATATAATTATCAATACAATAGTAGATACCTGGTATAATTCAGTAGCATAGCTAAATACAGCATAGTAATAAAATATACATAGATAATTAACATGATGCATGAACACACCTTTAGTCCAAAATCTTGATCCAGTAGACAGGTTGTAAGTGCCCGTACTGCTTTTGGGTTCTTGAAATCTAAGTGAACCTTTCCACTTAGATCATATGTACAGTGTTCCCGAAATTCTGGATATTGAGTGGCAAGCTTCTTAAAGCTGGGAGGAGTACGGTAACGATTCCGTTGGTGCATGAATTTGTTCAGCTTCGGTGGAGCACCTTTTTTCTCTGCAAAAGAACACCCTGTATCAGCAGCGGCAACACAAGTTTAGGATCACTATAAATACTGTACCTGTATAACACTAAAGTAGGTCCAAGAATGAGCACATAATTATGAGGTTATCCAGCCACCTCAGGAAAGACATCCGTTGTAAAGTTAGTTCAGGTAAAGTTAGAACAGGTTATTGGTTCAGTATTTAGCGCGGGTTTACCCCTTTTATTAAAGCCCTGCCAACTTTGTGTATTTACTATATTGTCGTTGGTAATGAGTCATATCTCCATAATTATTAATTTCCGACAAAAATCAAGGTCATACTTTTGTCACCATCCTTTACAACTGGGTAGAGTATGAGTCTAACCAACGACCATAGGACAGGAGATAAAACAATATATCATCTTACCACAACTTGTTTATCATCATACTTACTTGACTCCATGCTTTATTAACACGAGACGAAGATCAACTACAGTAACCACTCAATAACAACAACTTCCCTTTAATCAGCTTTTGTAAGTTAAAAAACTACTACGTTAGTACAGTATGTTGGAAGACGTTCCTTTATTGAATCCAGATTTTAAAATTTGACTTAGCAACTTTATGTGTGTCTTCAGCCCATGGTCAAGTTGGTGTGTTATCTTGACTGGTACCAAGGATTAAGGTCGTTGGGCTCAATTGCCTCTTCCAGAAATATTCTGTGAGTATCTAATATAAACACATTTGTTAGGGTTTCTCCTATACGATTTGGAGAGAACCTGTTAATGGCTGACTCATGTGAACAGGATGTTTTATGGACAATGGATAAGTGTGGGTGTTAATATAGTGTAGGGAAAAAACAGGACAAAACCCCCTTGGACAAAATCTCCTCAAGTAAAGTAGATCAAAAACCCCTTATTTAGAGTAAAAGACTAGGACACAAGCCCCCATTTGCACATATCGTTACAGACAAACCTCCCTAGGGCAAATAATAAGTGTTTAAATCATAGTTTTTATTCTTTTTATTATTTATAGTTTATTAACACTTTTCCGACATGTAAAATATTAAATTTATTATATCATAAGACTAACCTAATCCCCTCTAAATATATATATTTTTGGGTCCTACTTTGCACTTGACTTAAAGGGTTTTGTCTGGACCCCATTAATATATTATCGGTATGATTGTGACAATGGAATATCATATTTTCCTTAGTTTGAGTGTAGAATGTTGTTAGCTTTCTTTTCCGATAGTAATTGCTTTTTAGCGCTCAGTAATTTCAAGAGTACTCTACTGCTCCTCAATGATAGCAACAAAATATTTAGGAATTTATACATTTACGCAGCATAGTCATATATATTTCCTCTCCTTAGATGGGACTCCTAAACCTGTTGCTGTTATCCATGAAAGTTAATGAAAGTAAAAAAGTAACAAGACATTAAAAACTAATAAGAAATGATCTTTAAGTTACATTAGATACAGTTAGAGGCTAGAATAGTGTTGTGGGATGGTGTTCAGTGGCCGCCAGTGATGCTCTCTCGTCCTCGGCGGCTACTAGCAGGAGTCGTCTGCAGCTACGTGTACATAAACACAGTAAAGGGAATGCTGACAGCTCCAACAAACTTTTTTATTTTTAACAGAAAGAATCTTGATAAACTAAATTGATAAGAACGTTAGATACTTATTACAGGAGCATACAGGCTCTTGTGATATTTGGCCGTGAGAAGAGTAGAAGAATTAGTCCAGTTAAAGATGGATTACTTCAGATCTGTCACCCAGAGTGTGTTGGGGACCCCACAGCCTGGCCACCAGCCCACCGGTGCTGAGACAGTAAGTACAGCAACAATTGGTGAGAAAGCTTTTATTTTCTATGGATAAATATCCCCTATATGTAATGCTGGAGCAGATGGCTAACACCAGAAGGAGTTGTTCGATTGCATTAATTTTTTCCACATATGTTCTTTAGATGATAGTAATAAAAACGATAAGACAACTTTTTATGTTATGAATGAGTATTTATTTTAATTTTCAATTTCTTATCTATCTGTGATGATAAAGCACCTGTAGTGGGCAGAGTATGAAGGATCAGGGTTAATGTGGGGTTAAACACGGTGTTGTCTGTTCTCTGTTTGTGTTCGGTCCGAGCGTACTCTCAAGTTCACAAAAAATGTAAAATTACACCATGCTTCTTCAATAAAGTTGCTTTTTTTTGGTACCAGATATCAAAGTAAGTACAGTACAGGTACTTTCTGTTTAACATGACAGGGGGTCTGCCTATTAGGAAGTTAGGTAGGTTTCTTTGATGTTAGGTCAGGTTCTTTTAGGTTTTGTGCATTGTCATGTCACTTTTATTACTTACTATCATTCGAAGAGCATCTGTGGAAAAACTGAATGATATCGAACACTGTGTTCTGGTGTTAGACTTGTGCTCAAAGATTACCTTGTCCTCAAACTGCTGGTGTAGGTGTGAGCCTTTGCTAAGTTTATGTTACCATAACACATTTGTGTGGAAGACTGCAACTTTTTACTAAATTTTGTAATATTTTGACAGTTTCAGGAAATGATGAGGATTTGCAAATTCCCTTATAAAATTTTGGCAATTTTCTGGTGAACAGTGTTTCTTCCACACAAATGCTTCAACACAGGAATAACTTACCAGCTACTGCTGCATTACAGTATATGATTTGTCGGAGATAAAATGAATTCACTTAGCTTACTGGCACCTAACCTAACCTGAATAGATAAATTGGGATGAAACACTCAGCATATAAGTGGGAAATAATGGTATCTTAGCACATCACTGATTAGAGTTCAGGATGAGAGACATCACAAAAGCAACATTTTGCAAATTGTCAATTTTCATTATTTTATGGTATTTTCATGAGGTAAGGAAGCATTTTTCTTTTGTAAAAAAAGATTCCCCAAAGTTCCTCGTTAATGTGTGGTACTGTTGTCGAGTATCGCCTAGTTAAGTGAATAATCCTAATTAATTTTCTGAATTTCCTTTCGTGTTACTTTTTGTCGATAATCCTTATCATGAATGGTACATGTAAACCACTTAATTTTTACGAATATTTTATTGAAGAAAAGTTCCTACTTTTTGTGGCCGCCTCCTTAGTACTAGGAATAAGTTTCCCATAGTTCAGGACGATACCAGTTATCTCTGTAACCCAGATCCCATGATTATCTTGATTACCAGTACAGTACTGTGCCGTGCTGTAATAAAAGTCCATTGTACTGCACAGTATACTGTATATGAGAACATGTACAAACATATCTTAAAGAAAAAGGCACCGTGTTCAAACTGAGTACAGGTATACTGTATCTGTTAGGCTGTAATTCTAGATTTGCATTTGGCAGATACACTATATTGAGGAATTTTTATACTCCATACAGTACTTGTCTCTCGGCACACAACCAGATTTTACGACTGTTAAATGGAATGATCTCTGATGTACTGTACATGATTTTTCAACAGGTAGAACGGCTGATAGACAGAGTTCAATCATCCACGCTCCTGGAGGACCGCCGTGATGGCTGCAGAGCACTTAAAGCCATGTCACGGAAGTACAGAGTTTTAGTTGGAGCTCATGGGATGGATACACTTACACAGGTTTGTGTGTGTGATTTCTTGCCTCTACAGTATTTTCTATGCTACAGTTTTCCAATAATGAACTCTTCCTCTACAGAAATGTACTACTATCATTGTTTGGGTTACTGTATTAACCTAATTATTTTATCTTCCTGGAGCACTTTACCATTTAATATATAAATCATTTATATCATTGCTGAAGCTATACAGTCCGTCCGTGGATTACCTCTTTTTTGGTGTCATACAGCATTAGTGCACTAATGAAGCGGCTCACTCCCTAGTTCTGTATGTTTGTGTGTTGCTCTGATAGGGTGGACTTTTAGCTATGTTTTTAGAAGCTTTAACTCAGCAATGCTTACAGTTCACTCTTTATTGACTGCTTGTTTCATGCCATGTTTTCATATCCTGATCATTATTTTCTTACTGATTTTAATTTTATATATTCCTTTGCAGGTCCTGGAGGCAGACAGGAGTGACCATGAGATTGTTAATTATTCCTTAGAGACTCTTGTTAATATCACTTCCCCAGAGGAATATCCAGAGGAAGCAGGTAAGAAGTTGTTGCCTTGTTGCCTCTTGTTATGTAGAGATACAGTAATACCTTCAGTTTTCCGGCATGGATTTCGGAGCGAATTTTCAAATATTTCTTTGTTTATTTAATGAAGATATATGTTTTAGCTCATAAAATTCATACAAATTACCCTGCCAGAATATAATTTACATTGCTGGAATTCTTACAATTTGATGATCATTTTGAATATAAACATCATAGATTTTGCATTAGACATACAAATTTTAGATATAATGTTTACTCTGAGTAAATATGTTATCTTTTGTGCAAAATATATGACATTTATATTCAAAATATTCCTGGTCTTACAAGGAATCCAGCAATGTCAATTATATTATCCTAACTTCAGTCTGAGGTATTATTTATTACTAAAAAGGTAAATAGTCTGGTTTTCCCACACATTTATCTGGTAGGGAGGGTTGGTGGGGGGTGGGGGGGAGGGAGGGACCGTCCGACCATCTGGCACGGTGTGAAGAATAATTTTTTTTTTATTAACTGAAGATATTTGTTTTAGCTCATAAAATTCATACAAATTACCCGGCCAGAATATAATTTACATTGCTGGAATTCTTACAATTTGATGATCATTTTGAATATAAACATCATAGATTTTGCATTAGACATACAAATTTTAGATATAATGTTTACTCTGAGTAAATATGTTATCTTTTGTGCAAAATATATGACATTTATATTCAAAATATTCCTGGTCTTACAAGGAATCCAGCAATGTCAATTATATTATCCTAACTTTAGTTTGAAGTATTATTTATTACTATACCTTAAAATCTAGTGGTTTTCCCCCAGACTTTTCTCAGAGAGGGAAGAGCCAAGAGTGTGAGAAGAGGGGGAGGGAGTTGAGTCCAATATTTGAATGGACATTAACTTGGCAACTGTATTTCTCTATTTCTCTTAAGTATTAATTGTGTGCATGTACCATCATAAAATTAAGATGTTATTTTTACTAGAACATAGGTATTGTGTCGGAAAAAGTGGAGTTTGGGGGTCAGCCGGTCTCTATTTCATTTAATCCCATATGTTATGTTGTTCACTTTATGCGTTTCTCGCTTTACGCGGGCCTCCGTGGGTTCAATTGACCTCGTAAAGTGAGGGTTCACTGTACAGTATTTCTTTAGCTTTATGTTCTTGTTCTGGCCATATCATAAATCAGGGTCTCATAAACTCAATTAATTTTTTGTAATTGCATAATGGGCTGTAGGGTCAGGTGGGAATTTATATTGAGAAATGTTTTCCAGGAAGATTGTTATAAAATCTTTATTACACAGAAGATGAAGGTATAACCACAGATGACCAGACATCAGCTGTAGGAGAGCAGTTTACTGAGATATTCACCAAGCGTCAGGAGAACATAGAACTCTTGGTCAGCCTCTTGGATGAGTTTGATTTTAAAGTGCGTTATCCTGCAGTCAAACTTCTCACTAATTTGCTCGAAAATAGGTTAGTAAGTGGATAAATTTAAGTTCAATATTTTATTTAACAGTTGTCATGCCCTGTTTAGTCTGATTATAGAGGAAATCAGAACATTTTATTATATAACAGAAAATGTGGAATGAGTTACGGTATCTCATGTACAGTAAGTCCTCGTATAGCTTCGGCCCGCTTAACGTTTCGATAACTACATCGTCTGGCCGCACTACACTCTCTTGGCTCGGCGCAGAGTCTCAGTGACTCACCACCCTCCTCCTCTGCTACCGCCATACTCCTCCCCTCCCGCCATCCGCCTCCTCTGCCTCACTACCCACCACACACTCAGTCTACCACCTCCGCCCATCAGTGTGTACCATTACAAACTTAGTACAGTAGTTGTATATGTATGCACTATTTTCTATAGAAATGGCAATGATTTTATGTATATGTATATGTAATGTATTTCATGGGGCAAAGGGAGGCTCAGGAACGTAACTCCCGTATTTTATCTATTTCTTAAGGGGAAAATTGATCCGCTTCACGTTGTTTCGTATAACGTCGCGTTTTTAGGAGCGTAACCCCGGTGTTAAGTGAGGACTTACTGTACTTAATATTGTATTTACCTTTCCAGTGTTTTGCATGGATACACTCTGCATGAAATTGATGCTGCATGGTTTGATTATTATACAGAGAAGCCTTGTTGTATTGCTGTTATTTAAATTAAAATTTTAATCTTGTATTTGAATTTGTTTTATAAGTCTTGCAGTACAGATACTACATCTATACAGTATACATGTACCTGTAGTAGTTATTCATGTCTTAGCTTACAGTATCTCTCCCTGCTTCATTTTCTCATTTACCTTCATTTAATCCTGGTGAGTATCTTGATGGGATCAGGAAAGTTTTGGGCAAATATCAATCCAGTTATGATAGTCACCAAACACCTAAATGATTATCCTACACTTCTACAATACTTGTACAAACAACATGACTGTGTCTCTCAAAACCTAAAAAGTATGGTTAGTGCATTTAAAGAGGGAGGTGTGGCCTGAGGTAACTAGCCAGTCTTGGTGCCCTTGTTCCTATGGGCAGCTGGTGGTGATGATGAGGCAGATATAGGGGTATTATCTTGCCCTTTTTGAATGTGGTGTTTTATCATGCAAATACTGTACTCTGAATGTGCTGCAGGACACAGTACACACTGAACACTAAAGTACAGCACCTTGATGAACAAACTTTATTTTTTATTTATTTTATTTTATTTTATTTTTAATATTACGGTGTATGTCTGGATGGTGATTGGGTTCTGACATTGGCACTAAATTTTAATTTTTACATTTTAATTTATGGTATCAGTAATGCTACATAATGTGTTCGTCTACAAAGCATTTTTTAATTTAAAAAGACTGTATGCAGAGGCATGGAGGATGGGAGGGCCTTGGGTGTGGAGTGGCCTAGAGGGGCTACTGGGTACACAGAGCACCATCTACCAGTAGAACCCAAGATGATACATTGTTTTATTATGTATCTGATTTTTTATGTAATGTTTAGGTGGAGTATAGTGTCAGGCCACACACTGATGCAAGAGTATGAAGAAACAAACTTCATGAGCTGCTTATATTTAATAATACACTAATGATTTCTTGGTTTAGTTGTAATACTTATAATGGAATTTCTTTATTGACCTACTTGTAGTAATCCTAACCATTCTTAAGCTTTATGGTACCATTCTTTTACATTATAGCAAGACAGTTGATAAATACAGAAATAAGTGCAATGTTTTGTAGTGTTTTAGGGTGATGTTATCTTCTTGTAGTAATTTTAGGAACTAATTTTTTGCTGTATGTGAGAGGCTTTTGTTGCCTGACACTGCACTATCTTAACCAGGGTTCCCCTTGATTTAGTATTATAAGTTTCAGACAAGAAGGAGTGGCTGATTGGTTGTACAGTAAGTCCTCGCTTAACGTCGTGGTTACGTTACTGAAAACGCATCGTTATAAGAAACAACGTTAAGCGAATAAATTTTCCCCATAAGAAATAGGTCAAATACAGGAGTTGCGTTCCTGAGCCTCCCTTTGCCCCATGAAATACATTCCATATACTGAAATTCAATGGCACTTTTATAGAAAATAGTATATATATATATATATATATATATATATATATATATATATATATATATATATATATATATATATATATATATATATATATATATATATATATATATATATATATATATATTGGTACTTACCGGTGGGCGGAGGTGGTGGAGCGAGTGTGTGGTGGGTAGTGAAGCGGGGGAGGGTGAGAGGGAGGGAGGGGAGGAGGTTGATGAGTCACTGAGACTCGGCGGCTGCCTCCTCCTCCCGAGAGAGCGAAGCGCAGCAAGATGAGAGAGGGTGAGGCACCGTAAAAAGTAGTCTGCGACGACGCAAAAACGACATAAAATTGAGTCGTCGGGACGTTAAATGAATTACTGGTAACTAAAGAGAAGCGACGTTGTACCAAAACAACGTTAATCGGGTCGACGTTATACGAGGACTTACTGTATTTGAGGTACTGTTCATGCAGTGAGTTAAGTTTGGGAGAGGGAATGCACCCTTTTCATATAAAGGATTCCAAGTAATGACACTGTTTTGATCTGTAATGGTGGTAAGATTATGCAAAAGACATATCACTGGTAGGTCATAAAAAGTCAAAATATTCCTGATGATTAATAGTCCTCCTTAAAAGTCTTAACTTCTTAAACTAGGCAGTTGCAGAATATCATGTAACAACAATATTTAAAACTGATCATGTTGAACCAAGACCAATCAATCAGTCAATTTACTTGATGGCTTGATAGTTGGCCTCCTTCTTTACCTTTGGATGTAGGATTTTACACAAAGTATGTTTGATGTCAAATTTTTTCAATTACAAAATACCTTCAATCATAATGGTCTTGAATGAATAGTTTTCATATTTGTTATTAGCACATGTAAAAAGGTCATATATGAGATAATTTCGTAGTTGTGTTTCTGACCTCCGAGTCTTCCTTTAATATACTGTACTGTAATATACTTTCTTTCCATAATTATTCTTCCACAGACCAAAGGATCTACAAGAAGTGATTCTAGTTATTCCCAGTGGTGTTTCCAAGCTGATGGATCTACTGTCAGACAGCAGAGAAGTCATCAGAAATGATGTAGGTATTTGTACTCATGAATGTACTGTACTGTAACTTAAATTTCATATCTCTCGTACTTGAGGCTATAAGACTGATGCTGTATGGTGCTTAAATACAGGAGGTCCTCGACTTATGAACGTCTGACTTAGGAATGCCTGCCAATACGAACAGGGTTAAACTTGAAATTTACAGTATTTTATATACCTGTTGGCTTATTTTGTACTTTTATTTACTGGATTTTGTCATTCTATTTCTTCTTTTGTCTTAAATTAGGTGATTTCAGCTATGATATTGTGGGATTTTAAACATTGTTTTGCAAGTACAGTATGCATATTAGCATGTGTTCCGACTTATGTACAAATCCGACTTGGGTACAAATCCGACTAGTGTACAAATCTGACTTGTGTACAAATCCGACTTATGTACGTCCTCAGGAACGGAACCTGTTTGTAACCTGGGGACCCCTGTAGTGAAATACAGATTGTGTTTTAACGACAATATTTTACACTTTCTCATGTACATGGCGAGTGAAGTACAGTATCTACAGTAGTTATATGCTTTAATAACAATATTTTTCTTTCTTCCAGACATTATTACTTCTGACACAACTTACAAAAAGCAACACCAACCTTCAGAAGATTGTAGCTTTTGAGAACGGTTATGATCACATGTTTGAGATCATCCAGGGTGAGGGGTTTGCTGATGGTGGTGTGGTGGTGGAGGACTGTCTCATACTGATGCTCAATCTTCTGCACAACAACCCTTCAAATCAGACTTTCTTCAAGGAAGGTAATTCACAAAACACCTAAGTGATTCTGTTGATCTCTTGTTAGTGATCACTTCTCATTGTTCACTGAATTTAGCTACTCAGATATCAGTCACATAATTATCCACATTATAGTTTATAAAGTGCTGAGACAACTTGTTGCAGTTGATTATGAAAATGTTGCTGCTTTATTTCCTAATTTACATGGTGAATTAGACAGAAGGGTGAATTATTTTATGAAGTACTGCACTGTATATAGTATACTGTTCATGGTGTACAGGAGGAGGAGGATGTTGAGAATGAACAAGTAAAAAACAAAGTATTTGGAAGAGAAACATAACATCTATTGAATGTTAGTTTGGTTGATGAGGAGCTAGAAGAGGTATAGAAATATAGGTACAGTATTTGAAGTTTATAAGTTTGTAAGAAATGACATTAGAGTTAAGAAACTGACAAGAGAGACTGCTAAAAGACGATGCAACATGGAGAGCTGTCATCAGATAATCAAGGCTAACCCAGAAAAGAGTGGAAAGTGGCCGTAAAACTTTGTTGATAATGATAAAACCAAAGATTTCCTTGGGACACATTAGATTCGAAACATATACCAGTATTCAAGGAAGAACAATTTGAAGGTAAGTTATGTGTGAGTTTTGTGTGGCTTTGAAACTAATTATGAAGGGTACAATATTATAAAAAGAGTAAGATTGATAAAATAGAGTATAAAGATGTGGGAAAGATGTATTAGATGAGGAATTCTTTAGAAAGATACCCAGATTAAAGTGTCCAATGATGCATTATGATTATTGATAGTTTGGATTAGGAGTAGAAGGTCACAGTTTATAGTACAGCTACAGAAGTGTTATAACCTGAAATCTGGGTCGAGGAGTTTGGTTAAAAAAATATTTCAACAATAGTTTTGGAAATTTATGTAATTTTTATGAAGACAAATTTGTTTTTATTACAATCACATGCACTAATTGTTTCAGGGAGCTACATTCAGCGACTTACATCATTCTTCTCATTGCCTCTGGACTCGAAAGATGGTTGGTCAGCACAAAAGGTCACCAATATCCACTATATGTTACAGGTATGTTTTCATGCTCCACCATAAGAGCACATTCAGTGTTAGAGTCTGTGTTGCTTTACCAGAACAGTGGAACATCCGCTATACAAAGCTTGTGTCACAGCCCTCCTCCTTCAAGTACACTATGTATACAGGGTGCCTGTAAAAGTAGTGTGTATACATTTTTTGAGACACCTTGTATGATGGCAGATACTGAATCTAGGATGGCTAAAGTTCTCCTTTATAAATCACTTACTTTGAAAGTGTGGGGAGTCACTTGTCTAAAACAGGATATTTCTGCCACTTTCCTACTTGTTACATTTAGTATTATCCACAATATTCTCCATCTCCACTTTTCCTCTAAACAACTTGTAAAACTCAGATATTTGGAATCTGTAAGTTACCGTAAATGATAGATAGATATGAATAAACAGACAGATTAATAGATTAACATAAGATTTATTATATATCATAATATGTTTCTTGTGGAGAATAGTACAGTATATTGTTAGTGTAGAATGAATTAAAAATTAACACAACAATTGATTGCTATTGTGTTTCAACAGCTAGTACAGACGATGGTAGCTCCTCAGAATCCAGCTCAAGCAGTTGCATCGTGTCAGAAGTTAATGAACCGGTGTGGACTTCTGCAGGCCCTGGCTGGTCTGCTCATGGCCTCAGGTGTCCCAGTAGACATTCTGACTGACACCATCACTACTGTCTCAGACATGATCCGTGGTAGTCAGCCCAATCAAGAATTTTTTGCTAGTATGATGGCACCTTCCACACCACCCAGGTAGTAACTGTAATAAATGTACTATGCTTAACAATAATTTTATAACTTGAATCACTTATTAACCACCTGTGTAAGGGATCCTCTCTGTGCTGAATAAAACCGTTTGGCATTAGCCAAAATAAATACCTCAAGTGGCAGCCCTGTAGTGAAGGGGGTTAAGTAAAACAGGAATGGCTTTACATTTTATAACTGAACGTAGGTTACACTTTACTCTTGTACAGTACAGTATTGTGTAACTGTTTCGATGACTTAGATGATCTAGAAGCTTGGAGAAAATTCAGTTGTGGAGTCTTAATGTTGGAAATGGTTACTCCTCACACTACAGACTTGTGAAACTGGCCGACCATAGGCTTAGGGTGCCATTGCTGCTGTCCCAGTCATCATGAAGTTTGCCCTTAGCCCTTGATTTCTTTGCAGAATTTTTCTGCACATATTTACTGTTTGTTTAAAAAAAAAAATTCCATTGATTAACCTTTAAATCAAATTGCTTAAGTTTGGGTAAAATTATGTTTGGCAGTTCAAGGCCAATCATCATTTGTGCATTTGTGTGTGAAAATATTTGATTGATTATGTACAGTACATTTATCTGTGCATGTTTTATTAGAGGTTTGTTGTGTTATGTTGTGCATATTAACTGTGTAATTTGATTCATAAGATATGATTAAGTGTGAGGGAGACTTACTGTAGTATTAAGAGTTTTGTTACACTAGAAATAAATGAAGATCGAACAAGTAGATGGTTAATATATGTAAATGTATAGTTTTATAAGAATATATATTGTTTTAATTTTCAGACCAGCCATTGTTGTCTTACTAATGTCTATGGTGAATGATAAGCAGCCCTTCATTCTGCGGTGTGCAGTCCTGTACTGCTTCCAGTGCTTCCTCTACCGCAACCAGACTGGACAAGCTCAGATTATTCAGACACTTTTGCCGCAGACTGCTGATGGTAAATATACTTATTTCATGAATAGTAATTCACAGAGTATATAGTAAATATAGATACCTACACAGGGAATAGGCAAATTTAAAATGAAATTAGAGATGGTTAATATATGGTAAAGTTTATGAAGCAACTTGTTTCATTTATGCATTTTTGGGGGGTTGAATAGTATATATATTTGTCATTTTTTAACTAGGGTAGAAAAGAATATGTCGTACCTCCAGAGTGTATTGAATATTTTACTTCTTGGGAAATATAATATAATATACGATAGGCAATGTCAACCAGAGCAGTCATATATGATGTACTGTACTGTACTGCGGGGAAGATGTGAGCAATACCAGAAATACCAAGGGATGTTAAGAAAAGAATGTCTTTATTTTTCTTCTTTTTAAAAGGATATTTAATGGCTGGCAGATTTTTACCAGGCAGCTTGAGTATAAGTGCAACATTAAACTTATGGCTTAGAGGCTTAGATTAATGAAAGGTGATGGTAGTGGTTGGGACTATTAATACATGTACTGTATGATTAGTCTTCCTCACCTACTGCAAAAATTACTGAAAGGGAGAGTAGAAGCAATGGTTTGCCCTCTGATAAACTAAAGGGAAGAGACCTGAATGAGCATGTGACATTGCAGTGGTTAGTGCACACACTGCTTTTTCTTTAGATCTGTTATGATAGTTTTCATGTATTCATTCTGGTCACACCTCCCACCGAACAGATGACCCAACTGTTCATTTCACAAACAACTTTGGGTATCAATCACTTTGTCTGATTATACATCATTTAGAACCATTTAGGGGTTTTAAACAAGCTACACAGTTATCAGTGTTAGTATGTAGCTAAGTTTTACTTATTTCATATTACATTATTATTTGTATTATTATTATGGTTAAGGCACAGTGGCTGACTGGAAATAGTGCTTGCCTCCTGTCCTAGGGGTCTTTTGCTCATGCCTGGGCACCATCAGTGTGCCCAGGTGAGAATGGGTACCTAATTTTGCAGTTATGGATGTGAAGGCAGCTAACTGCCTGCTTTCCCATGTACCAGAGGATAGTATTGAGTAATGTATTGTAACTACCAACATGTCTAAGGGATTGACTCTCTTTCACTCAGGAAGTCTTTGGAAAAATGCTTTACATGGGAAGAATTCTCAGATCCTTTCATGATGGATCACAGAGGCTCTTGGTCCCATTCTAGGTTGAGTAACTTCTTGAATAGAACTGGTTATTTTGCCCTGGTTTACAAATGATGGATCCAGATAAGACTGAAAAGACAGCTATGTCTGTAGTAACTGGGTAACTGCCTTTAACTTATTGGGGAATAACAAATGGATGTCTTGCTAGTCAGTTTGGTGTGTATCAAAGAGCTTATGTATCCCCAGTACAGTACCTACCAATATTGAAGGACAGAGAATTAACTGGCTGCCTGACGAGCTAGTAAGCTGAAAGTGGCAAAGAGGATAAAGCAAAGTTTGAGTTGTCATCCAATCTCTGATGTTCAGGATCAGTTCTCTATTCCTCACACATAGAGAACAAAGTCATAAAGTACATTGTTTTTGTCTTTCACTATTGCTTCAGTATATGTCGTGTATTTCCAGTGTAGAATTACTGTACAGGTAATTTCAGCATCCCTTTACTTTTTTATTTTATTTTACTCTGCCTACATGATTTTAAAATTGGTTTTATATTGCATTTCTGAAGTTATGATAATGAACTAAAAATTTGAAGATATTTTAATTCAATAAAGGATTAAGAAAGTGCATTGATTTTTTTTTTATTAATTTTTATATTATAATTGACTTATGTTTTGATCTTGTGTTCTTTTATAATTTATTGCAGTACGGTAGTCAGTAAGCCATTAAAAACTCTTATTAAAGTTTTAGTTTATTATTTAGTTCTGTATATAAAGTTGATGAAATGAAATTATGGTGTTTGTTTCACATATTAATTTTATTCTCTGTTGGTGGTGTCAACCATAGAAGGTACTTTATGAGAGGACCACAGGTTATGCATCAGGTTTGAGGGTTGTTAGTGGTGTCATAACAAAAGGCTCACGTATATGTTGCCTGGAAGTGAAGATTGTAATTGTGTCCTGACTTTGTGTTTGTGGAAACTAACAAAAACTTTTCATATTGTCTGCTTAAATCTCCTTCATCTTATAAACTAGCTGAGAAGAATTTGTTTTTAATGGCACCTTTTGTGGTGTTCAGCTACACTTATGAGTTACACCTTCTTAAAATAACTAAACTTATGGTTCCCTAAGTTTGTAGGTAGAACACTTCACATATGTTATTATATTAAATTTACTGACATTATATCATCATAGAATTCTTTGGAACTTTCATCGTTTCAATATATGCAGTGTACTGGACTTTGTACTTTATCTTTAGTTCATGGCCTGCTCTTTAAAGATCTTTGACTTATTTTGCCTATTAATTTTTACCTCACTTCAGTGTGTAATAATTCATCGCACCCAATAGTTTTCTGCGTATTGTGCCATGGTCTTTAATTTCATAGACCATTCACCTTTGCCTTCGATAGTTTTATGTGCTTGTTTCACCTGCCCCATTACACACAAATGGTACTTAAATGTTTTCATTCCTAATCTTTAAGTGTATTGTCAGAGAGTAACCTCCAGTTTTATGTGACTGTCAAGAGGCTTAAATTTTTTATTAAGCTTAGTTGCTGCAATTATTGTGTATAGTTTGCAGTGGTTGAGCTGTTGTATGTTCAGGTGTAGTAATCTCTACCTCATTCTGGTTCCTTATGAACTGTTCTTAATAATATTTGGTAATCTGGCTCCTATATGGTAGCTCTTGAGGTGTTTGATAAGAATGATATGGATATTCAGTAGTAAAATGATTTACATGTTTGTAAGTCTGTTTGTTTGTTAAACCCATTCCAACTAGATGGGGTAGAACAAACACTGTACTCAAGCCCCTCAAGAAACTACACTACAGTACTTGTTTTTATTCTCACCTCTTACTCACTAAGACAGATAAATTTATTTCAGACTTCATATTATTTAAATCCTGAACATCCCATTTGCCTACTAATTTGATTTTTACCATGAGACTTCTGTCTCTAGTTATCCTCACAGTCTTTAACACAGTTTTTGTACTCTGTCATGAGCTGCTGTTATTACTCACACGTCTAAGATTGCACCAGCTTAGTAACTGTTATAATCCATCTTACTCGGTGTACCTCATACCCTCACACACTACCTACATCTACAATATCATCAGTCTCCAGCTGTTAAATGATTGATTGGTTAATTGCTATTAACCCCTGACATTGCAACAGCTGCCAATCTATTCATCATCATATGTTCTGTATGACCGTACCACCTCAGTGTCACAGCCATATGTCATTGCATGGTGCATATGCAAATTTTACATTGATTTTTTGCTGTTTGACTTCTATTAACTACTAATATTGAAGAATTTGTGAATTTATATTAATCATCCATTAGAAGACCAACACCTAAATAAAGGTTGCAATTAAATAACCAACTTTATTTAGGTGTTGTACAGAATAGCTCCGTAAATAATCTTAAAAAAACGAAGTAGCAACACTTATGGAAGGTAGACAAAAATTCAAGTTAATCTGTACAAAATTGACACAATTCTCACTTTAGTAAAGTTAAATTAGAATATATGAAGGAACTTGAAGAGTGAAATTGTGGTCATACAGTAACTCAGAGTTGGTGAGCATAGTGTAGCCTTTACAAAACAGTTATTTTTCATAGATCAGGTACAGTGTCTGTCACACATGAACAAAGCCTTTATAAGTTGGAGCAATTGGGGTTAAGTAGCTGTTGCTTCAGTCTGTAGTGAACATACATTGACTGATTGATCATTAGATGAGTTGGAGTCTATATTTCTCACTGGTGTTTGGTATACTGTACAGTACGTCACCTGGAGTTAGTAGAGTAATGAGTACTTATTGGGTTTTTCTAATGGTGTATACATATGATACAGATTTTCACCGAGGCAGCCAAAGAGGCTTACCATATATCTTGACGAGACAGAATGTGAAGGAAAAAGATTGAAGAAGAAGAATACAGATCAAAATAGTTGCACCTTAGATACCCAAGTCTTGAGTGTGAAGTATGACCAAGAGGACAGAAGACTGATTAAAGGATTACAAAAATTCATTCACATATTTAGGAGAGACTTTCACCCAGGATTGAAAAATTAAAACACAGGAGACTTTAGCAAGATTTTCTTCATACCTGTACTAGTAATTATTATTATTATTATTATTATTATTATTTTTTTTTTTTAGGTCTTTGAGGATAGTCTGAAATGAAATTAATGAATCCGCTTCTATTATTATTATCTTGGGAAACATTGGTGTGTTGGGTGAGGCTTAGTTGGTGTACATATTTAATTGGTGGGTGAGTTGGGGAAGGACCAATTGGTGTATTTATCATTGAAACATTTTTAGAAAAGTGTATGTCAAGAAGAAGGAGGAGATTTGCGATTATCATGAAAAAAAGATGTGGCTAACAAAGAATATGATAGAATGTTCATATGGTAGGAGGCATGTAGAGAGAATGAATTTAAAAAAAAAGAAGAATTATTTGGCAACAACATGCTGGAAGGTTCTGCTTAAGGTAGGGCAGCAATGTGAGGGATTGTATGCCGTAGGTAATGGTGTATTGATGGAAGAACAGGTCATATTACACCCAAGAATTGTGTGGATGAAATAGGTGCAATACTAGTGAAATCTGCAGAGAGGTGAGGGAGGGAGGGGGGTAAGGTGTTGGGGTGGGTTCTGTTTCTCAGTACTGGGGATTCTAGTGAAAAGTATTGAGCGTGAATTTTAGTCTTTAAACACAAATCAAATAAAAAATATATAAAGTAGAAGAAAAATTAATATAATATAATTTATAAATGATAGATGGAGTAAATATGATTGGTTTTGTGTTGCAGCTGACCAAGTGCTTTGTAGTGTAAATATGACCAAAGAAAGAACAATTCTGCGATACAAAGTCAACTTCTCTGGTAGTATATATGATGTACTCTGTTTAAGACTGATTCTTCATACTGTGTGACTTTTTGATGCAGAGTTTGAGTATCATCCTCTGCTTCTTGTTTAGTGTTTGGCAGAAGAGTAAGACTGCTGGATAATTTTACTTCAACAGCTCACAGCTACTAAATAGTGTATTGTTTTTACAGTTGTACCTGGAGCTAAACCTTTTCGTAAGTTGCAGTTGTTTTGTGCACCTAACACCAGTTCCTTCAAAATTTCACCTAGGGATATGTTTTCTATGATTTTTAGCACATTGTTATTGTACAAAGGAAATGGGTATGATAATGAACTTATGATGGCATAACTTTCTCAAAGTTTGCTACTTTTAAATCTCATCTCCTGTTTGTGCATGTATGAAGTTTTAGAGTTTTTGTGCATGTTTTCACATATGAGGTGTTTATGTTGTGCTGGTCTGATAATTACACCACGTAAAACTTGGTCAGAATTGTAAAATATTTCTCTTGGTTTTGTTGTTGGATTTTTTCTGTCAAATAGCTGCCTTCCTTATTTTTATATTGATTTACTGTAATTTATTATTGTCCATATGTTTTCTTTATGAAAAATATTATATATGTTTTTAATTTTTTGAAATGTGAACTTTGGATTTTATAAGTAATTGATAAATAGAAGATTTCATATTATTTGTATTGGTCTTTTAAGGAAACACTTGATGTGTTTTTCTGATACAGTACTCTCCTTGTACTCACACTTACTGTTATGTCATGGTGTAAGGACTGTGTACTGTATTACCATATTCCTTAAGATACGGGCAAGTTTTTTTTACTAGACATACTTATCTTTAGCCCACAAATCATGTGTTGTCCAGTCTTCTCGAATTAATCCTTGACACTGGGTCATACATCTTGTTAACATAGGGTGTGGTTGTTTTGTTGGTGACAGCTTCTACACCTTAAATAGATTTACACTTGGACGGCCCTAGGGCCAGCCGTCCTCAAACACGAGGGACAACCATTAATTATATCTATCTGGTAGGTGGATACACAAATGAAATGGTATTCAATAAGATGTCAAACCAAATTGGATGTTTAATGATGGGTGGAAGACTGATGATGTAGGGAAGTAAAAAGGTGATTAGTAGTTCAATGGAGAAGAGAAATTATTGCTGGAAATTACTGCAGTTGTGGTGAGGGAGAACATAAACAACTCAGTCAGCTGCTCAAGCTCTGGGAGTTAGCTTTACTTTCATCGATGTTGTGATAAAAGCTTTGTAAGTAAAAAGGTTAAGGCATTTTAGAACAACTCAAACTTTTCAATGCTTTATTATTGAAGTTTAAGTATTTTGCTATTACAGTCTCTCCTCTACTTACGATAGGGTTCCGGACCGACGACCAGGTCCTAAGTCGAAAAGACGAAAATAATACATAGAAATTCTAAAATGGGTCTCTTTTTCTTCTCAGCACCACGAGAACTCTCACTTTTTATGCTTGCCAGCCAATTTAAATGGAATTACAAACGAAAATTTTGTCAGTACACAGCGCGATCACTAACGCCGGGACTCGAAAATGCATAATTTGAAAAATATTTTATACGACTGCAGCGGTCGTATGTCCGGGTGGTCGTAAGTTGAGAAGTGCCTTTACAGGTACTTCTTATAAGGGTGAAAGAATAGGTAATCAGACATAAAAGGAGGATCATTTACAAAATAAAAAAGTCTGGAAGGTAGTTTTCATTGTTTGACTATCATTATTATTTAATGTATTTATTTGTAATTGTTTATTTATCTTTATATACACTGTACTGAATACATTGTGTGTGTCCTCTCATGCAGCTCCAGAAATATGCAAACCATTTTTTAGTTTAAAATATTAAACCACACCCTGAAATAGCATCTTGGGGTTGCTCTTACAGCATAGTACCTCCACTGATTTATTCCTTGAACACAAAAGTGTGATGTTGAGCAGACAATTAATATGAAGAACATTTAGTGTGTGGCACCACGCTTCGGTGTCACTGGAGTTGACCGGATATGAATTAACAGGTGGATGAAACCGCTACAGAGAAAAGAATTGCATAGTGAGCATGTAATGGGTGTGTTTTGGACGCCGCTATATATTGGTAGTGTCTCAACAGAGTGGTGTATGTCTCCACATCTTCCTCTGACTCACTGTGCCAGAGAAAATGGAGAGAATTATTGATGAAAGTGGAGAAATATATATCCTGTATATATGGAAGTCTAACTGATGATTCAAGTCAATGAAAGAAGTGAATTACTCAGTACTGTACATTGTGAGGCAGTGTGGAAGCTGGAATTCAGTTTGTCTCAGGCAGAATGAGTAATGTCTGACTGAAAGCCTTTATCCAAACTTTATTTATTTACAGTATTTTTCTTTTTATTGTACAATCTACTAACTCTTATAAGATTTTGTGTCCCTATTCCACCTCATTTTGTTAGGAATAGAAAAGGGCAAACAGATAGATAACTACATAAACTGCAGTTACTTGAGGTAAATATTGGTATGACTCCCTATTGCTACAGTTAGGTTAGTTTAGGTTAGGTTGGCATTACAATACAGAGAATTAATACAACATTCCATTGATATTTCTTTGACTTCTTACACCTAATAGCCCAGGTGTACTGTTGAGAGTACAGTACAGTACACTACACTGCATTCTGTTTCTTAGTTTTCTTTTGTTTTCTTACAAAGTATTATTACAGTACAGTATTTGTTTATTTATGTTTAAGGTACAGTTGCCAGCAAAAGTCCTCCCACAACTTGCTATGCAGGGCTGTAGGAGAACTTTTGCTGGCAACTGTACATGTAGCAAAATTAACTCGGTTTTTAAATTATTTTTAATTTCTTAGCACTTTTTATTTCTTTGGCACTAAAGTGTGATAATGATCAGGCAACTTATTTGGGATATTGTTGCATTTGTCATTATGCTTCAGTGTCAGAAAAGTTGAGGTGATGAGGATTAAAAAGTGGATGAAACGCTCTGTAACTTGTACTCAGTGTGTGTGTGCAGATCGGGATTATGAAAAAACTTTGATTTTGTTTTTAAACTTTTTTAACAAAGACAATTCTAAGTGTGTACTGTACTAAGAGATACAGTGCATTTTCATTAACATGTAAATGCCACAAAGTTATGTGTAATCACAGCTGCTAACCCACCAAGTGTGGAAAATTGCCGTAAAATGGTAACAATGGTACAGTAATGATGAGATTGTACTGTATAACATTTAGCACATCCAGAACAGGGTGTACAGTACAGTATATGACACTACTGTACTGATTAAAAATTTTGGCAAAGCTCACTATTAATTTTAATTGTGCCTCAATGTGAAACCATGAGACACTGCCTGGCATCATCTAGATGTGTGCAGGTACCGGTATGTTTGTCTGTTGATGCTGTACCTGTATAAAGATTGAAGTCACAGTAAGTCCTTTTTTTTTATTTAATTTTAATGAAGTTTGACTGGAATGATCATAATAATATTTCATATGGATTATTTATTCATAGTTATTGAGGTTCTCTGACCTTCCTGGAGTGATCAGAAACAGATGTTGATATAACACAATCTGTTTTTAGTTCAGTTCTGTATGTACAGTACTTGTTTTATAGATGGAAAGGAACTACTTGTATACCTTATAGGAAGGCGATGCAGTACAACATTATGACCACCTCTCATCACCATGGTGGCCTGTTTATATGAGGAATGAACCATAAATGGGTTAAGTTAGAAACTGGGCCTCACTTGGGCCTGAGTAAACTAAGAAACATGTACTGTATAGAGTCAAGACTTGCTTGGTAACAGTTTGGAACTTGTTTGGTATTTGTTCAACAGCACATTGGTATTCATAGGGGCATAACATCCTGGGATTCATTAAGGAATATTTGTTTTAATGAACAAACTGGGAATTTAGATTACAGTATTTGATAAACTATGACTACAATACCAGTTGGGACTTTTTAATAAGTGTGTATGTGTGTCATGGAACTGAAAATACTGTATATAGTCCTTTGGTTGTATGGCTTTGTGAATGATTACATGCACAGTACAGGGTAATATACTGTATATATTTTGGACACAAGAAAAAGAAATCCAAAATATTTGCTGCTTCGCACTTGCATGACTTAATTATTTACACTTACGTTTTGTTTGATTTTCTGTGCACTGTGTTATTAGTTACATAACATGACTACTTAAAGTAAACCCATGCTGACTGACAAACTTAGGAGTAAATTCTGATTACCCGGTATTTATTTCTGTAAACTTAATTTTTTCTGGAATTACTTAATTATGTAGTCAGTGTTTTGTGTCTTGTTTTTAAAAGTAGAATTATCATATCCTAGATACAGTAACAGCCTATAATTTGGTCTTTTTTGTTTTTTGTGTGAAAACAAACTTAAAAAGAAAAGATGAGGTGAAGTTATTACCAAACTTGTAAATCTTCTGTCAGTTCTCATAGGGCTTAGGGTAAAACAGTGAACTGTTTCTTATACTGTTTACATATAAGCTGTGTTAAATATCAGTACGTGTAATTATAATTTTGTACTAGATTATATTGATTTTTTTTTTTATTATAAATAATGGAAGATGATGAATAAATTGCTATTTATTACTTTACCAGCAAACTCAGTGACAGCGGGACAACTCCTGTGCAGTGGGCTCTTCTCACCAGACCCGGTCTCCAACTGGTTTGCTGCAGTAGCTCTGAGTCACTCCCTAGTTGATAATAACACACAGAAGGTAATTAAGAAATAAAATCTTTGTTAGGAGTTCAGCTTCAACAAACAAGGTTTTATGACTACTATAGTGGATTGGGTGACACATGAACTGATCAACAAACTTGTGGGTTCTCAGGAATCCTCCAATTTTGTGATGAGGTAAATTCCAGAACTACAATAAAACTAAAAATTAGACAAAGGATTTCTCCTTGGTTAATTGCAGCCACTTGCCATGAAAGGCTCAAGGTTGTGTGAAGGATGAGAATATTCAGTGGCCATATTTTTACTGCTTGTGAAAGTAATGTTTCTTATTGGTAAATTTGTTTAAGATAGAGGAAATAGTCTATTTTATTTTTGTGTATGTTAAATTACTTTGTGTTGATTTCAGGAAAACATGTTGCGAGTACAGTTAGCTACCAGTGTGGGAAGTCCACCTGTGTCACTCATGCAACAGTGTACCTCTATTCTGCAAGCTGGAACAAAAGTACTCACTCGTTTTGGCATCCTCATGCTTCTTTCCACCTGGTTGGCTCATTGTCCTGTTGCTGTACAAACTTTCCTTGCCATACCTACGGCAGTCCCATATCTGACTACTCATGTAAGTCGGCTCTGGTAAATTTAGTGAAATTCAAATATTTGGTAATCTGAAAACTAAAGATTGTATGTAATAATAAGTAGTGACTATAAATCACTTTAAGTTGATAACAAATGCAAATTTGGTAGAAATATTGAAATTGTTCTTAATTAAAAAAAAATTATAAAAAATTTTCCACATCTTTAATTCATTTTTACAGGTAGGTGCCAATGAGCATGATGAACTGGAGATGGTTTGTCAGGGTCTCTGTGCATTCTTGCTTGGTCTCTGTGTCCAGTTTAATGATGGCAGTGGCAGTAACTTTTCAAGGGAAAGTCTCAAGCAACTTGTGACTGATCGTATTGGTGCAGAGAATTTCAGTGATAAACTAAGTAATATTTCTAGAACTGAAGTATATACAAAAGCTGCAAAATCACCTCAACAGGCAGCCAAGCAACCTTCAGATCTAGTGTTTGATCACGAATTCTGCAGACTCTTCAAGAGTTTGGAAGGTAAGATCCCACACTTCCCAGAACCATAGGAGTGACTCACTCTATCCTGCCCATCATAGGGGGAACCTGTGCTGCATAAATGGTTCCTTGCTAGTCAAGACAGAATGACCAAACCTTACAATTTTTTGTAGGTATTATGAATAAATAGTAATTATTATTACATCCCAATACAGTAGCTTTATTTGATATTTTTCATCACTGCTAATAGTGGATCAAGCAAAGTTCTTCATTAATTAATCTAACTTTGAACTACTGTACCCGGTACTGTATTTAATCTGAAGTTCAGCTTTTGCTGCATATATCTTAACCAAAGCTCACCAGTAGTTTGAGTGATACAGAGGGAATTTGAGGTCATGGGGTCATAAACCATTCTTAAAAAAATGTTTTTCATCATGACTTGCATTTTACAATGTTTATTGTCGTGGAACTTCATATCCTGGTGTTCCTGGCAAAGAAGATGGTGGTGGTACAGTGTCTACCTGCTATGTCTTGGGTTCAGTTCCTGGTCCAGGGCAAAATCTAAAACTGAAGTTAATACAAGATTACATGGCCTTTCCCTCCCTTATCATAGTCAAGTTTTACGTGCTCAGTTGACGCTGCTCAGTTTACAGATTTTTATTTTTAGGTGTTTTCCAGTGTTTCATACTCTGTAAGTTATGGATTTTAGTGGATTATGCATAGTTTGTATCATAATTTGGTGGTCCACAGTTTGGTGAATCACAAATTGACATTTCATGGACTGGGTGTGATCTACAGTACCCTGTGAAGTATACCTTTAAAGGTTTAACTTTGTCATAGCTGAAATGTTTTATATATTTTTTTAATGTTTCAGTATCATGTGTACGAGCAGTAAATCCTCAGCTGATGGGTGGCAACAGCACGGAGGTGTGTCCAGCAGAAGTCATTAAATACAAAGACATAATACGTGACCAAGATGCTGAGATGAACCAGCTGAGAGAGATCTTGTCAAAAGTCCAGAAAGAATTGAAAGAATTTGAAATTGATAAAGAACAACTGTCAGCCAAAGTCCAACAACTTCATGATGAAAATACCGGTGAGTATGGTGTAGTATAATATAGTGTATTTTATTGTTCATTCCTTCATTTTGAAAAAAGGTTTAGAAAGTATATTGTAGAGAAAAGTTGGTGTGAAAGTCTAGTGAGAAATATCAAAGTGGTTATACACTGGACAAAGTGTAGAGAAATAAGTAATGAAAATATATACAGTAATCTAAAATTTTCTGTCTATAGTGCTGAAAGCCCAGCAAGGTATTGCAGTAGAAGCTACAGGCTCATCCGCACAAGTTAATAATTCAGAAACAAAGATTGACGGCGGTGCTGGTGGTGGTGAACAGTTAACTCAACAAATGGCACTCTTGCAGCAGCAGTTGGCTGAAGTAACCCATGCAAGGGACTACTATTATTATGAAATGTACAAGAAGAATACTGAACTGACAACCTTGGTGAGTACAGTACAGTACAGTACAGTACTTGGCTTATGGAAGGATGATTTTGAAGAAGCATCCTTGTTGGAGCAGATTTAACCTGTATTTTTCTGAATATATTAATAAATGTTTTTAGATTGAGCTTTGGAGGAAATACTGTTATTGCATATCACTCATCCAGAATGAGTTACATGGATTTTGAATTACCAAAGGCAGCGAGTCAATAGGTGCTGTTACTCCACACCACAGGGCATCATATCTGTATAGGTCTGCAAGAGTGAGGAAAGCTCATCAGAATGTTGAACCCTCTCTTAATACCTGAAATGTTGACATATTGAAAATATAACAACTATTTCTAATTGACGTAAGTTTTATATTCATTTTTGATGAGTTGGTATGGTAACAGTATTTAATTCAGAGATAGAAATTCTGAAATTTAACGCATTTTACTTTTAAACCAAACCCAGGGTGCCACACGCTTAAGAATTGTCCTCTTATCATATTTTGTTTTTATCAGCAACAGCAGCAGCAGCAACAACTAGAACAGAAACAGCAAGAGCAGCAGGAGCAGTCAGTTCAACAGGCAGCAGCTATTAATGGCCCACAGGTATCATTTCTTTTATGGTTTTATGATGTTCAGGAGCTTTTTTCTGGTTTTATGTTGTATGAGAACAGTGACATAATCAATTATCCTCACTTTTCTTTTTTACACAACAGGTAAACAATCACCATGACATGCAAAATGCAGCCAACTTCTTTGACACTCTTCCTAACCCTGAGATGGAAAACCTGCGTAAACAGTTAGAAGACCTGCAGCTCGTCCTCTATAATAAGGACTCGGAGATACAACAGTTAAAGGAAACATCTGCACAAACTTTAGCACTCACAGCAGCAGTAGAGAAACCAAATGGATTGACTGATAAAGAAGCAGAGGTATGACCACAGATAATGTAAGTGTAGGCCAAGGTAGGTAGGTAAGACCACAGATAATGTAAGTGTAGGCCAAGGCACTTGCCCGGTGGACAAGCAAATACTTTGAGAGGAAAATACAGTACCTAGACAGAAATTGTCTGGTGCTGTGTAACCCAACTTCACTGTACAGTACTTGTTTAACCAGGGAGATCCATCAACAGACCACTTTTCAGCAGTGTACCAGGATTAGTGACCTATGTCAGGTGCAGCTAATTTGTCTCAACATTAAGCCGTCAACCCGCCTCTAGTCAGTCGCCAAGTTGAGAATATTTCAAAGGAATCACTAAGCTGAGAGGCTATAAATGTAAGGTGATAGGAGTTATGACCTCACATGACAAGTGTTACTGCCACTGAAACCATTTAGACAGACACAAGTGATCTGTGAGTTGATATACACAATAAATTTGAATGTTTTAAGATGTTTATTTAACTTTTCTCTTAAAATCTGGCCAAGAAAATTACTGCCAAAAATTGGTCAGGGCGAGTAAAAAAGATACCCAGGTAAGTAAATTTCAAAAGTCACTTGCTTGGGATAAGTAAATGTTCCACATAATCTGCACAGCCTAGTTTAACCCTTCCCTGCCCTCCTGCTTAGATTGAAGATTCAGGCCCCATGGTAATTGTTGCTAGAAGTTGAATGCATTTTATGTATTTCCTACTTCTGTTTTGGGTGATCTTGTGATTTTTTTTTTTTTTTTTTTTTTATAACTAACTGTACTGAGTTAATTAAATTTACAGTGTATACCTTTGGCATGGAGTACAGTATCATAACGTCATGGAAGATACCAGAATTACTGTGTCACTGACATGAAACAATAAATGATAGAGTAATGGTAAAAATAGCTTTATGATTATAACCACTAGGTATCCAGGTGTAGAATTTTGTGTAAATTGAAAAATGTGTGGTACAGTAGACCTTAAATTGTTCTCCACCTCCAATAGCTAGTGCACAGCAGATATTTTTCTCCTGTAGTTTAATTAATAAAATGTTAAGTTAATCATATTTTTCATTGTCATCACTAATTTTTTGCAGTTATTGTGGCATCATTATTCCACCCCTCCACTAAGTTCAAAACAGTCCAGGGCCATCACAGATCACTGTTGACCATTGATGCCACACTGCCTTTATGTTGTCATCATTAAAACATATTATTTTGTTTATTGTATTCTGTTAATATGAAATCATTGCAGATCTCCAAAGAAGACAGAGATAAAGATGCGAATATGATAAACACTAAGCTAGAACAGGAAAACATATCACTAAAACAGGAAGTAAAAGATGCTGAGACTCATATAAAACAGCTCCAAACTCAGCTTGCAACAGCAAGTGCAGCAGCAGCAGCAGCGGGAACAAGTGCAGGATCTGCAACTGAGGCAAGATGCAGGCAATTGGAAGTAAGTCAAACATTTAATATTTCTTAGTTTTCTTGTGACTAATTTTCATGGTGTGCTTAAAGAACTTGGGATGTGTTGTTGAAGATATGATTTTACAAGAGATTGACATCTTAGAATATACTTAAAAGTGGAAAATTTTAGGTAATAATTGTGTGCATTCTTTGCTGATTCACCTCCTTATAGAGTGAAAAGCAAAGAAAGTTTTGTATGGAGAAACCGTGTATATTGGGTGTTGGGTTGGTATAGGTACTATAAAACCTTTACTCTCTCCTTGGTCACTTAATTATTCTACTTGTGAAAAAATTCTTTTGTAAAAAGAGATTCTGGGAAGTACATATATATATATATATATATAATTTTTTATTTATTTTTTATTTAATTTTTTTTTTCAGGAAGAACTGCACACCATTAAGGGAGAACAAGACGACCTCCTAGTTTTGGTGACTGATCAGGATAGCAAGATGTCTGAATACAGAAGGAAGCTAAGGAGTTATGGTGAGGATGTTACAGAGGATGAAGATGATGATGAGGAGGATGAAGATTATGGCATCAGTGACGATTATGACGATGATCTGGAAGACCTTCAGTGACAAATGGTATTCTCCTAAGGGAGAATACAATCATTAGAATACAATCAATTTATACATTACATTATATGATCACTTACTCATTCTAAAAACAAGGATGGCCATCACAGGAAACACCTTCATATGTTCTTCATCATAGGATTTTTGTTGTACATTTTTACAAATTTAAATTATGCTTATAGAGACAAAAACATACACACAAATGTTGAAAAAGCACATGTGCAGATTAGACCCATTGTTATAGGTGCTTCATGATATATTTATTAGAGCCTTTTTTATTTCTTTATACATTCTTCCATTATGACAGTTCAAGAAGTAAAGGTCAAAGTTGAGACATAGGCAGAGTGTCTATAGAACTGTGATAATCATTAACACTAAAACTCTAAATGTTAATGGTTCAGAACTATTAATGTATTTTTTTATTTAACTGTTACTGTGGGTAGATGTTGTCTGGATCTCGGCTCAGAGTAACCAACTTGTTGAGTTTTAGGGCAATAAATGTAGTACTGTAGTATAGTGTAGTGAAGTTAGGAAGAACTAGAAGTTGATGTATTTTTAATACTGTTAGTTGGGTCATTTTAAGACCTACTGTATATCTCTTGTAAATCTTTCAAATGTAGATAGATTTTGAGGAAAAAATTTTATCAAGTTTTTGAAATTTAATAATCCTCATAGTAACAGCTGCTGCAAATTTTAATTTAGAAATTATTATTAATAATTTGCTGTTTTTGGGCTTCATGATACAGGTATATATTTATAAATATATATTTTTTTATTTTGTGGTTTATACTATAGTTTGAGAATCCATATTCATTGATGATGTGTAGGCTAGGTAGGAAAAGAACTTAGAAGTGGTAGCCATGCAAAAATGATGGTAATTGACTATTTTATTGAAAATTAAGATATATGTAACATTATAAGTTTTCATTTAGAATTAATATTACAAGTACCATAATATATCCCCTGCATTTATTTCAGTACAGTACTGTACGTGTGCGTGTGTGTGCGTCATACACAATAAACCCTCCCTAAAGCACGGTACAGTATTGGGTTAGGTTTGAACAGGATTTAAATACCACGAATTGTCATTCACTGAAGCTTTTGGGAAATAAAAGGTTACATTCCAAGTCCCAAACTTAACGTAACCCAAAAATTCACTTAAATATCTGGGTATTTTTTTTTTCCATATCTTTTATGTTTAGTGAGTCTAAGAGGTATTCAGTTAAACAATACACTGGCAGAACTTTGAGTAAATCCATGGAAAAGTTGATATAAACGTGTGGGTACTACAACAAGTGACAGGTTTGCTCCCCTCTGAGTTGCAAGAAACATCATCTACCCCACTCTGTTCTAACTGGATCATCTGAGTTGTCATGCTTATCTATTATGTGACTAACACAACAGTTCACTACCAGGGTATATTATTCTTGAGAAAGTATCTCCCTCCCTCTCTCTCATTGTCCCCTTCTTCCTCTTCTTTACTCCTGGGAGGAAAAGAAGAAAAGGAAAGGGAGGGAGAGTCCCTTTCTTTCACTTAAGGAGGGAAGAAGGTAAAAGGGGATAAAGAGAGGGAGATTTCCTCTTTCTCTCTCTTGGCATTAACTTACAAGTTTTATAGAAAACAAAAATTTAATGATGGCTCATTTAAATAGTGGTGTGTTCCTACAAAATATAAAACCCACAATCAGAAAGTTATGAAAAAAAAAAGTGAAGTTATAGTCAATGTAATGGACTTCAGCTCTATGGCAGACACATATCTTTCCCCTCCTCTGAGCCTGCAAGAAGCTCCACACCCTCCATCTTTGGGCCAGATTGAGTTGCATTATATATTTACCTTATTTACGCCTTCCTTTTCTTCCTACCTCACGAGAACAAGGAAGAGCAGAAAGAGGGAGGGGGAAGGAAGTAAGATACCAACACTGACATTTTCCTGCCTCTCACTCAACAATGGAGAAAGAAAGGGGGGAGAGATTTTCCCTTCCTTCCATTTTCTTCTCTCACAATCTCTCAGTAAAGTGGAAGAGGGTAGGAGAGAGAGAAGGGAGTGAGAAAGTTGTCTTGTTGTAAATGATTTCTTTGTTTCTTACTCTTCCACAATTTCTCTTTTATAGGAAAAAACTATTTTTGATAATAAATACTTAAGTATTGGGGTTTGCCTATAGAAAAACAAACAAACATCTGATAACAGAAAAACTGAAAGAATTAGTGAAGCCAGAGTCACTGTGGCTCAACCTACTGGTAATCACTTGAGTATGTTTGTTGGTCAGTGCATGCATACATCAGACAGGGAGAGAGAGAGAGAGAGAGAGATTACAGGTCGTGGTTTGCCCTAACTAAGACATGGTGTGATGAGTCTTGACCTTGCTCAGCTCCTTGTTTCTGCTGCACAGATTGGAAAATTACCAGGGGTATGTTTATTCAGCATGATCATACTGTACCTGTATACAGTATATGTGTATATAGAGTACAGGTATATATAAAGTGGAAGAAGTAGTGCAGAAGTTTTGTAGGATATAATTTGGTGCTATGGGGCAAAATTTATTTATTTGCCATTTTTTTATATGAGACTGTTGTAAATCAAAAGCAGTCTCATAACTTCAGTCATAATTATATATATATGTATATATATATATATATTTTTATTCTTTACACATTAATAAGTACAGTAGTCTATTAGTTTAATTTGTTCTCTGTTAACATTTTAGTTATTGTGTAGTGATTTTGAAAATATTAAGTCAAAGGTCAAGGTAAAATTACATTGAGGTGGGTTTTTTTTGTAGGGAAATGGCTATATATTATACCAATGCTCTTATTGTTAACTGTGTCTTAAGTGCTCATTTGAGAATCAATGATAAATGAAGTTATCTCTGATCTACTAAATTATCTTTATTGTACATACTGTTGTTTGGGTTAATATATGAACATTAAAGAACTACTGTAGTAGAATTAAATGCAAAAATCATACGTGAACTCCTTTGCTATCAGACTGAATATTTGGTCATTTGTTTGTACAGTAGTTAAGTCCCTGTTTAGTAAAATATACTACAATACACAGAATAGGTAAAGGTTAATGTTTCATAAATATGCTGACTTACTATAAGGCTTCCATATGCACAAGAACTCTTTATATCAAGCAAAGGTAGAGAGTTGATGGAAGAAACTACTGTCCATAGGTTAGGATATTGAATAGCATACTAACAGTGCTATGGCAGTAGAGCTCACTGGAATATCAATCCGGTAATTTTAATTAGTAAGATAAATGCCACTAAGGCTTATTTAGATATGTAATGTTACTTATTGTACAGAGTTTAAAACAAATTATTATCTGTATTTAGACTTTATGCACTGTACACTGCTAACCTACATCACATTGTTGCAGTTTTGACCATACAATATTACAGGTGTATATAATACTTGGGGGTAAAAAAATCTTTGCTATGAATATTATAAGTGTTGTGTGCTGTAGGGCTTTCCGGGTCTCTTAGTTTGGTGAATCTTTTATGAACATGAGACAAGTGATAAGTTGATGTTTTAAGATTCATATTAAAGTAGATGTTTTCTTAATGTTTGTCTGAATTACAAATATCAGACTGAATTCTTTATATGTCTGAAAACTAACAGCTAGTCAGTAGGTATTGTGGAAGTATAGTGGTACATGCTGTGTAAAGTGTACTGTATCATTGTGTTTCATCATTCTTGTTATTTGTGTGTTTTAGAGTTAAATATTCATGTGTAATGTTAAAGCTCAGGAAAGATGACTATATAAATGAAATCATTATCCTTGCTCCTGGTCTTCATGTACAGTACATTGACCTTGGAAGCACTTGCAGGTTGTATGTTATTGAAAGATTTGATATACAGTATATATTCCAACTTTCCTCATCAAGGTGACTTACAGGTACTTATGAACTATGGTACACTGTAGTTTGCTTGTTTGTATCATCAACATACAATTCCATGACTTAATTCTTTAACCAAATTTGCTGGGCGTTGAAAATGACAGCCACAACAAAGTGTGTTATCACAGTTATAGGAAGGTAGGAGAAGAAGACCTGTATGTATGTATATGTGTGTGTGTGTGTGTGCAAGTTGTATATGTGTGTGGTGCAATATAAATATACAGTAGCAGTGTAAATATCCTCTTAGTCCTTTTTCTTACTATATTTGAAGGCTTTTAAGTGGAATTCACTGCTTTGATTCTTTTTATCTTCAATCTATTGCATACAGCACTTTAATATTAATTTCAGCAGACATTTAATAAACTCCTTGATTATTTAATCCTCTTTATGTCCTACATACTGTACTGTACTTTTTTCATGTCTAGATCAAGTTTATCCAGCACAAAACTATTATAGTGTAGTTCACTCTCAAAACTTTGTGGTATTTCAAATAACAACTAGATGTTTTTTATAACATACAATTCAGAGAACTTAAATGATGGGATCTCATGATTTTGACCTGTGGTCTTTTCAATGCTATGTTGAACAACTTGATGAAATTTGGTGACATTCCCATAATCATTGGGGCAAATATCTGTGTTTTGACAAACTTTTATCTAGATGGACAAGACAAACTGACATAACAAACAGCATATGTCCCTAAACACAGACACTGGGATCGTGTAAGCTGCTGTAATCACGAAGAAAGGCTTGTTGATGGAAGGGAAGTACTGTACATTAAAGTCCACTTTAAGTTGACATAGTTGTTAGTGTAAGAATCAGTTGCATAGTAAACTTGGTCTTCTTTTGTAGTAAAATTAGACTTATGGGTAGTTTTAATTCTGCTAATGCAAGGAAATGTACAGTAGTAGCATTTGTTCATGAAAGAAATAGGTGTCAGCAGTTTGCCTAATCATTCCAAACTGTGACCCACTTATCAATACTGTAACTGTCCTCTTAAGTCACTGTAAATCTTTATTAACCAAATACTTTAGGCAGCAGAAGAATCACCAATCAGCACATGAGGCTCATGAGGTGCAAGCTTAATATCCGAATCCACTACTTTTTGTTAGTTGGTAATATGAGTTTTAAACCTCCATCCAGCTGATCAATGAGAGCTAAAAGCTTCCATCAGTGTATATCCATCGAACATTGATAACAGTAACTTGAATAATTTATGAGGGTTATAAAAGTATGGTGCCCAACTTGTGAAGGATATTTATTGACCTGTTGATTCTCACTTCATGACAGGGCAGCCCCCAAGGGAAACAGTGTACTGTACTGTATTTGTCACAGCTTTGTGCAGTATTTAAGAATGATTCAGTTGTTATTTATAAGTTGTAAGATACATTAGATGTCACACAACAATGATAATGCATACTTCTCATTTGATTGCTTTTGGGTATCTAGTAGATTTAAGCCATAAACTGTTTATTTATTCTGTATTCAATATAGTTTCCAACAGGTATTGTCTCCTGCTTCCCATTCTGTCTTTACAATGCAGGTTTTCTCCAGACCCCCTGGTTTCATCTTGTATAGTACTAACACTGGCCCTATAAAGGGCAGACTAATTAGGAATACTTGTAATGGAGGATGGATTAAACAAGCCACCAGCTTCCCTCCCTTGGCAAGTAATGAATGAGAAAAGTTAATATCCAGACAATCACCCATATTCCTCCTCCTCTCGGCTGTAAACTAGACTATCATTTTGTCCTTGTGTATCACTTATGATCTCTACTCTTCTTTCCTCCCTGTGACGTACCCTAATTTATCCGTCCTGTGTAAAGTAAGTGCATAAAGTCGGTTTTCATTTTAGTTTTATCCTAGACGACAAGGAATGACTGACATCCTTGAGGAAGTGAGTTGTCCAGAAAGTTGACACACAATAAATAAGCTCACTGATGATGTACAATATGTGTTAGACTTGTGCTAAGTGAAGGTCCCAAAGATCAGTGGATTCAGGTTTGGAAAATACCAAGAGTTGTTACGAATAAAGAGCGTATGTATAATTCATTAGAAGTTTTTCACCTCTTGATGCTTATAAAATTTTGATATCAATAAAAAATTATGTTGTTTCACACTTTTTGATCACCAATTGTACAATGTGTCACTAACTACATGCCCTACTGATAAACACTGCAATGTATATATATATATTTATTCAATTTTATCTCATAGTTCCAGAAACAAAAGCTGTAAATGTAAATAGAATGTATTTATAGCATGTGACTACTGTACTGTGTATGTTTATATTATGGAGATTTAAATTCTTATTTGGAAGGATATTAATCTGTGGATCTTTCCTTTTTATACATTACCCTACTTGATAGGCTCTCTTGATACATGGGTTGGTTGGTTTTCTTCGTCATCTAATGGCCGAACACCTTCCTTTAATCAACTCGTGTGTTTCGCACCAAGTCCATGAATTGGAAACCTAGATAAATCCTCAAACAATCGTACCTCGAATTAATTCATTAATTAGTTAAAGCGTCAATTCACAGTTCAGCCAAGAACCTGAAGCTTTTGCTATAGAAGTAACAACTATCATTTAATGTGAAAATTAACAAATTTTAACACAGTAGTGTACAGTACACATATCTCCTGTCTGCCATATTGTAATTCCAAACATCAGTCCCTCCAGTACGAGCAGACTCGGCCATGACGTGGGATTTTAGGGTAATTCCTTCCCTTCTTATTTTGTTTTGATTTTTTTCTTTTTATTTGTTATTATCTAAGGCTTGTTAGTCAACCTTTTTTTTTATCTTCTAATAAGAAAGATTTTCTGGTGTGACACATACATACTGTACAGTATATGTACTGTACAGTATTTGGGAAAGAAAAAATATTGGCCATATTCCTTTTAAGTAATTTATCAATTATTGATGGATATAGTCAATATTCTACATTGTTATAAGAATTTATTGTTATACAATAAATTGCTGAATTTTTATCTTGCATTTATTTAAAATGGGAAATAACCACTCAGTGCTGTCACTACAGTACTTCATTACTGATATTCTTTCATACCTGTACAGAGTTAAAGAAACCTCCAAGACTTATTACTAAAAACAATTTCTGGAAGACTGCAGTTCAATACTGTACTGTCATCCTGTCTGATCACCAAAATGTGTTAAATACTATTAGTTCATTGAGAACTTTTAAAAGAAGGCTACCAGACTGATGCCTACACTACAACACCTCAAGTACATGTACTAAGAGAGGTGATTTACTGAAGTTTATATGCACCCCAGAGAACATTACTCAGTCACGTTCATATCTCAAGTTTGTGGATGCCCACCACACTAGAGGTCACAGCCTCAAATTAAAGAAGCCTCATGAATAGAAATTTAGCAAAGCAAGCTCTGGAGTAAGAATTATGTAATCCTGGAATAACTGGCCGGAGAATGTTGTGAGACGGCACGGAGTGTGAGCTTATTTATAAGCCTTAAATAACTGTAACCATCAGATGATGTTAGCTGTAGGTATGGCGACCAACATCAATGGATGTTTCATATTTCTTGCATGTCAGCTTTTGTACATATTAGGGAGCCAGATTTGACCAACACTGTCTTGTGTTCAGGTACATACTAGAGCCAGTACTGTACTTGCCAACAGAGAAATTACTGATCGGCTATAGAGCTGAGCAGTGGCCAAGAGGATAGTGTTATAAAGAGGATATATGTGAATAAAAGAACATTTACAAAGGCAGTCATAGAGAGTCCATCTACCGGGGTAATTAATTTTTCTCATCATTTCTCTCCTCGTCTGCTTGCTTTCCTGTGTCCTGTTTTCTCTTTTATAAAACAGTCATGGGCTGTTTGACGGCATTTATGATGACCTCCTTGCCCTGATCTTGTTTCAAGAATACCACCTTTTTGAGGCTCTGGAGAGGTCTCGAAGTTTCGATATTTTGAGTACTACTAGCTAATAATTCCCACCAGGAAACTTGCTTTGAGACTCCTCCAAAGCTTCGAAAAGTGCAGTTATCATAAATGGCGTCGTACACCCCATAACTGTTCTTGAATGTACAGTAGACCACGATATGCAAAGGGTTTGTATTCCCGTAATGCCATTTGTTATGCGAGAACCGTGTAACAAATGGTAGAGCCCGTGTACTATTGGAAGTTATGTTCCTGGGAGAAAAACTGTTGGTCAACTGGGATGTTTTTCACAAAGTTCATCACTATATATATATATATATATATATATATATATATATATATATATATATATATATATATATATATATATATATATATATATATATATATATATATATATATATATATATATATATATATATGTATGTCCTGTAAAAGTAGTATTAAAGAAAAAATTTATTAAAAATGATGAATAATGTACAGTACAGTTATGCATATTCTGGATAGCCAATCAGCCAATCCGTCTTGTCAACATGACGGCTAAAGTTCGCTTTCGTTAAAGGGGTTTACACACAAAAAAAGGGGTTAATGTAAAATAGAAAATACGTAAGTTAGGATTCTCGGGATGGTTATGGACCATTATCAGTTAAAATAAGACTATTATTGTTTTTTGTCGAATTTGTGCATTTAAGTGATTGGCACCTTTTCTTCTTTATATAGTGCTCAAGCAAACATTCATTTAAACCAACAACAAGAAGGTGTGAAGCACTTAATTGCACAAATTCGAAAAAAATATAGTCTTAGTATCACCGAGAATGACCCATATCCTATGAATCTTAACTTATTTTTTTTTTACCAATACCTGTTCCAGCTGCCACTTATTTGAATGTTCTCATCACTTAATAGCTTACAGTCCATAGACATTGTTAATTTGAATCAATTTAGTTTTTTAATACTCTTTATTATTTTTTAACATAATTATATCTAATATATTATACAGTGGGAAAAGAACCATCAGTCACGTTCTAAACAATGTATTTATTCCAAGTATTGGTCAGACTGCAACATTAGTTGGGCTTTGTTGGTGCGTTGTCTGAAAAACCAAAATGCGCACAACATTTACAATACCTGGGGCCTGAGATAAGCTATTCTCGAGGTAAGGAAAATTTTGTCCAAGCAAAAAATCTCTTAAAATGTGTGTTTGGAAAATGTACATTGTTGGGTAAATAGTGGAAGACTGGACTCTTGCCTCCCATAGCTTGGTAAGTCGTAATGGTATGTACCAGCCTCCCGATATGAGCCTTATGTGACAACCAAGCCTGTGGTGGTTCCTTTGGTAGACTAATGCTTATGAGTGACTATGTGCTGATCCTAAAACAAAGGTAACTCACCAAATTAGTGTCTTTTTACTGTTACTTTTATCCTCTTCACCACTGATCGGCTCGTTAGCCTCTTGGGTGATCGGTCACGTCTCTGTCACGCACTGTTGGCAAGTACTGGGCATGCACCGGCTCCTGAATGTACCTGAACCTGCTCCAGTGTTGGTCAAGTCTGGTCTTGAAAGAGCTCACACTCGGTGCCGTCACAACACTCTCTGGTAGATTGTTCCAAGAGTTCACAACTCTCACTCCGAAAAAGTTTGCCCTCACAGTTTTCTGGACTTGCGGCTTCTTCAATCTTGAGCTGTGACCCCTTGTGGGGCGAGCGTCAGCCGATCTCTGATGGTGAACAGCGAGCCGATTCGCTGGAGTATTATGTTAACTTGTTTCTGATATTTGCCAAAACCAGCAATACCAACTTCGGTGGCTAAATAGTGAACTAACAAGGTTTAACTTCTGTGCAGGAACGACAGTGTGTCGGTCGTGTTCTAATGTCAGCATTTAAAAATTTATGAATATAATGTTGCTAAGTGACGAAATGCCCGCGAACTGCCAAAACCCGTGTTGTAAACGTGCAAAGTACGATGGTCGAGTCAAACCTGCTGGAACAGTAAATGTCAAGACAGACTAGGACTTACAGCAAGACGCTAGACTAAAACATGAGACCACTGTGTTTGGTTGCCCCGACATTGCATAGGATTTATAACAATTGAATCATTTTAACAATATCTGCAATACTATATAGTTAAAAAACTGAAATAATGCTTATAAAGGGGTTTCACATGGTTTTTTGCACACCTTTCATCAAAGGTGTTGTGCAACATTTATATTACACTATGTTGTCAGAACGGTTGTGTATGTATAGCAACTTTTAAGAAAAAAATATATGTTCATCTCGCTATAAATTTTGTCAGTCGTGCTTAACGTAGTCTTAAACGAGGATAAACACATTGAGAAAAAAAATAATGGTTGGGAAAGTAGGAGAGCAGGGGCACGTTGTTTACAGTAGGGTAGAAAGAGGTGTGGCCCGAGGGGTGTGGCTGGCGGTGTGTGAGGCTGGGGTAGGAGGGAGCGGCGGGTGGAGAAGTGGCCGGTGTGGAGCCTCACCCTCCCCCAGCCTGGGCCAGACGAGACGCCTCAGAGCTCAGACCTCACTTAGTCAGTTGTGGTGTGGCAGTGGTGGCGTCGACAGTGTTGTGTGGAGCCTCCTGTGACCGGTGAGGACCCGGCCAGTCCCCACGTGACACCTCTGGAGTATTTACTATAAAGCGACGCTGCACACTTAACCATCATCAGATAGGCAGACAAAAGTAAGTACTGTACACATTTATTACATTTCACGACTCAGGCAGTTGCACACCATGTTTATATCCATTTTAGGCATCTCATTAGGTTATAATAATTATGCACCACGACCGAGATTTTATTCAGTAAAATCTTCATACCAATTTACATTAGTTCACCATGTACACAGACAGTACAGGTATATATTATACTTAGTTTTAATGTGTATGTCTCATTACAACTAGATTCAGGCGACCCGTTTATGATTATGGTCACAGCTTGAAGTAATTTAATTCCATTAATTTTATCTATATGTGACAGGAAGAGTAAATTATTTTTAGATATATATTAATATTCGTATGTACGTTCAGGTGTCACCTATAAAGTTTTGTACATTTATTTTAATCCTAAATCTGAATCAGAACTTGCTCACAGTCTGATAATGATTTTGAGGAACACAAGCGGCCTTGATATGACGGTGACTCAAGACCTCCCCTGTGTTGACAGTACCACCCTTCCCCCACCACCACCACAGTCATTTATTGTCTGTTTTCTACTACACTACCACACTGTCTGCCACACACTTACTTTCTACCACACTGCCACACTGTCTTCCACACGCTCACACTGTCTACCACTATACCACACACTCACTGTCTGCCACACAGTCTACCACATTTTCACAGTCTTAAACTCTCACTGCCCTCTACATTCTCACTGTCCACCACACTTTCTACATCACTTGCATTCTCTACTATACTCACACTGCTTCCCACACTTTCCACCACACTTCTACACTGTTGATCCACTCACATTCTATCAAACTTCCCCGCACCCTGTCGCTGAACAAGTTACGTGTTATTTAGTTTTTATGTGACTATTAGTAACTCGAAGGTGTGTCGACAGTTGTGAGTTAAGCTTATGGAACTCTTCCTCCTCACGTCTTCCCGTCAGCTACAGGTTGTTGTTATTCTTTAAAATGCAGGTCTTCCACGTCTTATCTTCGTTAGTCTCTTCACGGCCTATTCTCGATGAGGACATTTGTTCGTGGGGAATTATTTGCTTAATATTTTTAACCTAAAATATGGGGCTGCACGGTCACTGGACCAACTTAAGATCTTCAATATATACTGACTGCATAAATACACCTGTTAGATATCAGTTTTCATAATGAGTAAAAAAAAAAAAACAGGAATCATGTGCAAACAGGAGATCGTGTAGCCCGTGGCATTGACCTGTATGTGTGTGTACACGAGTACTGTATGTGCGTGTCTCGCTTACAAAGTATCAGAGATAAACATACTGTTAACGACGATACTACACAATACTTAATGAGCGATACTGACATTGAAACAGTTTATTATTAGCCAGAAAAATACAGATTCAGAGTGGATAATATTAACATGGCTGAGCCAGTGAGAGCCTGAGCATATAAGTATTTAATTTTTAGGTGTACAGGGACAGGATCTGCGCGAATCTGAACTTCTGTGGGGGAAGAGTCCTGCCTGTTGCTACCTAACCAGACACGGATCTGCTCGCTGTGGTTTCTGGTGGCTAGATAACTTCTACAGTTACACCTCAGATAACATGGGGCGTCTGCCTATCTTGGTGGTTGGTACTACCTAATTCCGTTTAATATTTCAGGTGTCAACAACCCATTGATGTTCCTTACTTCATTTGGAATGTAAGGTTGTGTGCACAGTACCCGGGGTTGTTATGAAGGCAGCTGTGTTATATAGTGTAGTGGAGCTGAGGTTGGTTACTGGTGCTCCATAGTGTTGACACCATGTATGTCCTTAATTGTTTACATTAAGGCCCATCTCCCAGCTGCAGGGATAACAGAGCCGCAGGCAACACGACCCGTCAGCGTCGCCTACTCTTTTCTGAGTAGTCCTTCATAATGGTGCCTTTTGGTACCAGCTGGTGACGTCTGACCAGTGTTTGCTGTTATTTTCCCACGTGAGTTGTGCTTCTGCTTCTCGCGCAGTAACCTTAGTCTGGCGGAGAGTGCATGGTAGTTAAGCATAATGACTAGATATTCTTGTTTCGGCATAAGCTGTCTGATTAATAGATTCATTGCCCGGTATGCCAGTATGGTTCGGGATCAATAGAGAAGCACAAACTCCAGTGCTTATGAACGCTTGTACGTATGTTCTAAACTCTTAAGAAACAAACGTTATCAATAATCAGGGTCATTTAATTACACATGATCCAAAACCTCACATTAGCCAGCACGCGATTCTTGAAGCCTCGAAGGGAACTAGAGTTAACTATGCCTGGACCAATTGTGGTTCCTTGCGGGACACCACTACATGATTGATATTGAGGCCTTACTACATTCTGTTACGTAAAAGGTGAACCACAAGTAACTTAAGCCTCTAATGCCAGAGAAGTCCAACTTTGATGGTAGAATACTGTGGTCGACGGTATTAAGGGGTTTAATGAATACTCAACTGCGTTCATGTATTCATCGTTGCTTTAAAAATACCACTAGCGAAACATAGTGGCAGATACCGGGGATCTTCTTGTTCTTAGACCATACTGTAAGGATATTATCATTAAAATAATACTCGTCTACTACACGTTAGCTTCTTGATTACTGTAGTTAAGCGGGGGAGAGGGATATGGGTCTGTGTTCCTTCATTCTCTCTCTCCAGGTGTTATAAGGCAGTAAAGACGGTAACAGTTCTTACAGTCTGTCGTTATCTAGTTGCAACAGAATCAGTGTTAGCAGGAGTCTGGTCTTCACGGTGATAGCAGTAGTAGTGGTGATAATGAAGCCAACAGTGGTGTCAGCAGTAACGGGAGAATTAATACCAACAGCGACAATGGTAACTACAACTGGAGTGTGTGCTGGCTAACAGGTACAACAGCTCTCTCTACCCCCCCAACGGTATCAGTAGGGAGAACAAGAGTGGGGACAACGGCAGGAACAAGAACAGTGACAACAACAGGGACAACGGCAGGAACAACAACAGTGACAACAACAGGGACAACGGCAGGAACAACAACAGTGACAACAACGGACAACGGCAGGAACAACAACAGTGACAACAACAGGAACAAGATCAGGGACAGCAACAGGAACAACAACAGTGACAACAACAGGAACAAGATCAGGGACAACAACAGTGACAACAACAGGGACAACGGCAGGAACAACAACAGTGACAACAACAGGAACAAGATCAGGGACAACAACAGGAACAACAACAGTGACAACAACAGGAACAACAACAGTGACAACAACAGAACAAGGGACAACAACAGGAACAAGATCAGTGACAACAACAGGAACAAGATCAGGGACAACAACAGGAACAACAAGCAGGACAACAACAGAAACAAGATCAGTGACAACAACAGGAACACAACAACAGGAGGGACAAGACAGGACAACAGGACAACAACAGGAACAACAACAGTGACAACAACAGGAACAAGATCAGATCAGGAACAACAACAGGAACAACAACAGTGACAACAACAGGAACAAGATCAGGGAACAACAACAGTGACAACAACAAACAGTGACAACAACAGGAACAAGATCCAGGGACAACAACAGGAACAACAACAGTGACAACAACAGGAACAAGATCAGGGACAACAACAGGAACAACAACAGTGACAACAACAGGGACAACGGCAGGAACAAGAACAACAACAGTGACAACAACAGGGACAACAACAGGAACAACAACAGTGACAACAACAGGAACAAGATCAGGGACAACAACAGGAACAACAACAGTGACAACAACAGGGACAACGGCAGGAACAACAACAGTGACAACAACAGGAACAAGATCAGGGACAACAACAGTGACAACAACAGGAACAAGATCAGGGACAACAACAGGAACAACAACAGTGACAACAACAGGGTACAAGATCAGGGACAACAACAGGGTACAAGATCAGGGTTGCGGTGGTGTGCGCGTGGCTGGGAGCATGCAGTATGAGGCGGGAAGGAACAGGTTTCCTAATGGTGGACCCGCCAGTGTGTGTGAGTGTACCAGCTGTGGCAAGAAGCCCACTCACCCTAACCTTACGTTCAGCCTCAGGTGGTGGCATTAATTTTAGCCTGTGTGTGTACTGCGTGTTGCTGGGAGTGAGGAAGGTGGGTGATTACTCGGTGGTTTGGTTGAGGTGTTTGTATCTCACTTACCAGACGGAGAGGCTTTGTTACCCTATACAGAATCTTCTCACCAAAATTATTAACAGTTTAAGGTCACAGGTTAGGTTGGGTTTTGAGGTTAGGTTAGGTTTGAGGTTAGGTTAGAGGTTAGGTTAGGTTAGGACCAATTAATTTAAACATCAGTTTTGTCCCTTACTTAGTATACCCAGACGCTATTCTTTACTTTTTTTTTCTTTTCTTTTTTAATTCTTCGAGGTTAAAGGTCAAACAAACTAAAAAATTATCAGGATATTTTGAGCTGCAGTTTGGTCATGTTATGGTGAAAGTTGAGACTATTATGCCTTGTTATATGTCACACACACACACACACACACACACACACACACACACACACACACACACACACACACACACAGTCTGATAACATTTTACAGGGGTCAGAGGTCACCCAAAAGGCACTGAATGTGGTAGACATGTAACATTCGCTTGTCTGTTTATTTGTTTATATATCTCACTAAGGTCAAGAAAATACCTTGTTTATGTCATCCTTATATAGTGTTAACCTGAGAATTTAATTTAGATAAGTAATATTTTGGACTTTTATTATATATTTTATTTTTATTTATTTTTTATTACTGTCTCAATTAGTAAGTTGTAGGGACTTTCTATACTTGGGTCGATATTTCTGATTTAAGTAACAGGTTCAAAGAGTCCTACCCTCCTAAGTGCCGCGTTCCTTCAGTCGTTGTAAGGAACGAATTCATGCATTAGGCCTTTTGTATCTACTCCATCAAAACATTTACCATACAGTAATATAAACATTTATATACATATCGATTTATATTAGTTTATTTCAATACATATTAGCTCTCTGGATACGAGTTT